CGATGGCTTTAGCCAATAAAAGCGAAACACTTGCATTTATTATCAATTGGGGTATGCGGGTTAATGGACTATTTGTATGCCTATTTTTTTTTTTTTATACCTTCCATAATATTTTTTATTTTGACATCATTGATCTTGTTTCCACTGAGTGGTAGTTTCTTCAGAGTGGTTGGCTGTTACGGCATTTATCCAAACGTTTATGTGAATGCTTGACAATGCCTCGAAAATCACTTAGCCTCAAGCTATTAGAGGCTTCACTGATCCGGGTCATCAACGTTTCCTTCTCGAGAAACCTGTGACGTTTTATTTTACTTTTGACCACTGACCAGAATTGCTCAATTGGATTGAGCTCAGGGCAATAGGAAGGTAAGTAAATACAGTGGTAACCGCGAGATTCTACGTACTTGGCTATGTCCTCGGATGTATGAATAGGAGCATTATCCATCACGAGGTAGTGACCTTTTATGTGTGGATAACGCTCCATTTCATCCACTGTGGCTTTAAGAAAGCTGATATAGTGTTCCGTAACTGTTTCTTTGCTCATGTATTCAACACCATCTTCCCGCTTTCTCCTTTTACTGGATGGTGGCTGAGGAAGTCTAAGGGAGCATTTAATGAAACCTTCAGTAGAAATTGCGCCTAGAATGGCTGTTGTCGTTGCTCGTGCTTTGGGAACTGTGACCACTGCCGGTGTACCTTTCTTTGACCGTGTCACATTACGTTTCAGTTTAATATGGAAAGCAGATTCGTCAAGAAAGACATAGTTTCTCATAAAATCCATGTCTGTTTTTTCCCATTTATGAATCCAATCCAAGCGCTCTTGAATCTTTTCTTCACTGCTCCGGCCTATAGACTGAAGCCGAGCTTTTTTGAGGGACAAATTGCAATGTTCTTTTACAAAATCAAGACTCAGCTAATGCATATCCCAACGGTACGTCTGCTACTGCGGGTATTTGCAGGCTGCTCTGGAGTTTAATGGTCTGATGGTTTTTATGGACACTTGGTCCCTTGTCCTGATGGTCAATGGCCGATCTGAAGAATGTCGTCACAGCAGCAATCAAAACCTTTAAAAGTCCTCTGGCATCGTTGCTGACCTTTTTTTTCTTCTCTTTTAGGTTTTCTTTACAAAACATTAGCTTTTGGGAATAATCTTTAATGAATAAATAGCTTTTTAAGAATGACTTTTACTATTGTCTTTTTATTCTTTTTCATATTGAAAATAATGGCCATTACGGGCGCTTCTTCTAGGCACTACATATGACATCATTTTACAGCTTCATTCTACCAAAGCCTCTGCCTAATATAAGACTGTCCAGTTCAGTCTCTCTGATACAAAATATAAGCTTATCGTGATTACATGTGATTGATCTTGGTTCTTTGTTGATCAATTGACGACATAAAATAAAGCAATAACAATATTTCTTTTTGAAAATAAACAAGCCAAAATGGTGAAAAGTTTTGTTGGACTGCATCATAAATTATATTAGTCTAGCTTCTGGTATATTTTCTGGTGCATGTAGTGTTTTCCGAACTAAAACTAAATCATCTTGCACAGAGTAGGTCGTTGGGTTTGGAGAAGAAATTCTGGAGAAAATAATTGGGCAAGAGAAAACTTGATTCAGGCCACATAAACAGAAGAAATAAAAGAAAAGCGACAGAAGAAGGAGTTGAAATGGATCAAGTAGAAGGCGAAGAAGATAGAAAAGAGGGAGATGATGAAAGTGATGAAGAAGACAAAAAAGGTAAGCTTTTATATAACAACATAGAACAGCGCTGACATACAGCATTCATTCTTTTATAGAAACACGAGAATCATCTCCGTTATCTTCGGACGGATCGTATGATGAATCTGGACAAGTGTCCATTTATGAAGAAATGCTGAAAGAAAGAAAATAAGTCCTGGTGTTGATCACTCTAATGACAAAATGATCCACCATATGGATAACGACATGAGCATGGATGAACGATTATAAGTATAACCCCTAACCATATAAAATAATAGGTATACATATGTATAAACTTTATAGACACTTATCTTCAATCAATTATTATAACGAATGTCCGGCAAAACTTCGTCTGGTTCCTATGATTTTACAGATGAAATATATAGTGAAATTAGAAAATGGAGAAGGGCAAACTAATAAACAAATATAGACATAAGACATAAATGCTTAAAAACCCTTCAATTGTTACTAGCAAAACGAGACTACTTCCCTTTGCTAGCAGCAGAAGAGCCCCTGTCTGAAGATAATCTATTGCTACGAGATTTAGCGGTTTTTTTAGTCAACCTTCGAGAAATATTGGACAGGCCGCTCTTAGATTACAGTTACAAGCAATCGGAAATTGATTTTTCATTCCAAAATGTAGTGATTCTCCTTCATTTCGTATTTAACTCAAGCTTCAATGTGAATATGTGCTGGTAAGCCTGCTTTTAATTGGTAAAAGGTTAATCCCCGTCTAATTTTTTCCTTTAGGGAACAATCTTTTGAAGCAACCAGACTTCTTGTTGTATTCTTGCGTCCAAGAGCTAGGATGTGAAGAAGTTAAACAAAATTGTACCAACGAAAGATGGAGCGAAGAGGACAGGATTAGTTTGGGGTAGAGCTTAAAAAAGTAACTTCACTACCGCATTAAAAAATGCAAAAACGACAAAAGAATTTTACGTGTTTAGTGGAATATAATGTATCCAAAGAATAAAACTTAAGCGTTACGGCCTCAATTAAAAACGCGCCTCAATATGGCATAAACGCCCTTTATAAAAGCAAGCCAATGCCTGCTAGTCTGACTGCTTCTAGCCTTTCTTTTATTTGACATTCCGTATTCAATACAGGAAACCGATGGCTACTTATGTCGGTTATTACTCAACCTAAAGGAGGTAACTGGTGAAATGTAAAATGAAAAGAAATTCAAAGAAGAGTTGTAGCATAACATTTTATATATTCATGGTTTTTCCGCAAAGGCCAAATACAAGTAATGATGTTCTCTCTCTTATGAATAGGCTACAATAAAAGGGAAAATCGAAGCGATTACGTGTCCCATTAGAAAAGAAACGGGCGCTTTATTGTTAAAGAAACAGCAGATACTTTGAGATCAAGACGAAGTTTTTGAAGAGCAGCAAGTCCAGCACATACCAAATTGTTTTGATTCGTATGTTTGAGGACAATTGAATCGGTTAGGAGCGCAAATACGAAAGCAGGCCTGTCCGACAGTAGATGTGACCATAAAAGAGCCAAGAACAAAGAGAGCAGCAGAGATAACCCTCATGTCTTCAACTTGTATATAATAAATAAAAAAGTAAAGTAAGGTGATGGGAACAGGTTGTGATTATTATTTATACTCGGAAAGTATTTGTATTTATCTGAAACTCGTTTAGGCCAACTAATCAAAGGCTTTCATCATAAGCTTGTATACGCTCACGAAATATAACGTAATGCATTCGTATGGGGATGCGTTACATGTATACTGTAACCTTAAATAAATACAAAGTTTACAGTAAGATAAGGGGCAGCTGAGGAAGGAGAACATTGATCTACATAAGACAGCTTATAAATATTATTTTGTTTTGTTTAGAGTAAATAGTCAAGACAAATAGTTATACCAAACCTAAAGCATTGCAACAGAGATATCTTTATCGAACACCGAATAGTATGTAATGGATTAAGCTTGATTATCATTGTGCTCCTTTGACAACTTCATGCTTAGTTTATTTCTTCTTTGAAGCTGCAAAGGTGTGATCGTCATCTTACTTAAGGCTTCTTCTTTATGATACATCTAATAGTCGAATGCGGCGATAGATGCACCTCTTACGTGCAGTAAGCAAGAGCGCGTGTCCTATGTACGTTTTTGTTTTGTTTTGTTTGCGTTGCTTCTGTTTCTATCCATTTGAATGAATTAATGAATTTAAAGCCATAGTATAACCACAAAAGCTCCTGCTGTTCGAAGAAGAGAGTATTGAATTATATCATTGTTATTACAATTGAAAAATTGTTTACTTGATTGGATTGGACATTGAATACGTTTGGGGCAGATACTTACCCTTATGTAATCATTATGGTCATGATATGTGGATTGAAACAGACTTAAAAAGTTGCGCTCCCAGATTTGCCACGCGCAAATGCTTTATCAAGAAGTTTGAAACGAAGTACCGTGCCAGGTATTACTCTTGTATTCACAATAAAGATGAGGGCCACAGAAAAAATTGCGCAATGCTCAACATGATTTGTAGAGATAATTCATGATGCAGACTTGATTGTGCACTACAACATGCTTGCACAACGGTCTTGGGTGCCATTGACTAGACCTGTACAGGTGTGTCTGAAACTGATCTTGCACAACCATCCCAATGTAGAACTGACAATCTAGAAGACCTCCAAAGTATCTTAAATATCTTAGGAGACAATTTCAAAAGGTACACAGCAGAAAATATACTGCTGGACTACATCTAGACAGTAACCAGGGAAAAAAGTGGCTTCGTAAATAAAGTCCAAGTTACCCAAGAAAATTGACGTCTGAAGAGAAACTATTATGCAGGCGTCATGGTTGGAATAGAGCACATACAAATAAGGATTGTTACAGAAGTAAGGAGATGCCCAATGTCTCACTGCTAGAAAATAAGTTCTTTGGTACGAAGAATCGAAGATAAAAGCAAAATTGGATTGATAGTGGAGGACACCTATCCTATATTCAGACATTTATTTGCTTCAAAAGACTCAATGATAAAGAATAAGCTTTTAGCTATTGACATCTGTTAGAATTTTAAAATTATGACTAATTTGCGACGAACATAATAAAAGGGAGAAATATTCTTTCATGCCTAACTCCAATAGTAGCAAAAAGTTTCGTCTTGATTTTATATTGTATGTTAAGGTTCAAGAAATTGGCTGCGGTGAAGTAAAGGTTTGCAGCATGACAGACTTTGAGAGCATCTAGCTTACACTGCACATACAACAATATGGAAGAGATTCTAGAATATCTAAAAAAGCTTCAAGGTAAGAATTGCCCCATATAAGAGAAAAAACATACTCCTGGCAACAATAGATAGATCAAATGATATTTTTATGTAGAATGCTATAGTTTCTAGCTTAGCTACCGAGGAAAACATAATAAAGATATATGTTTATCACGAGTGCTCTTCTTTATTCAGGCCTACTATAATTTCTAAAAAAAAAAAAAAATTCTTTACCATTGTTATTTTTAAAGTGATACACAGAAGCCTTTTTATTTTCATGCTGGCTCTGTTGACATGCAAAGCAGGAAGTGTAATATTCAAAGCATAGATTATAAAAATTACATAAAAACAAAACCAAAACCAAAAGGCAATAGAGACAAAACAAGTAATCTGATTCACTGACGAATAAAATGTTCAGTATATGTTTTGATAACTGAGGTTAATACATAAAAAGAAGGATAGAAAGCAATGGACTACTCTATTTACTAGGAGGTTTACATGGGTACGTAATTATAAAATAGTGAAATATATGTTACGAGAGTATATGCTGTGTTGTCTCGAACCCTTTACAATCCAGCTTTTCTGGATCATGGACTATGGAAGTAATTTTCATAGACTGAGTCAGTACGAAGATTGAAAACCAAGTAGAAGATATTGGAGGGGTGGATAATGTAGTATTAAGAAGAGGAAAAAGTCTGTCATTGATATGGTACTATTTACAGGTATTCTGTAGATGTACTGGACTGTCATGAACAATTCAAAAGACACGATATTATTATGGATAATGCTCCCATACACTATTTTCAGGAATAAATGTCGTTCTAGCCTGTTGCATTTTTGTAAAAGTTGTATTATAAAACTTCGCAGGATGCAGCATTACTTTCCGGAACAATGTAAATTATACTAGAAATCAGTATGAGCAGACTACAGGGACAAGTATAGATCACTACTTGAAGTTTACTTATTTTTATTGGTAACCAAGTTATAAATTACACAAGATTCATTATTACCTGTTGATCAACAAGAACTATGGAAATGTTTTCGTTGTTCGTGTCATCATAAATTAAAGTTTGAATAGGGTCTGTGAAATTTCATCAATGTATCATTGGTTGCAAAAATTTACAGATCCAGCCAGGAAAGACAACTATTTGATTGATGTCCTAAGAAAAACAAAATATCTTATAGATAGTCAATGAATAATCCAAGCTAAGATTATTGAATTTTTTAAACTGTAACAAAAAATATATATTACTTACTGACAGGTTTCTATTGCTCAAATAGAAAAAGAAAAAGAAACGTATGATGGTGATGCGAGTACTGTCTATTTGTGTTATACTCGGTTTGGCTTATATCTTATTGCACATTTTCTTCATATTGTATTTTCTGATGCTGTATTTTAAGGAATCCTGTTTTCAACCCATATAGTCAGGTTAGGCAGATAGATAAGTGCAATGATTCCTTAAAAAAAATTCATACTTCGTATAGTCTGCTTAAGGCTTGAGCATACAAAACATGACAAAGATAAACTTACAAAAGCAGATATTTATTGACCTACGCGTTACAAAATAAATATAATTGTACAAATACAAAAAAATCAACATAATATGATTGTGCGAGAGAAAATGAGAAGCGAATAGTGAAGTCAATAAGAAGCATTATGTGTGACAATCCTCTTCTCCTTCTTTAGCTCTCTTTTCTTTTCTCATTTTCTGTCCTTTGTCTCTTCTTCCTTCTCTTTGTTTTATACATGGCTGATAGTAATTCTACATCATTTGGGTCAGTTTTCGCTTCTGGCATTCAAGATGTGGCGGCTGTAGCAGCTGTGCTAGGAACAGGTATATGTGATACAAACGCTGGATTGGCGTTAACTAAGGGCTATCTGTTCCCTGCTGCATGTGGCATGTCAATGTTTGGTGTTCTAGGACTTGCAAAGCACGGCCTCAAATCTTTTTTGCCTCTGCATGTTGCCAAGAACTTGGGTATCGAGGTTGAAAAATTCGACACGCACAGAATAGATAAAAAAATACACAAAGTATTAGAAGATAGATTGTCATTTGAAAAAAGAACACGCTTGAATAGACAAAATGTCAAAATACGAATGTATGTGCAAGATTATGGTAGATCAACTTGGATAAGTGCTTTTCATGTTTTTTCTTATCCTGCCTCAATTTTATACCATATGTGCCTCATTATAGGACTCTACTATTGCATCTTGAAGATACTCCAGATTCGTCTGACACATACATATACTTTCCTCTTCTCTTGGCATTCTCTAGCTTTGCGACTTCCTTCGTCTGCTGGTTTGACGCTGCGATTATGCTGTCAGGACCTCCTTCGCTCTATACATTAGCTACTTTTGATATGGACCCGTTTGAGCCTCATTACTTTGGCAATTTGCTTACTAGGCGTATTGGTTATGGCATAGGACTTCTTGCAGCTGTAGGCACCGTCAGTGATTATATAGGTTCATACTTAGTTGTCTAGAACATGACATCGACAGACACCTACTATTGGCTAGGGCTTGAGCTTACACTATGCTTCTTACGCTTGGTGATATGGTCATGGAATACTGAAAAGGATGACTTGAATGTGACACAGTTACGATATAAGATAGACAGAAACGATGAAGGAATTATCAAGCAGATCCAGGAATTACCGTTATCAAGAAGTAAAGTAGAAGATGCAATTAGCAATCTCAAGCTTGGTGGCTACTTCATTCAATCTGAAATAGTGGATGCATACTATCAAGCAAGATATCATGTCCATGACCTGTCTATCCCTTATTTTAACCAAATTCATTTATATACTCCCTTTCGCAGCAGTAATACCGTATTGAAGCCAAGATACTATATATTATGAGACAATAAGGTGTGCAAGCCGCAAAAGATTCTTGTAGTTCACGGAATCATAGGCTTACTGACCGAACTCCAGGCCAGCAAAATCAGTTATGTGAAAACCTCGCCGATAAGTTCTTGGGTATATTACTTCAAAGGAAATGAATTTGAACCACAGACAGGAGAGCAACTAGATGTTAGAGTACTTGAGAAATTGAAATCAGAAATAGACTTTATTACTCCATGGATAAAGCTTGTCACTTCACACAAGCAGGTTGATCCTGAGGCCGAAGAAGACGAGCAAATGTATAAATATGTGGAATTAGAGTCGTATCGGGCTAAACTTGAGTAGTATTAAAATAATAGTAACAATAGCAACAATAAATATTGGTCAGCTATTCTGTATATGCATTCACACAAAGTTTAATGCAATACTGCTCACTTTTTTGAGATTGATGCTTTCTAATCAATCAAGCATTCTCGATATTAAACAGGTAGGCAATAACCGTAGTGTTTCGGATCAAAGCTTCTCTTGTTTTAATATCTTTTTCATCTCTGTATTCATTATAGAATGACACATTATCTTCGCTTGTCATTTCGGTAATGAAATCATTAAATAATGGGTTTTGTTTACTTAATGCCCTAGCGAGCGCTATGATAGATGTACGCTGGGCCAAGATCAGAAAAAATAGAAAGCAACTAAAAAAACCCTTTCTGGGCTCACAATTTTTATTTCTAGACATAAGCTTGGAAAGAGTGTATGATATTCTAAAGGTAAATTTCTAGAAGACAAAGAATTAAGGTAAAACAACGTATTTCTGCAAGTGATCAGGAATAGCATTAGACAGATTCTTAGATTCTAACCAAGTACGACCTTGAATGTGCACGTTAATATTTAGACATTTTTCTTTTCTTTTTTTTGAAATACTTACTGAAAAGACGAGATTGATATCTATAGGCACCATCACATAAAAGAGTGACAACCTTTTTGCCTGTTATACTCTGTGAGCTATTGCCTTTGTTTCTATTTGGGTTGATTTACCTTTTCCAAGCTGTTGAGCCATCTGTACAGCAGCTACAACATTCAATGCAGAGGATGCTCCAACATAAATACCTTCTTCATCCAACAAACGATACACCATGGCGATGGTATCTTCATCCTTGATATTCAATGCGCCGTCAATCAAGTCTACGTCAGGAGCCAAGTTATCGGTTACACGACCCTGTCCAATACCTTCTGTGATGGAAGATCCACTGCGGTCCATCAACTTGCGGCCACTGGTAAAATAACTGAATAAGACAGATCCAGGAGGATCAGCCAAGAAGATCTTGACGTCATCTCCCTTCTTATCCTTTAAATAGCGTGCTGTACCTGCCAAGGAACCACCTGTGCCTGTAGCACAAACAAACCCATCTACTTCACCATTGGTTTGTGCATAGATTTCAGGCCCTGTAGTTTCGATATGAGCACGGCGGTTGGCTGTGTTATCAAACTGGTTGGTCCAGACGGCGTTCTCCAAGGACTCAGCGTGGCGTTTGGCTTGGTGGTTATAGTTCTGTGGGTTGTCAAATGCAACTGCAGGTACAGGATATACTTCAGCACCCAACATACGAAGCAAATCAATCTTTTCCTGGGACTATATTACATCTTTAGTTTTCCAACTCAAAGGTCATGTCTATGTATGCTTGCCTGAGTGTTGGGCATGTAAATAACACACTTGTATCCCTTTGCACGACAAACGTGGGCTAATCCAATACCGGTATTTCCTGCTGTACCTTCAACAACAGTGCCTCCGGGCTTGATCAGTCCCCTTTCTTCCGCATCCTTTACGACATATAAAGCAGCACGATCTTTGACAGAACCACCAGGGTTCATGAATTCAGCTTTAGCCAGGATCTCAGAGCCGGTTTCTTCACTCAATCGATTCAATCGGATCTACACACATAGATGCATAAGCCCCTGTTTAGAGTCGTCATCATTGATTATACTTACAAGAGGTGTGTTTCCAATGGCCCCAATAAATCCATTGGTAATCTATTATACATATCAGCATCTTCGAAACTCATTCTATCTTTTTCTTACACCAGGACGAGAACCAGGATGAACTGTGGTATATGCACGGCGAGCAAGTAAAGAGAATGGCTTGATCATTGATTATTAATGAGAAAAGAAATAAACAAGTAAAGAAAAAAAGATGGTTGTGGGTAAATATCGGAGTTACTTGAATGACGCGATTTACTGTGCCAGGAATTGGCTCATCAATCGATCAACAGTTATTCTCTTCTTCTAAAGCAATGTGCTATACATAGATTAATAATTAAGCGTTGCTCTATGTCACTATGCTATATGGTAACCTAACCACTTCATCTTTTTCAAGCGAGTTCTATTATCTTTGTAGTTATTGCTTACAAAAATATAGATTACTTCATTTAAAACTTGACTTGTGTTTTAATAAATATTGTATATGTATTGTTTAAGCATTTCCATAGTTACCTTGTTGTAATGGGGGTTGTAAGCGTCTCCTTCTCTTTTCCTAGCCAATGAAGTTGCTTGATAAACAGTGATGAAGCATTGAAACTCTTGGTCGGAATGAAATTTGATGTCCGGACTCTCCGGAATGTTACACAAATCCACCAACAGAAGGCAGGTGGGGCGAGACACACAAATCACAGTTCAAAAACGTCAAAGAGAAAGTTCCTTCCTCTCTCAATCCATAACTCTGCGCAATGCCTAAAGGTAAACCCGTATAAAATATCAGCAATAGCAATCAAAGATAAAGGGAGAGAATGGATGCATCCAGTAGAATAAGGATAGATAATAAGGATTCAATCAGACAATCGACATTGGATGGACAAAATATATATGGAGAGAGAACGTTATCAGAAAGATACAACAGAAGATGTACACATGTAAACAAAAGAAAGCATTTATAACATTCATCCATCCATCCATTCACTCATTCATCCATTTATAATGTACAACAACTTCTCTTTGGCAACTTGAAAACATGGTGACAATGACGAACATTAGGGAAATGTGGCTATAAAAGTAGATTTGCAGTTGATGACAGGAAACAGTCGAATGCAAGAGACTGAGTGTGATTGCACCTAGACGACATTTCCTAATTCTTTCTTTACTGCTATTGCTGATATAACAATGAAGCAGGACAGGAATGTTAACCATTTCAATAGTTAGTGTTTCCGGCACAAAGTACCGCATGACCCTCGGTCTTCCTGTTGGTGCTGTTATGAATTGCGCCGATAACTCTGGTGCCAAGAACTTGTACGTTATTGCTGTCCGTAACATCAAGGGTCACTTGAACAGACTCCCCGCCGCCGGTTGTGGTGACATGGTTGTTGCTACCGTCAAGAAGGGTAAGCCCGAATTGAGAAAGAAGGTTTTGGCTGCTGTTGTTGTTCGTCAACGCAAGGCCTGGCGCCGTAGAGATGGTGTCTTCCTTTACTTTGAAGATAACGCTGGTGTCATTGTTAACCCCAAGGGTGAAATGAAGGGTTCCGCTATCACTGGTCCCGTTGCCAAGGAATGTGCTGATTTGTGGCCTCGTATTGCCTCTGCTGCCGGTACCGTCGTTTAAACAACAACTTTAAACTCTTTTATCTAAACAATAAAAATAATGCGTTGTCGCGACACATGTGCGCATGTATTTGTGCTTGTGTGTATATATGTATTGATTCTTTATTTAGTTTTCTACAAGAACAAATTTTTGCTCTCTTTAAATGAGATCAGTGACTATAAAAAAGTGAGTAAATGTGCCGGAGTCTTATTGTGTATGAGCTTACCGTTCATGGGCATTTCGTCAATTTGTGTACTGTAATATTGTTCAATATCACGCAAAATCTTCAAATCGTCATTCTTTACAAAGTTGATGGCAACACCCTTACGACCAAATCGACCAGATCGACCAATACGGTGAATGTAGTTTTCACGATTTGTAGGCAAGTCATAGTTGATAACTAAAGATACTTGCTGCACATCAATACCACGAGCCCACACATCTGTTGTGATTAATACACGACTATACACATATAAGTATACTGTATACATGGTCAATAAAGCACATATACCTTGCTCCCTGGCGAAATTCATCCATAATAGCGTTACGTTCCTTTTGTGGCATTTCACCATGCATAGCTGATACTGTAAAGTTTGCTTCTCTCATTTTCTCAGTCAACCAATCAACCTATTTTATTCCACATAGGTCAGTCAATTCTACATTGTCTCGTCATCACCTTCTTACCTTCTTCTTTGTATTACAAAAGATGACTGCTTGAGTAATCGTCAGTGTATCATAGAGATCACACAAGGTATCAAACTTCCACTCTTCACGCTCCACAGCCACAAAGAACTGCTTGATACCTTCCAAGGTTAACTCATCACGCTTTACAAGGATTCGAATGGGGTCTGTCATGAAGTTGTTGGTCATTTCTAACACATCATTGGGAAGAGTGGCGGATAACAAGACGACCTGTGTACCAGGAGGTAAATAGCGATAGATGTCATAAATTTGATCTTTGAATCCCATATTCAACAATTCATCTGCTTCATCAAGAATAAGCATCTTGATGTTTCTTGTACGCAAAACTCGACGACGAATCATATCATACACACGACCTGGAGTTCCAGAGACGATGTGAACGCCTGCTTCCAATTTACGGATATCATCTCCAATACTTGTGCCGCCAATACAAGCGTGACATTGTACGTTCATGTAATCACCCAAGGCCAAGACAACGGTTTGAATCTGCATGGCCAATTCACGCGTTGGAGACAATATCAAAGCCTGTGTTTCTCTCACGGTCGTGTCGATCGTCTGTAAGGCAGAAATGGAAAATGTCGCAGTTTTACCAGTACCGGACTGTGCTTGAGCAATAACATCACGTCCCTTGATGATGGGCAAAATGGCTAAATAATGTTGTGAATAAAAAAAAAAGGTCATCTTTTTACATCTTGTACTTTACCTCTTTGTTGGATTGCTGAGGGCTTTTCAAAGTTGTAAGCATAAATGCCACGAAGTAAATCTTCTTTTAATCCAATAGAATCAAAAGTAGGAACTACTTGTACCTACATTTGACAGTGAGCTTTAGTTTCTTTTTATTCGGTTTGGATATTTACAGTCTCTGATGTTTCGAAATCAAGCTTGTTGTCGGTTGTATGATCAAATGACATCTTTATAAAGAAAAATAAACAAAAATCTCTAGAAAAAAAAAATGTATAAGTTCGTCAGCCGGTCATTGAATTACCATAAAAGCAGTCACTGCCAACACAGAAAGACAAGCTTGTCAGAAGTAAGGCCGTTTCCCGCCTTTCATACAAGAGGGTGATCTTTGTTGTTATCAAATTTGACAATGCTTTAAATACAAATAAAACGTTTCTCTTTTTCTTCTTTCTTCTTTTCATTTGTTTTAACACAGTATATCTGTCAATTTTACTGTCCAGCCACGTTACCGAACGTTGAAAGGTTTGAATATAGTGATCGGCGCATTTCAACTTGTGGAAAATAGGAAATTGCAAGATTATTATGCAAAAATAGAATAGAGAGCATTTTCTTTTATGAATAAAAGATGTTAGATGGCACATTCTTCGTTACAGTACAAAAAGTGAAATTGAAAAGGTTTTATTTAGTCTTTCTTTACAATTTTACAATGGCAAGAACTAGAAAACTCTCCACTTGAGAACAAGGCCACACATGTCAAGAAAATGAAAAGAGGAACTGAAGAAAGAACGCGGCTATTTCAGATGAACTGCGCAAAACAATATTCGATTTAACAATCAGGAAGGGAACAAGGGGCGTTTCCGAGATTGCTAAAATATTCCAACTGTCGTGGCCGCTCCAATACCCTTGTTTGAAAACCCCGATAGGCCAACATTACATGCATCAGAAAATGCACCAGAGAATAAGCTAATGCTATGGATACTTCTTCTAGGCATTATTTGTAAGGCTATTCAATGGAATATCCTTTAATGTAAAATACGAATTTATTACAATTAATTTGAATGATATTGATTCTTTGTTGATCAAACTGACAGCATAAAAATAGAATAAAGAAATAACAGCATTTCTTTTTTATCTCTTTCTTCTTCTTGAAAAGAAACAAACCGTGGTGGCAATTTTATAAAAGTCATGCTTAACTTGACGTTGTAAATTGGAAAGTTTTGTTGGGCGACATCGTAGGTAATGGGTAGAGGTAGCGCCCGTAGTATTAGTCTAAATTCTGGTGTATTTTCTGGTGCATGTAATGTTTCCCTATGGATAAGCATATTTTTTTCGATGGTAAAAACGTAAGCAGCTTTAGAACTCAATCTAACTTTATTTCACATAATAGGGCGCCTGCTAGTGATGATGAAAAGACTGTTACGCTGCAGCCAGATGCGTCAATTAACATTGTACACGGTGCCGCGCTAGATAAGATTAGGCTGCGGTGAGGCTAAATCTCAATATCAGGCATTTAATCATCAACTTACTGGATTGGATCTCGTTCGCATCGCACATATAGCAAAGACCGCTTCAGATAAGTATAAAGCTAAGGCCATATTTGACTTCGTTGTTGTTGGTAAGTTATTGCTATGTCCAACGGATGGATGGTGTCCTTAATAATTTCTTTCGGAATATAGGTAACCATGCAACTTTTTATGTTGTGCATTGTGCTAAGGGTGATATGTATACTATGTACGAAGACAAACATAACCAGTTGGCCGTGAAGCTTGCTGATATTCCTCTGTTCATTGCTCAATCGAGCAAGGTCGCCAAAATCATATCAAGCTTTGAGCATGTTATCAATTGCGGCACTCATAGTTACAACCATCTAACCGATCACATGTTATTGGAAGCGATCCATTCCAGAACACCACGCAAAAGAAAATACATTTCTTCTCATTATAATCATTAAAAACGGATCATCAATAAAAAGTATATTTCCCCTTCCAAAAAATACAGCTGTATTATGTCATAAAACATATCCAACAAGCAATATGCCCGGCATATCCGAGCATGCAAGCTTGTCCATGTCCAAAATCTCAGAGGCATTGCTTGTTACGACATTTGTTCAAGCATTTATGTGAATGCGAAACAAAGTCTTTGAAAAAGACATCGAATTTGTCAGCCTAGACGAATTTACTTTTTGTACAGCATGAGTTCCGTTCTTGCCATCGGATGAGTTCGTTTTCCACCAGGACGAACTTACTTTTTGTGCAATATGTAATTTTTTTTTTTTTCCACTCAATTGGATTCAAAATCCTATATCTATGACAACCTATGATAACATTTCTATCGTTGATTACACAACAAAAAGAATAAGATTTGACGTGCTGTCAAATTGAGTCATAGATCAGGAGAGTAATAGTTATTGATAATAGTATTGAATACGTATTTTTCAATTGTTTTAGTATCGATGAATGATTGATAAAGAAAAAAAAGGGGGTCTGATGACATAAAGAGAGTATCCGCAGTTTCATCTTACTGGACGTCTTTTATCTTACCAATGGTATGCCGTGCGAAAAAAGATCAGTGGAGATTAAATCAGAGTGACTCTGTATTCTGATCACTTGTATTTAAAAAGCTTGACTCATTTTTTTTTTTAATTATTCTTTTGTATTCCATTCAACTATGTCAAACGATATCATTCAAGTAGTTATTGGCGTTCTTGGTAAATATCTTATTTAGATTTTATTGATAGAACATAAAAAAAGACTTACTCTTAATATATAAAAAAGCTTTGCAAGGTGCATTCATCGAACATATGCATATGTTAAAGAAAATCCCTCAAGTCAAGGATGTCATTGCTGTACGCACAGAGGAACAATTGAAACAGGTGGATGCATTGATCATTCCTGGAGGTGAATCTACTTCGATGGCTCTTATTGCCGAGCGTTGCAACATGCTCGAGCCACTCCGTGCTTTTGTTCAACAGAAGCCTACTTGGGGTACTTGCGCAGGCATGATCATGCTCGCCAAGGAAGCACATGGAGCCAAAAAGGGTGGTCAACAGCTATTGAATGCCTTGGATGTCTCTGTGAATCGCAACCAGTTTGGTTCACAAAAGGAAAGTTTCAAGACACTGTTACATTTACCAGATATTCTCGGACAAGAGCCATTTGATGCTGTCTTTATCCGCGCACCTGTCATTTCTGAAATCAAATCTCCCAACGTCAAGGTAGTTGGTCGTTTAGAACAAAAGGTGGGACAAACAGAGGCAGAAACCGCTGTAGCTGTGCTCCAGGATCACTTGTTTGCCACTGCCTTTCATCCAGAATTGACCAATGATAATCGTCTTCATGAATTCTTTGTTAATCTGGCCATCAAGTATAAGCAATAATTTAATACCCCTTCCTTCTTTGTTGTACTTTAGAAAAAAAAAATATGTATTTATTATAATAATATAGACATGCAATAAACGATGATTATTCAAGATGGCAATTTCTCATTGTCTTTGGAAGCATCCATGTAACTTTGGCTTGATGCAGATGTAACGGTGATCGCCGATTTTGGAAATGCCTTTGCATAAGAGTAAACAATGCCAGCGACGAATCCTACATCCAATCAAAAGTTACTATCCATCCCTTCCTCTTTTTTTGTTTGTATTATTACCCATAAAGATGGCAGTTACATTGCCGAAAGTTGCCTTGTCTCCAAAAAAGACAATACCAGAGATAGCGATAGGTAATTTATTCAGCGATCCTACCATTGAATACGTTGTAGAAGATGTCGTACGAACACACCAGGCAGATGCATAAGACATGCCGAATGCTGATACTCCCGAGAATATCATTGCCCAAATACGTGCCTGGCGTTCTTCAGGAGGACTATCATGTAATATATCGTCACTATTTTGGGTGTTTATACATTTATGTATCTTTTTACTTACAAATTAAATTCCAAGTTTTCAATAGACCAGTTTTCCAATAATAAGCTAGGTAACAGCAAGAGTGGGATGGATAAAAGATTGTTATAATAAACTGTATCAAAATCTTTAAAATTGGTCAACTTGATACGCTTGCGCATATAAAGTACAAAGGCTGCTGACGATAAGCAATTGACTGCCATCCAAAAGTAACCAACAATGATCTTGGCCTCTGCCAAAGTAACATTGAGCACTGAGTCAAGAGCATTAAACACGTCATTCCAACCAGCAATAACAGATGACAATGTCTAGACCAAATAGTGTCAAAACAAACATATACTATTGACCTAACTTACCATGAGTGCAAAAGAGAGCATCATTAAGGAAGAAACGCTTCCACCAAACCAAAGAACCTCACCATAAGCAATCAGGATAATAGTCAAGTTTTTAAAAATAGTATATACAGGAATAGGCAAGTACTGCAATGCTTTTGAACCCGTATAAATCATGGCAACCAAGAAGATAACAATTGGGTACCATTTCTTTGCTTCTTCATGGCTATATTCACGGTATTTGATCAAGTTTAAAAACTTGAATACTTGAAGAAACAAAATAGTGACAATACTCTGTTATATTTGTATCAGCTCTTTCCCCTTTTTTAATGATATTTAACATCACTTACCTGCACAGTTAGCAAGAGAAAGACCATATTAAAATCACCACTGACCACGTACTTGTTGGCCACTGTCATTACGATACTCGCGATACAGTAGCTAAAGATAGGTAAGCCTGCCTTTACAGCTGGAGACACCGAGGATACTTTGCTAGAAGCAACAACTGAACTTTGGTTGTTGTTAGAGAGCTCTAAAAGATTGCCTGTGTTGACAGTCAGGGTAATACTCTGTCCTTTTTCTTGTCTAACAAAGCCCATACGATATGATTGAAAACAAAAGAAGAAGAAAAAGAGAGAAAGGAAAGCTTGGAATGTGAATGATTTGCATCCTATTCTCTGTTTTTATAGGACATGTTCCCTTCATATTGTTGTCTTTGGACCCTGCTTGTTTATAACAAACATACCAGAGACGAAAGTAATAATTTCCATATAAAGACAGTAAGAAGGGGAAACACAAAAGGAGTCTCCTGTAAATTAACCAATCGTATCAGGCTGAAAGAAATCGGACCGCTCTATAAGGAACAGCGCGGAATTTAAACAGATCAATGAGGCAATACAAAGTGCATCAAGGGACTATGTCTCAGGGCATTGTTGTCCAAGGTTTAAATATGTATAAGAAACTGGCTTTTCCACTTTTAATACTAACTTATACAAGTGGAGGGTAATCGATCGCCTTATAAAGCCCTTTGTATTTGTTTCTTTTTCAGGTCCCAAGTTACTGAATGAATGGCGGGAAAAAATACAACCCTTTTTTTTAGCAGATTACTAAAATTTTTCCCACTCCACGCTGTCCATCGGCATAAAAGCCTTCTGACATGCTATAATTGCTTTTCTTCTTCTTGCCACTTTATTTTAGATACTTATTTAATTCCCTCATGGTTATTTATAAATCCACCTTTCCTGAAGTTTCTCTTCCTAATATCGATATCTTTTCGTTTGTTTTCAATAACAATGAATACAACCAAAACAAAGACTTGAATTCACCATTATTTATTGATGGAGAATCAGGGAAGAGCCTTAGTTGGAACCAGGTTAAAGAGCAATCCGCTTTACTGGCTAGAGGCTGGAAGGAGAACGTAGGCTTAAAGCAAGACGATACTGTCGCTGTATTTGCTCCAAATCAATATGATCATGCTGTCCTTTACTTTTCTTTACTCGCAACCAAGTGCACAATCACCCCAGGGTAAAGACTGACATGTTTACTTTTCATCACATACTTATTTTTTTGTAGAAACCCCGCTTATACAGAACCTGAATTTGAGCACCAAATTCGGAATTCAAAGGCAACAGCACTTGTAACCATTCCCGCTCTGCTCCCTATACTTCTCAAGGTCTGCGATAAAGTAGGTCTTCCTCGAAGCAGAGTGTTTTTATTTGGCGATAAAGAGGTTCAAGAGTGCCGTCCATTCAAATCGATTGCTGGAACAAAGCCCATCGAGACACCCATTCAAGGTGTTGACCCTAACAATGATGTTGCATTCATATGTTATTCAAGTGGAACAACAGGTCTTGCAAAAGGTGTCATGTTGACGCACAAGAACTTTATTTCACAAACCCTCCTTTACATTGCTAGTGATGGAACCGAAATACAAAACGACTGTGTTCTTGGCTTTTTACCCTTTTATCATATCTATGGCTTGAACAGCTTGATCATCACAACCTCTTACAAGCTCATTCCTACTGTGGTCATGCCTCGGTACGATATTGAACTCATGTGTCAATTGATTCAAAAGTATAAGGTAAAGACTGCGGTTATTGTTCCTCCTGTGGCTATTCATCTTGCCAAAGCTCCTGTTGTTAGCAAGTACGACTTGAGTTCTATTGAGCGCTTGGGTTGTGGTGCTGCGCCATTAGGTAAAGAGCATATTGACGCTTTAAAGAAGCGTATCCCTGTTGTAGTGAAACAAGGGTAAGTTTACATAAAGGAGGGACAATATTAAGGACTCTAACGTGATGTTTTAACAGATATGGTATGACCGAAACAACTTCTGGTGTTATCCTTCAAACTACAGAGCATTGCTCACCAGGTAAAATAAAAAATTCCCTTTTTTTTGCGTGTGTGCTGACAGTACGCATCAGGATCTATTGGTATCCTGGCCCCAAATATTGAATGTAAGATTGTTGATGAAAATGGCAAAGGTAAGTCTTTTTCAACTGTGGGTTGAACATGTATGTAAACCATTTGCTTTAGAGCTTGGCGATGACCAAGAAGGCGAACTTTTATTCCGTGGTCCTTCCATCATGAAGGGTTATCTGGATAACCCAAAGGCAAACGCAGAAACCTTCACTGCAGATGGTTGGATGCGTACAGGTGACATTGGTAAATTCGATTCAAAGACTCAGGAGTTCTATATTGTGGATCGTATTAAGGAGCTGATCAAGTACAAGGGATACCAAGTCGCTCCTGCAGAACTAGAGGCTGTTATCATGGGTATGGACATCGTAGCTGACTGCTGTGTGGTTGGTGTCTACGATGATAGCCAGGCAACTGAACTTCCTCGTGCTTATGTCGTCCTTCAGCCTGGCGTTGAACGTAACGAAAAGACGGGAGCCTTGATCGAGGCGTTCGTTGCAAAGAGCGTTACTGGCCATAAGAAGTTGCGTGGAGGTGTTCGATTTATTGATGCTGTTCCAAAGAGTCCTAGTGGAAAAATCCTTAGACGACAAGTGAGAGAATGGGTCAAGAAAGAACAGCAAGAAACTATGGCAAAAGCTCGTTTGTAAAAATAAAAAAGACATTACACTTTATTCACAAATTGTTTGCACACTGATAAAAAAAAGAAGATAATTTCAGACAACAAATAATAATAATAATAAAAGATGCAACAAATAATGATAAAAGAGAGTTCACAAGAAGCAAAAGAGTGAATAAAGAAATGATTAATAAATCAGTTATTACATTGATATTAAATACTTACATTATAAAGAAAAGTTTTTATAAGAGAAAAGAGAAGCAGAAAAGTGAGTAAGCTTGTAAAAGAAATTGTTAATATCTTACCAAAAATGCATTAAAAAGTGCTGAAGATAACCAGTCCGGAGAATACAGTGAGGAAAGAAGAAAAAAGAGCAAGAGAGAGGGCAAGGGAGAGAGCGGCCACAGGAGTGTCTGGGACCAAAGTTTGGTAAGAACCAAACTATCTCCAGCTAGCACCGGTACTGTTTCGATTTTACGATCTATAGTACTACATATCAGTTTCTTGCAAGAGTAAATAATATAGCATATCTTAGGGCTAACTGGAGAATAGCCGACCTTGCTTTGGTCCAAAGAAGAAGAGGAAAAGAAAAAGAAGTCAAGATCAGATTATTTATACAACGTCTCTAACAACGTTTCATTTTGTTATTAAGCGTTGACCACATTTATTTTATGTATCTCTCAAAAACACAGGATTCATTGTCTTTTAAGCAATAAAGAAGACATAGAAAATCAACTAAAGCGTTACTTGTTATTGATCTTGTAATGTGTGCGAGTAATTTCTGAAAAAAGTGTAAACATAAAAGACGCACCGTCGCCTAACTATCTCTCTCGACACTGTCACTTGGCTATCTATGTCCAAGTCTGGAAGAAGTCGCTGTATACGTTGGCGTCTTGACTGGCTCCCTAGTGGTTGATACAAAATCTGTCCTCAGCACCCCAACCAATCTTTCACCAAAGCTCACGCCATTCATTGTCTTCAGATGCACCGCCGACTTATTATACCCGAAACAATTTCTGATTCATTATCTTTCCTTTTGAACATACTACCTATGAAGAAGCTATGCTCCTTTCAAACCGCTCTCTTATGGACCATCCGTTGGCCAGCTATCTGCACTCTTCTTTTTGAACTTGGCTACATCCATCATCAAAAGTGTCCGTCTTCTTCGCTCCTCTCATCTCGGGTAAAAACCCCTCAGTTGGCTCTCTCCTTCTCCTCACTAGTGTATCTTTCATTTGGCCCAACATCATTTCTTCCATAACTTTTTTTACCCTTGATCCCATAAGGGGTTTTTAATTGCCGATTCTTTATTCTCTTTTGACCTGTCTCGGGCGAAGAAGATATATTATTATTATCGTGCGCCCACTTGAGGCTTTAATTGTAAATAAAACTGTTTAACCGTATAACAACTTCTGCTCCTACTAGTGGCCACCTAAGAATTAAGATCATATCTTTTGATGGAAAGGCTGTAATCTTTGACCGCAAAGAACTCCTTGCCCATCTTGAGTAACAAAGTGCTTTCAAATACCGTTTACGCCTTATTCAACGGTCGAAATGAATAAAGAAAGGTTATGGCATAACACGAGACAGTATATTCAGTCAAAAACAGGATGTGATCTTATAATAAAGACAACACGTGTATATTTATTTGAGTTTTGTTGTCAATGTCTTTTTGTCTGTATTTGAATATGATTTACACATGGAAAGAATGGATTGCATAAAAAATATAGCCTTTTTCCTATTTCGTCTTTTTTTAAGCAAGAGTGTACGACATAAAGCTGTAAATGTATAATCTATAGGCGGGCTCTTTACCCCTTTTAGATACACATGACGTTTCTCCACACACATAGTTTAAAAAGTCAGCCAATAAAGTGTTGGTTTGCAGAAAAAATAATGGATGGCAAAACATTTGTCCCGAAAGAAATCACAATGATGTTTTTTTTATGATTTAAATTTTTGATCTCTTTTACACTGTTTTTCTTTTTATGGATGACATAGAATTATCAAATCAATCCACCAGACACACTGGAAATACACAAGATAAAAGTGTGCATGAGATGATCCCCGAGGCTTCAAAGAAATCGCTCCCGGATAGACTAAAGTCGATCATACCACCGCTACCTCTGTTAAGACCCATGTTAAAAGGAAGCTTAGCTATCTTGATCGCCTTGATATTTGTATTTGTCGATAGGTTGAGAAATGCATTTGGACAAGGCATCGTTCTGGTGCCTATTGGAACTGTACTCAATTTTCCATTTAGACCTGTTGGTAAAAAGAGAAAAAAGAAGACATAAAGTAAATAACATTTAATGACATTTGTGTTCTTTTATTATAGGTTCCGCATTAGAGGTAATTTTGAAATAAAGGTACAGGATTTGATAATTGATAAAAGTTAGATTTCGATACAAAGTTTATTTATTTCCCTCGTTGGATCAGCATGGAGCGTCTTAGGTAAAGCAGAAAAGGAAAAGAGAGCGAAAAGAACTAATAGATCATCTGTTAGCCATGTATTTGGCAAACCTTGCTCGCGATCCGACCCTACATTTGCCTGTTCAACCTAATTCAAGTGCCATTTTGGCTATTTTCTTACTGATCTCTGTATTTGCCGTAACGTATCTTCGTGTTAAAAGCCAGCAAGGTAAAGTAAATGTATTATACAAGATGATTTTAATGCCCTCTTGTTTTTATTATAGCATTTCTTGCAAGCATCTTTGGTAGTATAATCCTTGTGGTAAGTTGAGGAAGGGAAGTATTTTGGGGACCATTGTTTTAAGTATTTCTTTTTTTGTAGTTTTCCATAACTCAAGCATCCGTCACACCAGGCTTTCAACCTGCGATAGTTGTAGGTCCAAAAAAAAAGGCCCAAAATAGAATAAAACAAACTGATCTGTTGTATAGTATACATTTTTAAAACCTATCGCCATGTCTACAGCCATTGCACTTGCTGTCGATCTGTTGATATGGCCAGACGACAGTATGACAAAGTTCATGCTTATGCTTACGAAATCACTGAGAGAATACAACGGATTCTTTGAAGAGCACGCGCATAATTTTTTGACATTGGCCACAGGTGCATCTGCAACAACACTACCTACCCTTCATGCTCGACTCCAGGGCACTATTTTGACACTCATTGACAGTAAACGAGAGGTTCAACGTGAGATCATGTGGAGTCGACTATCGCAACAGGACGCAAGCACATTGACGCGAATCATAAAGCAGATGCGCACACCGCTTTACGGTATTGGTCTCAGCTTGTTGAGCAAATGCGATCTTTTAAACAGGGGCGAATTGGGTCTGAATGGAGATGAAGAGAAGGATACGTTTGTTCAAAAGCTTGCTGATATGAGAAAGCTCAGTCAAGAGCTCACGGATACTTGCGTCGAAGCGCTCTCAGAATGCAGTGCTCGATTGATCAAGTTTGGTGACCAACCAAGGACGTTAAAGAGTACCTTGTTATGGCCATTTCCTCGAATGTTCTTATGGAATCGAACAGAACTGAAGGTACCATCCAATGACTCTGGGCTGAAGGAACGCTTAGATAGACTAGTGGATCGATACGAACTTGAGATGAAGCATGGAACACTCTCGTTTATAAACTCAAAGACAGATGTACAGAACCATTTCAGCAGTCTGTTCCAAATTATCTACCTCTTTCAGTTCAATCTGATCTCTCACGCCAAGAATCTACAGGAACTACTCGCATTCGTTCAAAATCTCGAATCGATACGAACCAGAAAACAACTATGGTTTCCTCGTATCGGACTGCGCAAATGGCTATCCAAGACTCAACGCGTGGACGCTACCATGGGCGGCTTGACCGTGAACAATATGACGAGCCAGAACGACATGACCTTATCACGCACCATGACGGCACCAAACGAACTGGAGCGACAGGAAGATCTGGGGCTTTTAGGACAGAAGAACAAAGCAGGCAAAGTGACGTACCCGCGTGATCCGGATGTGAATCCACCTGAGACGGCTTTCGAAAAGTTCTTTTACAGTTTGTATCAGGTTATCTTGTGGATTCAAACTGTCGAAACTGGTTTTGCGATCAAGACGGCAAGTGGGTTTGTTCTTTTATCTTTACCTGCGTTTTTGCCTCAGAGTGCTTCCTGGTTCTTTGCCTGGCGAGGACAGTGGGCTACAGTGACGCTGATGATGTGGATGTCACCTCTGGCAGGCATGTTTCTGTTTGGGTAAGTTATAGCGGTCCATTTTTTTTTTTTTAGCAAGATGACTCATGTGATGTAGAACCGTGCTAAGAGTTATTGGTACTGTCGCAGGAGGCGTCCTGGGTATTATTGTTTGGGAAATTACGCGCGGAAATCCTTATGGTCTTTCAGTACTGATGTTTATATTGATGATACCACTGTATTATTTATTCTTTACCAACAAGATGCTGTCTCCTTTGGTTATTATGATTCAAATTACTTGTATCTTGGTCATTTGTTACGAGTATCAGTATGTTACGAGCGGAGCTACGGTATATGATTCAGCCGAAGTGGTGGCAGGCAAGGTAAGCAAGTTTCAGGAGTGAGGGGTTAGATGTCCCCATTCATTTTTTGTTTCCTTTATCTATAGCGTATGTTACTGGTCAGCATAGGTGTTGCAGCAGCGGCCATCTTGTCCATTCTTCCTAAACCTGTGACAGGTCGAGTAGAGCTACGCAAACGGATATCTCTGACACTTCATGACATTAGTAAGCTGTACGGCATTCTTGTTGGAGACATCATTTCCAACTACGACAACCGTATCGAGCAAACTCCGCGACTGAATAAGTCACTACGGAAACTGTTTTTAGATATTCGACGACAGGTTGCAGATGCAAGAAGCCATCTTCAGTTATCAAAACTAGAGCCACCATTAAGAGGCAAGTTTCCGTATGATACATATGCTGTACTTGTAGAAAAGGTAGACAATATGGCAGACTTACTGATCGGAATGGCTTATGCTGTAAAATCAATTGATCGGTCATGGCAAAGAAATCTTGTGAGTGCGATGCGAGATGAGCGCACAGAATATGTAAGGATTCAACAACAATAATGAATTGTATATTCATCCTTCTTTGTTAGATGGCCTTTATCATGGGACTTATGAAACTCCTTTCTGCAACAATGGCGTCTAAAATAGCACTACCGCCATTCATCGTGTCACCTAATGACATACGGGATCGATTTGGAAAACGACTGGCGTCTGAGATTGTTCAATGTCCAGGACGTCTAGATAATGCCACGTTCCCCAACTATTGTGCATTTACAATGAACGCCATCTATTTTGTGAATGAACTGTCGGTCGTCTTGGACTGTATCAAGCAACTTGTGGGCGTAGAAGACCCAGAACAGTGGATAGTTTTACATTCTTAATAAATCTGATCATAATAATGCCTTTTTCAAAGGCCGATCTTTTTCCCTTTTTTTTTCTCTGGTTGACTCAGCCCATTATAATAATAAAGAAAGAAACAAGATAATCACGCAATGTACACATTACTTCATGGACTTTATAATTATCTTACGAGAAAAGAAGAGTTTTATGTGTTAATTATTGGACTTGATAACGCTGGAAAGACAGTAAGTGGATAATAGATAAAGTATAAAAACTAAATATATAAATATAAATATATACAAATATAGACTTTATTAGAACGTATAAAGTCCATCTATTTAGGAGTATCAGGATTAGCACCAGATAAGATTGCGCCTACTGTTGGTTTAAATAGTAATAATCATAATAACTAGGAATATATAATGAATATCTAATACATATAATTTTTTTTTCTAGTTGGTCGAATAGATATCCAATCTTCGAGGATTAATTTTTGGGATTTAGGAGGACAAAGAGAGCTTCAACCGATATGGGAGAGATATTATGCTGAATGTCACGCCATTGTATTCGTTGTAGATTCTACAGATCCAAAAAGATTAGAAGAATGTAGAGATACTTTTGGTATTTGGTCCTAAAAATGGGAAGGGGCATATGATCTCACATTGAAATATAGAAACAATGATTACCAATGATGCAATCGAAGGTGTTCCTATTTTGATGTTGGCTAATAAACAAGATGTTCAAGGTGCATTACGCGTAGAAGAAATAAAGGAAGTCTTTAATAAAATAGCAGTCAAGTTGGGTGCAAGAGATTCTAGAGTGTTACCTGTGAGTGCACTTGAAGGGTAAGTAGTAACATGATCACGGTTACTTTATCTCATATTATATATAGTCATGGCGTAGAAGAGGCTATTGACTGGTTAATACTACGATTACAAAGAAATAAAATCAATCGACCTCCTGTCTTTCGTTAAAAGAGTGAGGTTAACATTTCTGACACGTGGATACATAAAATAGGACGACTTCAAAATAACGCCTGATCACAAGTTCTATTGTATGGTAGCAAAAGGAAATTTGTTTTGAATAGGAAAAAGGGGAAAGGAACACAAAAATAGCGTAACGTATGGCAACAAGTGAATAAATCTATAAAAGCAGCTTGTCCTTTTGGAACTCTCTATTTCTCTAGTTTACGAACTTTTTTCTTTTTTCTTGTTTTTATATTCAAGAAAAAAACCCCCTTATAACAAACTACTCTCTAAGCGCTTTTACGTTTTTTAACGAACTTTTTTAACGACCCCTTTTTTTTTTCTGTTAACGAAACTTTTCTCTTTTTTTAACGAACTTCACGAACTTTAACGATATTATAAACATGCCTATCAACGCTGGTATTAACGGATTTGGTCGTATTGGCCGTATTGTCTTACGTGCATCTCTTGATAACCCTAATGTTAACGTGGTTGCCATTAACGATCCATTCATTGACCTCGATTACATGGTAATGTATAATGATGGTAAATAGAGAAAAATACTCATTCGTGTCTGTGTTTAGGTCTACATGTTTAAGTACGACTCGACTCATGGCCGATTCAAAGGCACGGTCGAGAAAAAGGATGGGAAACTGGTTGTGAATGGACAAGCCATCACTGTCCACACTGAACGCGATCCCTCTCAGATCCCTTGGGCACAAGACGGTGCTGATTATGTGATTGAATCCACGGGTGTTTTTACTACCAAGGAAGCTGCCTCGGCTCACCTCAAGGGTGGGGCGAAGAAAGTGATCATCTCTGCTCCTTCGGCGGATGCGCCCATGTTCGTATGTGGTGTCAACCTGGACAAGTACTCGTCTGACATGACTGTAATTTCAAATGCGTCTTGTACAACCAACTGTCTGGCTCCCTTGGCCAAGGTCATTCATGATAACTATGGTATCATTGAAGGCTTGATGACGACGGTTCACGCAACAACTGCTACTCAAAAGACAGTCGATGGCCCTTCCAACAAGGATTGGAGAGGTGGGCGTGGCGCAGGTGCAAATATCATTCCATCTTCCACTGGTGCTGCCAAAGCGGTGGGTAAGGTCATTCCCGAGTTAAACGGTAAATTGACTGGTATGGCGTTCAGAGTGCCTACTCCGGATGTCTCCGTAGTCGACTTAACTGTGCGACTTGAAAAGGTAAAACGATACAAGGGGCGAAGTGTTTCACATAACTAAAATGTATATTAGCCTGCCTCCTATGATGAAATCAAGGCAGTCATCAAGAAAGCGTCTGAAGAAGGGCCTCTCAAGGGCATTCTTGGCTATACTGAAGATCAAGTGGTCAGTACAGATTTCTTAAGTGACACTCATTCTTCTGTTTTCGACGCTAAAGCCGGTATTCAATTATCACCAACATTCGTGAAACTCATCTCGTGGTATGATAATGAATATGGTTACAGGTAACGCGCTAAATACACAATAATTTTGTTTGGGGTTATACTCATTTTATTTATAGTACGAGAGTGGTGGATCTGATAGCTCATATTGCAAAAGTAGATGGCGCGCTATAATCCTTCTCTTCCCTTTCCCATCAAAAAAGTTCTCTCTCAAACCCAAAAAAACAGTTGACGAAAAAAAAAAATAAGCCAAAAAAAAAAAAACAAACACAAAATACCCTCCCCTTTACTTTCCTTTCTCAAATCCTCCCGTTTTTTTTTATTTATTTTCCTCCTTCAATCCATCTTTTTTTTACTTATGATTTTTTGTATGTTGTAAATTTAATATGTTAATCTATATGTGATCACATTGTGTATATGCAAAATAAAACTGAATTCTAGAATTTAAACTCTTATAATGAATGTTACACTTGCTGTTATACCAAAAAGCTGCCGTTTATTTTACAGGTTTTTAACAGGAAATAGTTTGTAATTGTCGACCACTTCAATAGATTCTGTATGCTCTGTTGCTTCATTTACTAGATTAGAAAGGTACTTATTTACATCCTTGTCTAATCCATAATAAGTTGGATTTTGCTTCAGACGACGATACATGTACGTCCACGTCAAGTAGTCCACAGCGTCTTGTTTCGTCTTGATCCTTTTACTCAGCACCTCGGGGACAAGATCAAGACATGCGTGTAAATCGGATTCTACAGGTAACGACTCACGCAAGAATGCTTCGTAATAGCCCTTCTTACTCTCTTGCACAAACACGCGTACGACACCCCTTGTATCTAGAGGACGACTGGCGCGACCCATCATCTGTAAGAGATCGCTCACAGGATAATCAATATACCGCTCGTTCTCTGGGTCATAATGATCGGTACCCTTGATGACCACCAAATGGGCAGGGAACTGTACCTGCCAAGCAAGATCACTTGTCACAATCAGAATCTGAATTCGTCCATTCAAATACAGCTCTTCCACCATTTTTCGATCACTTTCTCTTAAGCCTGTGTGATACAAGCCGATACCAAAGGCAAGGGTCATTCGCAATAGTTCATCGTTGATTCGAAGCATTTCAAATTCACTATCGTCCATATGAAGCCACTGTCTCGGATTATCTTCCATACCACAGTAAGCAATGAGGTCTTGCGCCGTCAGCTTGGTTTGTCGACGTGATGTGACGAAGACAATGGCCGGCTCATTCGGCGAGTGTGTCTTGATGGCTGCATAGGTCGGTTTGTTCATCATGGCCATACGTGGGCTATAGTGCTTGCCGGGAAAACCATCAATGTAAATTTCCATGGGACGTATCAAGGGTTTAAAGTTGAATAGTCCTGTCTTGCTGACACCCATCCAGTTAGCCAGATCAGAGGCATCTGCTAGTGATGTGCTCAACGCCACCATGCGAACCTTGTGCTCTACACTAGCATGCTTTATACGCGACACGGCGACTTCAAGTGCTGGGTCTTGGCTTATCAAATGAACCTGGTCCACAATCACACAGGATACCTGAGAGATGATCTTTTCCCATTGCATCTTGTTCCAGTTGTCGGGTATCGTCACAAGCAGATGGGCTGCTTCCACGTCCTCAAGCGCAACATCTTGTCTAATCTCAACCACCGTCTTGTCCAAAGCCCCGCTGAATCGATGCGTCCAATCTTTCTTTCGTTCTCTTACCAGTGCTTCTTTTGATGCCATGTAGACTACCTTAGACTCGGGACGATCTCGCAGAGCAGCCCATAAGGCAAGTTCACTAGCCACGTTCTTACCTGTACCTGCAGGCGCGCCCACGAGGACGTGTTGCTGTGTATGGTACAGCGTATGGAAAAGTTGAGTCTGCAAAGGGTTAAAGTGTCTAAACCCATAGATCGCTTCGAGCACAGGATGATGTAATGCGCTGATAGGCAAAGGCTGCAAGTCCAAGAGATCTCTGTACTGTGGATCCATACGGGGCAATACCAGGTCTTCAAGCGGTATCGACACGGTTGTCTCGGCACCTAGCCAGCGATCCGATACGGCGCGTATGTGCATCTCAGCCGGCAGAGGTTCGACTAGAGGCACGATAAAGGTGAGCTTGGCAGGCTCGCCCAGCTGCTTCTTGTAAAGCAAAAAGTATTCAGAATAGTAAATCTCGCCTTCGTCATCTTCTGCCCAGATATACCATGGCTCGACACTACCGTGCGCTCGGTCGTTCCAGACGAAATCAGGCGTGATGGTCAAATCGATCTGTAAGAGATGACGTGTGATCGGTGCCATGTGGACATCAAGCAAGAGCATCGGGAACTGGTCGACACATCGTGAGAGCGTCATGCCCATCTTTTGGTTATGATTGACTAGGTCTGCTAGTTCCTGCACGCTCATCTCGCGCATCTCCTCGACAGATACCTCGTGTGTGCGATTCTCTAGCTTGTGAACAATATCTATCGGTAATCCCATCTGTCGTAAAGGGTGTTGGAAAGTCCACATGCGTTTCTCAACAGCCTTGTTGATTTCAAGTAGAACAGAAGCAGTGACGCCCCAGTTACGGTTGAGTGCGATTTCAAACAGGGCACGGGCAATACGGCCTGCGTTCTGAGCAACGTAGGCACAATCAGAAACAAGTGCAAAGTCATCGATATACGCGTTTGAAATGTAAGCTTGGAGTAGAATATTGACCTTGCCTGGTGTATCTTCAGGACCTCCCTGATAGGGAATGAGTTTATATATATTATATGTGATTATATATTACCTTGATGTCACATGCGCATGCGTTCTCTAGTAGCTTTTTCAGTTCTTGATGTTCTGTTTCGCGCGACTTGATCTGATCAAATTCAGAGCTGAGACTCATCATAGCCAGCACATCGGCTTCTGTCATACGCGGTTTCATAATTGAATTGAATATCTCGATACTCTTATGCTTGATGTAGAAATTAGAGGCGATACGACCCAAGTCTTTAGGGATCAAGTATCCCGTCGAGCCGTCAAAGAGGATCATCTGACATTCTGCTAATTTACGTGCGGCTAGTGTGATAATCTCATGTCGCTTTCTTCCCAGTAACGGATCCTCTGCGGGTTCTGAATGCGACATACCGTAGACCATCGGGTTTTTCCTCATACGGACGTACAGATAAGTGTAACTTAGCCAAGTGACTGCTTCGTCAATATTAGTTACTGTGCCCAACGAGATCTCCGCGTTCAAGTTGTCAACAATATTTTCTATAAATTTGGATTCAATCGGGTGTTGTTGGGTAATGGCTGAGATATAATGAGATAGACGGTCATGGGTCGTCAGGATGTAGCCCACGCCGTGAGTTTCGTACTGAGGTCGTCCGGCACGACCAAAGATCTGAAGGACGTCAAGGATCGATAGGTCCACAAAGCTACCTTTGGTCGAATCGTATACTTGTGTGCCCTTGATGACGACGGCATAAGCAGGTAAGTTGACACCCCAGGCTAATGTGGCAGTACAGCAAAGGACCTTGAGTGATCCATCAGCAAACATGCGCTCTGTGAGTGATCGATCGGACCGAAGCATGCCTGCATGGTGAATGCCAAATCCGTACTGAAAGAGTTCCTTCATTTCCTTGTTGCGGGATCGTGCAATCTCCTTTTTGAAATTGGCGTAGTTTGGTGCATCGATGCAGTCAAAAAAATCTTTATAGACAGTTAAGTTTTGTTCATTTGACGTCATTTATGTTACCTCCAAGGCCTTCCGCAGCTACCTCTTCTCTTAGCATTTGTGCTGTCTTGACAGTCTCTTTTCTTGCATGGACAAAGACCATCACTTGATGCCCTTGCTGTACGAGCTCGGATACCTTGTCAAAACATGCCTTGTTCATTCGTTCGTTCGATTGCACACTGTTGGGTTTACCCTTGATGCCTATAAAATGTTGTTCAAGAGGGACAGGTCTAAATCCATTATCAAAATAAAATAATCCTTGATATGGGTTGACTCTGGAGGGGGGAAATGTTAGCCTTTTGTATTCTTTTCATCTTTTGGGAGAAATTACCTCAAGAATGTCGCTACATCAATATAATTGGGTAAAGTAGCGGATAGACCAACAATACGAATGAGAGATTGACTAGATTCAACCTACAATAATTATTTTTTTAATATACAGAAAAAAAAAAAAAGAATGTTGAATAACAGTACCTGTCTTATCGTTCTGGCAATAATACTTTCAATAACAGCACCACGATCTTCATTCAACAAGTGAACTTCATCAATAATCAAAAGTTTTACTTTCTACATAGGCCTTGAGCAAAATGTATAAACATATAAATTTATAAACAAACCTGTGTAAGCTCAGCATCACCTGTGCCCTTTCGAGTGATCACATCCCATTTCTCGGGCGTGGTAACAATAAATTGGGTTTCACTAATCTCTGCCTTTGTCAACTGCATGTCACCGGTAAGCTCACGTACTTTGACTCCCAGAAACTTTAACCGCTTCTGCATCTTTTCGACAATTTCTGCTGCCAAAGCTTTCATAGGCGCAACATAAACAATCTTGAACTCGTTTACCGCAATCTTGAAGTCGATCTCGGTCGTTCCCTTTCTTGGGGGCGGGTGACAGTGTTGTGAGAGACATCGTAAGACAGTTAACATGGCAACATCAGTTTTACCCTAAAAAATAAAAGTCATTGGTAATGATAACTAAAGAGAGGGAGCAACTTACAGCACCCGTGGGAGCACAGACAAGCATATTTTCATTTGTTTCATAAGCAATGGGATAAACAATGGATTGAACACGATTAAGGGTATCATAGGCCTATTTTACTATTTTAATAACCTCCCTCTCACGGGTAAAGTGCTTGTTTACCTTGAATGCATTTCTGGCTAAGCTATCCATTTCAGATATAGGAATTCGTCTTTCTCCTTGCCTTACAGGAGCTTGTTTAGGAACCGGAATAATCGTTTCTTCATAATCATTATTATCATAGCGCTCAGTGCCTGCTGGTAATGCAAATCGCGATCCAAATATTGACAGTGTTGTCCCTGACACGCCAGACTGGTACACATGAGGATACTTGGGCTGCGCCGCTGTCTTGTAATTCGAGCTGAACAATGGGCCCGAACTCATCAGTGCGTTTTCTCTAGCCTGTCGAAGATCCTGCCCATCAAAGCCCAAGATGCCCATGGATGTTGTATGAGCATCATCTTCTTTGTTCTTATTTGCTTTCTTTTGTTCTTTTCTCAATCTCTTTTCTTGTTTCAAGTCTTTTTCAGATTGTATAGTAAGTTGTGTGCCATAGACAGGCCGTCTAGACTCAACCTGTCTTTGTTGTTGTTGTTGTTGTTGTTGTTCGTCATAATTAGACTATGCACGTTATCAGTTCTCTCTCTCTCTCTCTCTCTCTGCCTTTATTTCTTACCATTCTCATAATGTTATGCACAATGGTAGATCGATTGGATATCAATTCTTCAATAAACTCTAATGCCTCATATCCCAACAATTCAACCAGAGGCACTTGAATATCTTCATCGCCTGATCGAAGGATCGTAAACAACTCGGCACATACTTCGTAAGGATTGTCTGAGGCATATCTTTGGGTATGTCTATCATGCTAGGTTAACCAAAAGCAAAAACGGGTCAAGTGACATACTGTAATAACCAATCACGATCATACACGATCGGCTTGCTCGATCTTGTTTGTTCTTCTTTTCTTACAGTGGGCTGCACAAGTGTTTTGAGAAATGGTGATTTGGGTGGTTTGAACTGAATGTGCTGGCCAAATTGAACTTTTGGTACATCTATACATTCAAGTCAGTTATATATATAAGCGCGTGTCTATGATATCATTACCATCAGGAACTGAATGGTTAACTTGGTAGTTCTTTACAAGTTGACGAAATGTCTCTTGTTCATTCTCTTTTGTATCCACTGTTGTCGTTCCAGATAAAAAGTCCGTACGTAGCTTGCCTTTACCCTTTTTTGAACGAGAGGATGCTATTAGCTCAGAAAGCCCACTAGTCCAAGTGCCTGTCATGAAGTTAAAAAGTTAAAAATAATGTAATAAAAAAAAAGAGTTAACTTTATATACAACAGTGTCGCGCAGCAACTTGTAGCCATCGGTTTGATGACCGCAGCGAAAGATAGAGAAACAGAGAGAAGCGGATCCTCAAAAAAGAGAGATACACGTAAACTGTGTTATTGACACTATTATTCATGCATTTATTTAACAAACAAAAGTTATGGAGCTGTAGTGGAAGATGATTTCGGGACAAAAAGACAAAGACGGGGTCGTAATGATCCAGTCCAAATAGGTTGATGGCTACAGTGGTATACTACGGAGTGTCATCGATGATGCAGTGCCAATGGTATTTCCATAACTATACCCACACCAAAGGAATGAAGAGCATCCATATCTACTGTATAATGTTCATTTACCGGAACAAAAGGAAGCGAACATTGACCCTATTTCGTCAACGGGTGAGAGAACTTGTCCGGCAGAGAATATCGCTCGAAGATTGAGAGCCAGAAGCTGAGCTTGAGAGGGCAGCTTACAAAAAGAAGTTGAAAATTGTCTTGGTGTTGGTTTGGCAGAGTCTGCACAGCAGAGAGAGATACAAGCTGAAATTTCGGGTATGCTGTAAAGTAGATGTAGTGACGAGGTCATGTAGTAGGCGAGGCCATGCTATGAGGGCTTTAGGAGACATACTCAGGAATCAAAAACGTTCGCCAACAATGTGGTCGGACGTCGTGGATGCTTAAGCAAATTGTGATCTTTGTGCTAGAAGAAACGGAGCTGATTAGGAGACACGTTGGTAATCGGAATAGGTGCTGCATTGGGGTTTTTCGTAAGGTTTGGAAGGGTCCAATGAGCACAGAAGGGCATCCGAGAGGAGGGCGTTTTCAAATCTGGCAGATTCTGAACTATGAGAGCCAAATGAGGATAGATCATCGCGAGAACCAAAGGTAGAGCGACTAATGCCTGGTGCCAATTGCAGAATAGTTTGAACTGTTCTTCAGCTGGGAAAAGGCAGAGAATGTGGATGTACGGAATGAAAATTTGGACCAGGAGATTATAAGTAATCTTTCAGCCTATGCTTGCCCAGTGTAATCCCTTTGTACGCATTTATCGCCATGCGTATGAGATATTGAGAAACTCTGAGAGATCCAGCGCCAACAGTGAGGATAGGCCTAACAATGATGACTCTGCCGAAAGCGGCTCACCTTATATCACCGTTAGTCCCTCCATGAGAGTGAGGCTACTTGAAGGAGGCGACAGATCCACTCACAACTTGCCAACAATAGAAGAAGTTGCCACAATTATTGTGGTACGGCGTGGAGTTGTGATGTGAACAGTGCATTAAATATATATGGTATCTTTGTTTACAAATCAAAACATGACAATGAAAGTCCTCCCCCGTTCAAAAGACTAATTTTGCCGTGGATTTAATGCGCTGCCCCATAACAGTAGTACATTCCTTAACGCCTTGGTAAATATAAAACGAACAATACGTTATTCTTTATTCATTAGTCTCCTAGTTTATGTATTTACACAGATCAAATAAACTTTATTAATAACACAACTTTTTTTTTTTTAAATCTAATTTGAGCTTGCTTTAAAGGAATAATCCCAACCTTGTGTGGAAGGCGTTTCTGTAGGAATCTTGGCTTGCTTGGGATAGGTCATATGTCTACTCTTTACAATAGCACCCTTAAACAGTCGATCACTTGTCTTTTCTAATTCTGTCATGGCAGCTTGCATGGTTCTAAATTGACGTTCCAATGTACGCTCGCGTTGTTCTCTTTGTCTCATTTTATGAAGTTTCCAAGCTCTTTCAATAGTTTCATGTTCTTCTAATGTCTGTCCCTCTAAATGAATCGTAGGTTCTTTCTTGGGTGATTCGAACAAGACTCGACGAATGACTTCAAGTCGAGAATCACCTGATGTTGAAGAGCCTGTCTTCGAACTTGATAATCTTGTTTGCTGTAATAAACAACGTCGAGCAGGACGAGAAATGATGTTTAGCATTAGAGTAGCAAAAAAAAAAATAAAAAAAGCTCCCCCTTCTTCTCTCACACAGCCAAGTGGGGCCCTGGTTCACCCCGCTTTTTTTACTGGCATTTCTTATGAATAAGCCACAATTAGTCACACACACACAATAGGCATCATGCAAACAGTAGGTTATTTATATATAATACAGATAATACACACTAATTATTACAATATAGCTATGGTCGATTATTATTAATAGGATATGCGGGTGGTGGTTGTTGAATATCGCCCATTTCGATGGATCTGTCATAAGAAGGTGGAAGAGGATGTCCTGTTGACTGTTCACGTACATTTTCAGGGCCGATATCCAATACGATATCCATCATGGAGGTATCATAGGCCGGCAATGCTTCCCCTTCCTGAGCCAGTTCAGTCTCTGTGTCGACTTGTGAAATATCAATGACGAAGTTTATATTGTAAGCCGATAATGGTTGTTTCAGCAGAAGCTCAGCCGACGTATCTGTATCCCTGGGTCGTCTAAAGGTCCACTTGATTTGTCTTGTTACGTCTTGTGAGTTGAGTTCTTTTAAAAGACTTTGTAAAGAGTCATAGTACTATAACAATAAGTCCCATTGAATATTATTTAATAAAAAAACTTACTCGAGCAAGTCGAATATAATATGTATTTCGTCTACGAGTTGTGAAAAAGGCAATCATGGCAGGAACAAGCAAGATGATGAGTGGATACCAAAGTCCTGCATTGGCAGCACGAGCAACAATAGAAATAGCTGCTGCTACTGCTACTAACAGAATGGCTATTAGAAATAAATAGGTGTCTATCCAAATTTGTGGGTATTCTTTTGCAACATGCTGTTCAATGGCTGTTAGTCTTGTAATAAACAATTCTTCTGTTAACTGCTTAATGAATTAGTTTTCTGCTTCTTTTTTTTTTTTTTTCTTTTTATTACATATTCTCTTAAGCGACTGTATTGCGCATAATCACCATAATGTAAGTTGGACCTTCGCCAACGTCTAATAATTAGTGGAAAAGAAGCTAAAGCCATTTCCCTCTTTCTTTCTTTCTTTCTCTCTTTCTTCTCTTTCTTTTTAAGAGAAAGAGTTATTTTCTGTATTTTCTTATCTGAGAATTTTATTTTTGGGAATAAAAATATGAGTTACTTTATTTAGAAGACAAAGGTATTTAGCATATACATAGGCACATACATACACACACACATACAGAAAGACTTGTAACATATTTCACAACTATTTTCTTTATTTTCTCTTCTTTTCCATTCTTTCTTTATATCTTATGAATTCATCATTTATAAAGGATAAAACCATTCGATTCTCTTTAGCTTCATGTAAAACAGAGGAAAGTATTGCTTCATCCATTGCAACACCTGTAGATGCCTCACCTCAGCCTAGACCCTTAAATACCCCCTCTGTAATCATCAATATTATCAACGATGATCCACTTCCAAACACAAAAGTCTACCAAATCATTCGTCGTCGCCCTTCTGCACCACCACCAGAACAACAACAACAACCAACTCAAAGCAAAATTAAGAAACTGTGGCCAAAACTTAAACATATTGTATCAAAACCATCAGCAACGGCACCTCTTAATAAATAATATGTTTAAAACCTTTTGATTACCAAAAATAGAAGGCTAGTTTTGCTACTTTTTTTTTTCATTTAAAGGAGGTTACAATAAAGGGGGATCTTGAGGACGGGAACGCGTAAGAAACGACATTTTTACGGTATCTTACGAACTTTAATGTCCGCTTAAAAACATTTTCCTAGAACCTAATGGATCTATTGATATTTTTAAGCATCAAGTTCTCCGAATGAATTATAGCTCATCTTTTGTATTGTCAAATTGTGGTTACCTTTAGATCCCCTCTTTTTTAGTCAACTCCTATTAGACTCCTATTCTTCCCCTATATTTCTTTATGCTTTTTCGAGGCCTTTTTTGTCCTCTTTCTTTTATATTATTTAAAAACGATGGTGCCTATCTGGGCAGTAATATGTACTGTTCTCATAGTTGTATTATTGGCTATATTCATCTTTCTATTCGTTATCAAAAAAAGGACATCTAGAGCCATTGTCCAACCACAAGATGACGCAGCGACACTTCAGGGAAGCATCCATGAAAAGAATAAGCACATCTCTATACCAAACGCTTGTTACTTTGCTGACAAGATAGAAATTGAATCCTCGGATGATCCTTACTACAAAGACGCTGGTGGCTTTGTCTCTATTGATTTAGATAACAACATAAAGAAAGAAGAACATAGTAATGAGATCAATTATACATCATTACCCAACGCAAGTACGTCGACTATTGTTACTGCTATTGAGGAAGGACAAGCTGCGACTGTAGCACGACAGGTCATTCGTTCTGCCTCTAGAAAATCTCGCACTCGATCCATGGTCATCACGGATGAATCATCCATGTTTACAGAAAAAGTGCCCGATATATCCACCTATGCTACCGTCCGACGTCCTCCTGCTTATTTTAAGATGAAGGATGAAAACGACAGTCAGACGATAAGCAAGGCAGCACCCTATAATAAACAAGACAAGACCTTACCTAGAAAGAATCAACTACAGCATCTCTTTAATGATGCCTCGACGGATGGTCTCGAAAGCAACAACAGTACTATTCGAAATAACAAGATGCCAAATCGTAATGTGGATACCATTCGTCGTATGCTTCAGTCATCATGGAGTGGTCACAACTTGAAATCGAGTGAGTCCAGTAGTACGTTGTCAAGTGGCATTAGTAGTATACGACCTATAGCCTCTCCTGTCGGAAGTATCAATCCTCGCTTACAAAATCAACAGCTGGTTTCTCTCTCACTCAAGGCAAATCAAGTGCAACGACGACAGCGTCCAACGATTATTGGATACATGGACGGGCCAAAGCCCACCGCATCCTTTTCTTCTTCTACTGTACAAACTGTTATACCTGCAGATGAAGTGTAATGTTTATCTCGATTTTTTAATTAAATATTTTATTGATTTCTTTTATATATAATATGTATTCTGATGCCCTTATCTCTTTTATCTATATCTTTAATGTCTATAAGAATGATGTGGATAAGGTGAACTTGTTTGTGAAGATGGATGATGTGAGGATTTCACTAGATAGTGTTCCATATAATACTCTAGCATTTCAGATGCCAGCTCTATTTAAGCTGTTAGTTTTTGCTATAATAAAAAAAAAACTATATTTACCATGCATTTCACTAGCATCGACATCTTGTAAGGATTCATACCAGTTTTCATTTAGTTTTTCTGATGTAGTAAAGTGAGATGCTAATAATAAAGCAGCAGCAGCAACAAGGTTTGGCTTATATAATACACATAATGGAGATCCAAGGCTATGTATAATCAGTATAACGCTATAGTAGACTTTTTTCTTTTCTTACCATTGATACAACAACATCCATGCTTTACGTATTGCTGAAGAAGATACTATAGGGGTATGTGTAAGCATCACTGTTTTTTTCAAAAAAAAAAAAGGTTCTTACTTTGTAATTGTGCTTCTATTTGACATAAACTTGTATGAGCTTGCTGTACTGTTAAATCAAAGCACAGGGTCTCCAACAATATCACTTCATAATGTAACAAGGTCTCTTTCCAACGAATAAAAACCTATATAATCAAACGCGTGTCAATAGGTTAATATAATTATTATTCATTTTTACTTTTGAGTCTTCTTCAAGACTTAGTTTATCGTTTTTTTGAGCCTTTTGTGCACATGCAGTGACAATGTCCTTCATTCGTCGTGTACATTCTTCTACTTTGGTTGCAACAAATAAGCTGGTAGCTGCAATATCCTATATAGATATTGTTAATTACATAAACATGTCATTTGTATCCATATTTTACATAGACATGGAAACGTTTCATGGATTGTCTCATGAAAAATCGATGAAAGAAAGTTGTAGCTGTTACCATGACTAATTGAGGCCTATGTTTACATCTATTTTAATCATTTCTCTTGATTTATTAACACATGTCTATTTACAACCACTTTACAGGTTTAGTTTGGCGCCTACTGCCAATAAGTAATGGCAACCTTTGACTCTATCTGTTTGTTCTTGTTCAAATGATATTCCGTCTAAAATGCTGGGTGTATCATATAGATCTTCCTTCGTAAATAGCCACTAATGAATAAAGTAAATGAGATAATAAGACATGGAAACAAAAAGATTTACCTGATCATGGTTTTTAAATGACATTTATTAAGTATTTATGTATATACAAACTTTTTTATTCTCTCCTTCGCTCACTCACACTCACTCACGCACACCCTCACTAAAAGATATAAAAAATGTCTTTTTTATAATTTCCTAAAATGTGAAAAATTCTTTATCCAATGAGGGACGATCATTTAGTTACACTAGTTGTGTAAGAGAATAATACTTAAAGCTAGTTTTATATATATATATATGTATATATTGAATGATTTAAACACACATCATAAAGAATAATGAAAAGGAGCAAGTAAAGAAGAAGAGTAAACTGTTTTTGTGTTGCAAGAAAATATAAAAGAAAAAAGAAAAAAGAAAAAAGAGAGAAAAAGAAACATTTTTTTGGGTTTCTTTTTGCAACGGGTTTTCTATCTCTCTCTCTCTCTCTCTCTCTCTCTTTCCCTTTCTCTTTCTCTTTCTAGATGAAATTTGAGCTCAGATTATGATAGAAAGTAGCCATTATTCCAGTTTGGTGCTTAAGAACAGGTGGTGTATATCGATAATGACATCTTTGAATTGATGTTTTTAGAGGTAACACTTTTTATAATGAATACTTTGTCATGTATATCCTTGTCTTGTTTTACAAAAAGGATAGATGTATATAGAATGGATGATATTCGTATCATTCCATTTTCTGGTATCACAGTGGGTCAGATTTGATTTACTTACACTATAACGCGTCTCAGCAGTCACTTTCACCCTTTCTCTCCTTTTTTTTACTTTTTCTTTCTTCTTTCTTTTTTTAAGCGTGATAATGAGTGATAAAGAAATCAAGAATGAACCAGTTGAAATACCTTCAACATTAGAAACAGGACGACGTGCAAGAGTAATAGTGATTTATTGATGATCCATTGCATTGCTTAATTACTTTTAATACTAGAGTCCAGATATACTAGAAGAGAGAAATGTCGTCTTATTGGACAAGGTAAAGTTCTTGATGCATGCCAAGTAACAAACTACTCATAATATTTCTCATAGGAGAATATAAAAGTAATATAATAACAATACACAATAATAATCATCTATTAAACATGATCACATTCCCACTTTAGCCTGATGAATCAAGGACAGAATCTAAAAGAAATGATGCCACAGTGAAAAAGGATACCTATCTTAAAGAACTTGAACCACTCAAACTGAAGCATAGACCAGGGAAAGAAAAGATGAAGGAGAAAGAACAAGAAGAGGAATTAACAGACGAATTATATAAACTACAAGAAGAATTGAAATCACAAAAGGAATATTATCAATTATTGGATACAGAATACAAAAAACTGAAAAAGGAATTGAACGAGAGAAGTAAGGAGGAGATAGAGGCTAATATTGAAAAGATAAGATCAGAATATGAAGAATATAAAGAAATCGTCAAGGAATTGGATCAAACATTGGATAGCTTAAATCAGGAAGGGTTGAGTATCGTTGACTTGTTGGATAAGAAAGATCAAGAAATTGCTAGACTGGAAAAAGAACTGCTTAAAGTTGAAAGTGAATATTTCAAGTACAAGTATGAAACATCATCTGAATCAACTCTATAAACCAAGTCACATAACTCTTTTTTTATATCTTTTTCATTTTCCCCCCTTCTTCTTCTTTCTTTTAATAAAAAAAACATATATAAAAAATGGGAAAAAACAAGAATGGATTCAGTCTGTTTGAGGCTTATTTAGCTGCGGGAATGACATCCAGTTCAAATACGATAGGTAGATACATATTATAAACAGAGTTGAATTTTATAGATAACACATATATAGAGCATGTTCCATTACCTGATTCAATGGTACACACAAAAAAGGATCACAATCCATTATCTTTATTTTATGTTAATTCATTTGCAAGCGAACATCCACTTTGATTGAACAAATAGGAAAAGAACACAACTGGTCAGATGAACAAATAAACGAAGATATTCATATCTTGGAATGTAATAGACTTTATTATGTAAGTCATACGGCCCCCCCCCCTTACTTTTATGTATATTCATGTATATGCACAGGTGAGAGAGCTACGTGAATTATCTAATAGCAGTTGGAAGGTAAATAATGATCATAATCATACATTCTCCCCCTAATATCACGCTTAAAGGCTATTCAATTACTGCCACTTGTAAAAGATCTCTTAAGGAACGCCTTGGAGCCTGATAGAAAGCTGAATGGAAAAGAAAAGAAGAAAAAAGATAAAAAGCAGGAAAAGAAGAAGAAGAGCAAGAAAAAGCTGGGGTCTCCCGTCTTGTCAACAGCTAGTTTCGTTGCCGAACCAACATCATTTATGTTATCTGAAGACCCTGAGACTATCCGTAATACGATTAGAAATTCATCTATTGATTTGACTGCTACAGGTACAGACAGTCTTAAGAAAAACAATGGTATAGCAAAATCAGTTTCATTTTCTGAAGATGATGTCAAAAAGACAGATGATATGGATAGCAGTAGTAGCAGCAGCAGTAGCAGTAGTAGTAGTAGCAGCGAATCCGAGTGTGACGAAAAGAGGTCAACTGAACCTAAAAAGGAAATTGTGTTTACAGGTCGACCTATCAAGGTTATCAGTAGCAACCGTATTCGAGTGAGAACAAGTGATAATCAGGTGTTTGAATGTGATAGATTCTGTCCCCACAAGAAGGTTGATTTAGCTACATGGGGACAAGTGTTGGGTAATTCAGTTATCTGTACAAAGCATAATTGGAACTTTTCAATGCAAGGTGCACCCACAAAAGGAAGGACATTGAATCCTTGTCAAGTAAACGATTGGTAAAATTTTATTATTTCTTTGGTAATGCAATAGAATAAGGTTGAACTCCTTTTCTATATCTTTCAATCCAACTCAAGATATATCTTTATAAAGTGAATAAAAATCATGTTATTCCCTTATGTTATTACTTACTTTCTTGACTTTGTGTCAATTCCCATGTCATTTTTCATCACTCGACTAGGTGTAGTAAACAATTGTTCCCAAGTCTATATTCATCATGAGTATCCATATACAGAATATTTATAGAAATTACTACCTCGAATTTATCAGCAAAACTTTCACAGTTGCGTCCAATAGTCTTTAAAAAGGTTTGTACATCTGTAATTTGACCTGGAGAAATAGATGATCAGTATGGTTCCACTTGTCTTTTTTAAATATCCTTCTTACCTCTTGGTGAAGGTACTGACTTGGCTGTATTATTATGTGTGTATCGAACACCAATAGTGTTGATGCGTGTAGTGAGATTTCTATACATGTCAAAAAAAGATAGTTATAAAAAAAGAATGGCCCTGGACAAATTTCTGAAAGCCACAGAGGCAGTGCTTAATTTGACCAATAAAAAAATAGCTTGCTTTTATTTAACAAAATTGATTTGGTAGACAACACTCAATTTATTATAAGGGTTCACAACAAACACGACAAGTATTTACTGAATAGGTGTGAAGCATAGATGCTCTTGTTATGGAATAGGCTCCATGTAGAGGCGAAACATTCATTTAGTTGCCCCATAAACATAAAGTGCAGCTACTTGCTTTACTTGCAGAATTGTTTTGCTTTATGGACTTGCTGAACATCCTCTCATCACTGGACACAGAAAGTTTGGCCATTCTGCCAATTCTTTGTAATCTATAGAGTTAGTCTACAAGTTACAAACAATGATATGGACTGATTATAAGCTGATTTATCATATTTTTTGTATTCAGCTTTTACTAGGAAAGGTTTAATGTTGCCACTGTAGTTATTCATATATAAGGTGATATGGATGATTTATATCACTAAACATGCCAATTGTCTTTAATGCTTGGTTGCATCGGCTCAAATCCAAGGTATCCTTGAGTTCATATGCATGATTAACATAGTTTATACATGGAATCGTCAGTACTACTCTTTAGCTTCCTGTGTTTCTCTTTTTATAAAAAGGAGACTTTTGATATGTGATTATCTTTGAAAATATCGGATCATCGCAAAAAATACTAGAAATGGCATCACTGTACTTCCTCTGCTTAATCATAAAGTTCAGGTCAGCTTGAATGCTTCTCATTGATTGGCTATTAGCGGAGTTAAATCTTTCACAACAAGAATAAGTCACAATTTATCCATATTACTTCTTTATTTGGTAGTAACACTTTCAATTTGAATTATTTTATAATGTAAACCTTGGAAGATTTCTTTCATCAGTCTGAGGCTTTGGTCAAGATTGAAGTAAGAGGAATATGGAAACTGTTTGCTGCATGAAAAAAGAGTTGTCAATGTGACTACGTAAGAGTACGACATCGGTTTCTTCTTAGTGTGACTTTCCAGAAAGAGGTGTGTATGCCTTCGATACTGACTAATGATAAATAAAGTTCTGTCCATTATCTACTAGTAGAAGAATCGCTTATTATACGTAATTATGCTAGCTTTAATAAAGATAACCTAATGCAATAATGATGTAACACACTTCTCCTTCTTCTTTTACCTTTGTCATAACCACCTTTACTTTCTCCTTAATTGATCTCCAAAAATAGAAACTCAGGCCCTGCTAATCGTTTAATCGGAGACTTAAAAACTTTTTATATAAATGGTGCTCTGTAACGAGAGAGGTTGAACTCTTCCGCTTTATACAGATTCTTTTTACCCGAAAAGAATAATTGGATGATACAAGCAATCCAACTCATCTATTTTCATGTCAACATCAACTGAATCGAGTCCTTTATTGATAAAAAAGAAAAAAGGCTATATTCATGAAATCAAGTGGCTATTTAAAAATGCGATACCCATAGTCATTAGTTATTTATTACAAAACAGTTTGCAAAGTGTTGGCATCATGAATGCTGGTCATTTAGTGAGTATTACATAATGCATAAAGTAGCATCACACACTGACCACTGTTTAAGGGCGCACATGAACTAGCTTCTGCCACTTTAGGAAGCATGTTTGTTACCATCACTGGATTTTCCGTGGCAACTGGCGCAACTCTGGCACTAGACACACTCTGTTCTCAATCATTTACTTCATCCAACGATAAAAAGATTGTCGGATTACATGTTCAACGATGTTTAGCCTTCATGTCTATGCTGTACGTACCGATCGTGATGCTCTGGTGGAACGTTGAGTATGTATTTACTCTCTTACGTCAGGACCCTATTATAGCTCGCTTGGCTGCTACCTATGTCCGTTGGATGATCCTGGCTGCTCCTGCATTTGCCCTTTTTGAAGCTTTGAAGAAGATGATGCAGGCACAAGGACTGTTCCATGCGCCAACGCTTGTTCTCCTTGTTGGTACTCCGCTGAATGTTGCCCTCAACTACATCCTCATCTGGGTTCTTGACCTTGGTTTCCACGGCGTTGCCATCGCCAGCTGCATTACTTACTGGGTGATAGTGCTGTTGATGATACTCTATATTCGTTTTATTGGCGGTCACCAAGCGTGGCCAGCATGGTCCACTACCCAAGCCTTTACTCAATGGCGCCCGATGGTCAAACTAGCTGTTCCTGGTATTCTTCTGATTTGTACCGAGACATGGGCTTATGAGATTGTTGCCCTGGGCGCAAGCTGGATCGACACACCCAATCTAGGTGCCCAAAGCGTCATCCTGACGTCCATCACGGCACTGTACACTTTACCCTTTGGCGTAGGCATTGCAGCCGCTAATCGTGTGGGCAATCTCTTGGGTGCTCAGCGACCCAAACAGGCAAGAACAGCCGCACAGACTGCACTGATGGCTGGTACTCTGATTGGACTTGGCAACAGCTTCACCCTCCTACTCGCTCGACACAGTTGGGCTACACTGTTCACAGGTGATAGCCAAGTTGTCAAACTTGTCTCACAGGCTATTCCTCTTGTCAGTCTCTTTGTGCTCGCGGACAACCTGGCCGGTGTTGCCGATGGAGTCTTGAATGGCATGGGACGTCAGCACGTGGGAGCTTGGTGTAATCTTGGAGCTTACTATTTTTGTGCATTGCCGATCGGATTCTGGCTCTGCTTTCGACAGCATTGGAACCTATTGGGTCTTTGGTCCGCTCTAGCTGGTGCTCTGGTCATCGCCTGTGCTATTACCCTTGCCGTCGTCTTGACATCTGACTGGAAAAAGGAAGCTCAAATGGTGGAAAAACGGACAAAGGAAGAAGACGAAGAAATGGTATGACGATTGTGTCACATGAATATCGAATAAGATCCCTTGCATAACTTTTGTATCGCCTCTCTCTCTTTTTTTTCTTTTTTTTCAATAATAAAAACATGGATAACAAGTATCCAAAATATATTCGTGATCAACCTTTACCGACATATGGTGCACATAATCAAGTGACACCGATGGAAAGAGAACAACAAGCTGTCGAACAACAGCAAAAAGAACACAGTAGTAGTAGATACCCCGGTGTCGTAGGCGGTACACCAGCTGAATTTAGAGGAATTCAGGGTTATGATTCTCAAGGAAACCCAATTATCCCTCCTTTTGTTGCTCAACGTCATCAAATTGAAGAACGTCTAGGACCTACATGCCAACATGATGGCGGATATCACGATTTACGCATGCACTTGACCCACAAGAGTCTCCTTTTCGCTATCCTCGTCGTCCCTTACTGCTGCGGATACAGAGGAAAACGAGTGGTAAGTGTGGTAGTTTTTGGGGGTCACGTCTATTTATTATGATTCGTATAGTGCGAGTGTCGAAAATGCTTTCAAAAATTTCCAGATATTGTTCTTCCATCAGCATAAATAAAATGAAGGGTATTGTTTTATCAAATTTCTTTCTTTGAAGGCTGGATGACGACTGAATCCATGGTGATCAAGGTCTCGTGGTATGTTTTCTCATTTTTCTTACGACTTGTCATCTCCCTTACCTTTTCCATGGCGATCAAGGTCTCGTGGTACATCTTCTCGTTGTTCTTACGATTTGTCATCTCTCTCACCTTTTCCATCGTCAGTCGATAAAGCCACCAGGCAACGGCTACAAGGATAAGAATACCACAGCCCATGGTTGCCATGGCAATACGATGAGCCGATGGCGGTAGATCTGGGTTGGATAAATCGGCAAGCTGAGAGCCAATCCAGACGTCAAGTGATACCTTGAATGAGGCGAGTAAGGCAGAGAGCATGTACTGTTGTATACTGACGGTTGTAATGATGGATAAGAGCATGTTTGTGATGGGCCAAGGAATAGGAGAAAGGCGAATCAATATCATCATCTATAGGCATTAAAAAAAGCAGTGTTTACTTAATACTATTTACCTTGAATCCACCCTGTTCGATAGCTTCTTGAATCGCAACGTATTTTTCTTGCTTTGATGGTGATAACTTGATAAATCGCGAAAAGTTGTATTTTCGAATCAAAGCAAATGCCACAGAGGCACCAATGAATGCTCCAGAGACAGCGGGTAGGACACCGCCAGGGAATCCATAAATGAACCCAGTGATGGTAGTTGAAAATGTAAAGCCGAGAAGTGGTGGTATAGAAGTCAAGATGATCAGTGCTGTTAGTAAGATGGAGCTGTAAGGTGTTGTTCGTAGCTCTACAGCTACAGTCTGTATTACTAACAAATGTGTTTAGTTCTCCCTGATTGTATGCGCATGCGCGATGACATCATGTTACATTCTAAAATAGCCCCTCGATAAAGTGCAAAAGCATATATCAGTAAAAATAAAAACACGAGAGCCACGCCAATAGTGGCAATGCTCTTCTTCTTCATTTCAACGCTAAAGAGAAGAAGAAGAAAAAAGTGGGGAAAAAAAGGGGGGCCACTTCGAATACGGTCACAGTCGTGGAGATTTGTGTGGGTGTCCTACTTCAATCTGTAACACATGCCAGCGTAAGTTTGTCGCGTTTAGTATGTATAGTGGAAGGATATGACATGATAAGGATTGTGCTTAAGGTACCAAATGATCACCCTAAGATTCCTTATCAAGATTTGTCAATCTAGACTCAACTTATCGAGATAAAATCTCAACCCCTTCTTGAATGAGCATTCACATGTCTATTTGATTCAAGTAAAACTGAATTGAATCTAAAAAGAGGAAAAGGAACGATAAAGTCTGTTATTATGTAATAAAAGGAATACGCTCGTGTTATATTCTGTTACATAAAATGTTATTGATAACATATAATTAGAGCATAACCATCATTTTATTCTTTCTTTTCAACCAAAAAGCACAGTTGATGCACGTACACACCTCAACTATCACACTTTTGTTGAACTCATGCACGTTGAAAAAGCCGATATTATATGCAGTTAATACTAAATATTGACCTGTATATTAAGCCTATGCTTTAATTATGGGAATATTTTTGTGTGTTGATGCGTAATTGTTTTGAATTGTGATCTATTTATCATTTGGGCTTAAAAAAGTTCTAGTAGGCGCTGGCGTATATCAAGACAGTATATAGTATGCTGCTTTGAAAAGAGTTACGAGGGATATCCAAGGACAATGAGTTACTTTGTAACCGGGCAACCAACCAAAACGCCAACGTACACGACGACTTCTTTCTAGTCTTAACGTAGGTAACCAAAGGATTGGATCCACAGAAATTGTTGGGCGACGTAGCGAGAACAGACTTGAGCTGTGTTTAATATGTCGTTGTTCTAGGTTGCCTTGCAGGGTTTGTAGGGCGTATCTTCTTTAGTGGCCGTTTATCTAGGGTGTCAATATATTGCGCACATCGTCTCCACAGCGATGCTTTTTGATATAGTATATCACTGTGAATGACTCTTTGAGGGGCGTATATGTGGTAACAGGCAAGGCAGGAGGGCATCATTCGATAATGACAAAGAGCTTAAGAGGAGTTGCACTTATAGTATATGAGTGCGCTCTGTCATAGTTGGTGATTTTGTCAGTTGTAGCATTACATTTATAGAAGATCTACACGAACCACCAAATATTCTGCGTAGGCACTTATTTTAAGCGATCTCCAGTTTGTTGAGTAAAAGAGAACTAACCTTGCTGAGAGCGATACCATGTTCTAATTGAGGTCGGACGATCTGCTTATAAAAGCGAGTAGCGAGTAGTTGCTTGATATCATTGGGATTGAGTCCAGTCATAGCTAGTTGATTCATGGTCGCTAGTGATTTGTTTATATTTTAGTAAGAAACTCAAATGCATTTAGATAACCACCAATATGAAAAGGAGCACCAAGATAAGAAAAGGAAGATTGAATCGGAAGCGGATCTCCATAAAGGTAGCAAGTAAGCGATTGATTTGCAGGATTTAGAAGTGCATAACAATGGTATTGTTTAGCCTCAGAAAGGTAAAAGGACAAGCAGCGACTTACCTAGTGAATTTCTATGGACATGAAGAACACTGAGTTGATCCAGTAGCGATGATTCCGTAGTGGGCGTACTTGTTATGCGATGGAAAGTAAGATGAAGCAAAAAGAAGGTATGAAAAGCTTGCCTGTTTAGTTAGAGCAATACAAACCTATGCACATTGGACAATGCAGCTTCTCTCGTTACCAATAGACAGTCAACAACCAACGTCACCACCTATCAAAGGAATTTGTCGAAGCAACGATGGCCTCTAAATTCTAGTGAAGTTGCTCACTGATGTGTTTGATGATATAATCATCAAAATAACTCGAGTATAATCTTACAGTAGAGCATACATTCTACTTTACATTCCTCTATCTCATCTGCTGAGAATAAGTGCACTGACAACAATAATAGCCACTAACATAGCATTGGTAAATGATCACATTGACCACATTTATCATACGAACAACATTAGTATTCCCTATAAAACTCTCACACAAACTTAATTTGATAATATTCAGTTCTTCTTAATAAAGAATTTAATTCGCTACCTTTTTACAATTACAAAGCTGAATACAACACTGTGGGCGAATTCAAACGATATGACTTTTTCCCATGCTTTGAGTCGGATTTTGTCAAAATTGGAAAAGAGATGCGCACCATGCTGAATGATCTTATTCGCCTTGGTATCCCCAGCCCTTCGGTGGGAGGTATCTTGATCCAAGGCCACCAAATCACTACCTTTCAACTCGATATCATTGGCCCTAAGCTGTATAGGATGATCAATCTTTGCAAATTGAACATGTTTAACACCCTTGACGATATTGTTTCCCTTCCAGTCATTGTTTTGCAAATGTTACAAGCCAAGCAGATTGCTATGGATACTGCTAGAAAGGTGCAGACCTTAATGAGTGAACGCAGTACTAAGATGAAAAGGACCCGGCCATCATATCAACGATTGTGGCTCTCTGAAGGCGGATGCATTTTGCGCAAACGAAGTTCACCCAATGATGGCGGATGAATATTTGAAACCTAATGGCAGACATTCATCTCATTCCATAGCTGTATATATCTTTTGTGAATACCTATTAAAGTCAAACCAGATAACTAATGGGTGAATCTATACTGTAGGAGATATGCAAGGAAACAGACAGTATAGTTGAAAACTACATAAGCACTGTTGAAATCAACTTTGAGTCTGATGATGATTCTAATGATGATAAAGTTTGCCTCCCTGACTCTTTACGCTTTCCTAAACGAGATTGATTTTCTACCCTTTATTTCAGTTATTTTATATCCGCATACTTGAATATTAGATTTTTAATTTCTTTCATATTATACATATACCTAAATATTAAATTATCTAATCGAAATAAAAAGCAATTACATTTTACACATTGAAACAAAATTATAATTAAACAAAGTTTATTGATAAAAAACGCATAAAAAAAAAAGAATGTTGTTATACTTTGTTTGGTTTCTCTAAATACAAAGACATCGCTTTATACTTCGATACTAACAGGATTAACCACAAGAAGGTGAAAATATACCTAATCCCAAAAAATGAATGTATTAAAAAAAAGCACAGCACCTTGTGCTGCATTTTTATTAACTATTGACGTTGATTTTATAAAATATTCGCGTAAAAAGATAGCAAAGCAAAATATGCTTGAATAGAATGATTTTGTATGTAAGGATAATGGTGGCTGTCAATGAAGTAGATGATATCATATCAAAAGAGAGAAAGATAATAGATATATGTAGAAAAAGAGAGAAAAAAGTATGTTAGTATTAGAGCATATATTCCAATATTAGCTTTTACTTATCACCAAAGTGCATAAATTAATTGCAGCTGTTAATACTGCTGTCAAATGAGATAGTGGACCATTTTCTCTTGTATTTGTTATTATTTTGACAGCATTACAACGGAAAAATGAGTTCCTTGATCTGTTGGTTTCAATACGACATCTAAATTTGAAAAGCACGGCATACAGTATCAGTAGTAGAGTCACTAATTTTTGAAAATGCTATACAGCCTTTGAGGTATACGTAATAACGCGTAGTTTGCAATGGATCATTTCAGAAGGGAAGTAAGAAAGCTGTAGTTCGGCGTTTATATTTTTCAACAAAAGCACATGACTTACATCTTTTATGAAAGCGCACTTTTAGATAAATCCAACAATATGTAGAGTGATGGAGCCGTAGCGTCTAGGCAATATGCTCCATGTTGTATACATACCTATCTACGGTAATCTGAGATAGGACCTAGTTTAGTGCCTTTTTTTGTATGTCAGAAATATATCCAGGGCCAGAAAAAAAAGTAAAAAAAAAAACCAATCTCTTTCCTTTCTCCATCAATATCAAATAAAAGGAAATCTATTTTATCTCCAAAAAAAGAAAAAAGAGACAGATAGTAAATTCATTCCCTTTTTTCCTTGTTACACTTTGGTACGATTTGAAACAGAGAAAGGATAATGCAGAAGGAGTTTAAAATAGATTGTTATGCAAACATCTTTAAATTTTCTCACCAGTTGACTCATTTCCCCCCCTTTTTTTTCTCTTTTATAAAAATATAAGCTATGACAGGACAACGTCTTTCAGGAAAAGTCGCTATTGTTACAGGAGCAGCAAGGTAAGCGCTTCTTTGGATTATCTTTTTCATAAACTGATAAGAAAAAAGTGGTATTGGTTTTGAGACTGCAGTTTTATTTGCTAAAGAAGGAGCAAAAGTTGTTTGTGCAGACCTGAATGAAGAAGGTACTAAAAGAACGGTTGCCAAGATTGCAGAAATTGTTGGAAAGGAAGGCACATCAGTTCCTTTCAAGGTAGACGTGTCCAAGGAAGCTGAAGTAAAGGCTTTGGTTGATAAAGCCGTCGATACTTTTGGTAAAGGGTATAGAAAAGAGACAAGGGCAGGCAAACACTGACCATTTACAGGCAAGCTTGATATCATGTTTAATAATGCTGGTATCATGCATCCTCAAGATGATAACGCGTTAACAACTGAAGAACGCGTCTGGTAAGCCTTTTTAAGTTGTTGTTTCATGTGTATTGATTTTATTGAAGGGATCTTACGATGGATATCAATGTAAAGGGTGTTTGGTACGGTTGCAAACATGCTATTGTTGCCATGCGTAAGAGCGGAGGTGGATCTATCATAAATACGGCTAGTTTTGTTGCCCTCATGGGAGCCGCTACACCTCAATTAGCCTGTAAGTGAATACAGATTACAAAAAAAGAAAAAAGGGTCTAACGTGACTTAAAGATACTGCATCCAAAGGAGCTGTATTAGCCATGACGTGAGTAATGAATGTAAGATATATCAATTCTATCTAAGGCATATATATATAGTCGTGAGCTTGCCATGGTACATGCTCGTGAAAACATTCGATTCAATTCTCTCTGTCCTGGTCCTATTCGTACACCTCTTTTAATGGACTTTTTGAATACGGAAGAAAAGAAACAGAGACGACTTGTCCATGTTCCTCAAGGAAGATTTGGTATGTTTAATGTCTGTTTTGTTCTTTAATCCTCATTATGTGAGTAGGTGAGGCTATTGAACAAGCTTATGGAGCTCTCTTTTTAGCTTCCGATGAGAGTTCATTTGTCACTGGTGTTGACTTTAGAGTAGATGGAGGTTTGGCTTCAGCCTATGTTGTATGTATATGACTCACTTGTATAACTCCATGACTCACTTGCATTATTAATAGACGCCGGAAGGAGAACCTATTGGTCCTGTACCCAAGAACTTTGCGGACATGTAAAAATTTTATACAATAAAGCTGCTGCTGCTACTTTTTTTCTATTATTTTTTTTATTCTACATGTCAAACGTTCTCACCTGTCAAGAAGTCGATAATTGTTCCTTCAGTTCTTGGTATCCAAGATTTAAGACTGTTACTTTCAAATCAAAAATTATTCATTTGCCCGATGATTTCATAGACTATTTGAATGCTGATAGTATTTTCTTACCTGAAGACGGGTATTAGAAATAGTATAGAATGATTATATTTTATTAAACAAGTTGTTCTATAGGCAACCAAGGGCAGCATTCATTGAAGAAGTTGACTCAGATCAAGAAGAATATCCAGAAGAACAAAATGATAATGTAAAGATATTGACATGATATACAACCTTACTCACCATATACCTAGACTCCTCACTTTCCTGAAATAGAGAAACAGATTAAAGAAGCTATTGAGGAGTATGAAGGAGCTGTATTTCCAAAGCTCAATTGGAGTTCACCTAGAGTATGTGCATATATTATTATAAACTATTGTATAAAAATATATAATAGTTTAGCTTAGGATGCTGCTTGGATTGCAACCACACAAACCTTGAAATGTACTTCACCCTTTGATGTGTTTCTATTACTTAAATCATCAGACTTTATCAACCATGATCTAAATCATGCTTATGAAATTTGTGCAGATCAAAAACAAGATAGACCAACATTTGATCTTGTTTTGAGGAAATGGTTTGATCTACAGCCTTCCATGGAGTTTCGTTGTTTTGTAAAGAATCAAGAAATTATTGGCATTTGTCAACGCGATGTCAATTATTATGAATTCTTGCCTAAAATGAAGCCAACTATTGAACTGTTGATTTATAGATTCTTTGAAGAACATGTCTGTGAACACTTTGATAGCTTAAATTGTAAGATAAAAAAAGAAAGAAAAAAAAAAGAAAGAAAAAAGAAATTAATGACTTGTGTAGATGTATTTGATGTCTATGTGGAATATAATCGTGAAAAAGTCTATCTGGTTGATTTCAACCCATTCTGTCCTACGACAGATAGTATAATGTATGACTGGGAAGAACTCATGAATTGTAAGAGTATATACATTTTATAAATGATGATATTAATACCCAATAGTTGACTTGGATCAAAAGCAAGCAGAGCTTAGGTTTATAGAATCTGAATCTGAAGCCAATTTGTTATCTTGTAATGCTCCTAAATTTGCTACTAATATGGTCCCAAAGGATGTCATTGACCTATCAAATGGTCAATCTATTGCTGAATTTGCTGAGCAGTTTGAAAAAGCAATGAAAATAGCGGAACAAGGTTATTCGTCGTCAGAAGATGAATCGTAATAAAATTCTTTTTTTCCCCCTTTTTTTTTTCTCTCTTTCTCATTCTTTGACTTCAAATGACCATTACTTTAAAGAAACCGATTGAGAGATTCCCCAAGATGATTGTATTTGACCTTGATTACACCTTGTGGTCAGAATGGTAAGATATACTAAGAAAGTGCTTGTGTATGTTTATATATTTATATGAAAATAGGATTGATTGTACTTTAGGCAAATATAGAATATATGTATAAAGAGGTGTATGGCTTATCTATTTATATTTGTAGGACCACCTTATTCTTATTCAAAAGCAACCAATTCAGTTTTAAACAAGTATGTAAGAATACACTATTCAATTTGATATTAACAATGAATTAGACAAGGGGAAGAATTATGCTTATTTGAACATACAACAAAGGTTATTGCCTTTATCAAACAATCATTACCAGATACAAAAATTGGTATCGCATCTAGAACGCATACACCTGAATGGTACACAATATCCATAAATGGAAATAACAAAGGCTGAGCCGATAGTTTATAATATTCTAGGGCAAGAAAGGCACTTGGCTTATTTCGTATTCCGGAACTCGATGGCATCACTTTATTAGAAGCAATTGATTACATGGAGATTTATCCATCAAGCAAGATTCAACATTTTAAAGCTCTTTCTGAGAAATCAAATATTGCCTGTGAAGAAATGCTCTTCTTTGACGACGAATCACGAAATCGTGAAGTTAGTAAATTAGGTGTTCACTTCATTCATGTCAATTCCAGAACAGGAATTACCCCGACCCAATTTGAAAATGCCTTACAGGCTTTTGAAAAGAACGCTGGGCGTAAGCAAACATCTATGCATGATTACTTGAATAAAAATATTGTGCAACCCCTTTTAAAAAATTATATACAACTGCCACTTTCTTTTTACTTCTGTGTCATGTCTGAACATCAAGCTCACGAGTTACTTTTACAAGCAGAGAAAAAATTAAACAGTTGGACTTGGTTCAACAAGAAGAATAAAAATGAAGACGCTGCTGAAATGTATGAAAAGGCTGCCAACACTTTTAAATTAGCTCAGAGATGTATTGTGTGTGTTGTCGGTGCTATTCTCATTAACCCATCACTCATCACATTCTAGGGAAAGAGGCTGGCGACGCTTATTTAAAGGCAGCTGAACTGTACAAGACATCACAAGAATCGAAATTTGAATGTTCAAAGGCATATGAAAACGCAAGCAAATGTCTAAAACGTGTTGACGCCCAAGGTTTACATGCATATGTGTGTGTATATATAAAAACATGTATTGATTTCTAGTGTACTTCTAGCGGCTATTGATGCATTGAATAAAGCAATCCTAGTTGATAAAGAAGCTTGTAGTTTCAGAAATGCAGCCAAGCATCATCAAGAGATAGCCGAGATTTATGAAACGGAAATTATAGATCTAAAGGGAGCACGAGAAAACTGGCAAGAGGCAGCAAAGCTATACATGGCAGATGATTCACGCCCGTAAGATAACAAGGAGGCATCTATTTTTGTATTTGTATTAAACATGTCTATATAGTATGATCAACAAGTGTGTATTAAAGGTAGCCCATTTTGATGCTCAATTAGAAGAATACAATGCAGCCATTGAGCATTTTGAACAAGTGGCAACAGATTCAATAGATAACCCACTAACAAAATGGTCAAATAAGGAATGTTATTTGAAAGCAGGTTTGTGCTCATTGTGCACCAATGTATGTGTATATATCCAATATATAATACAAATGTGTACTAAATTGAAGCAAATAGGATATTATCAAGACACATGAGTTATTAGCCAAATACTCTGCTGTAGATTCTTCCTTTGAGACAACACGTGAATATCAATTCCTATCGGGTATTCTTGAATGCGTAGAGAATAACGATCAAGAACTATTCACTCAGAAAGTACGCGAATTTGATTTACTTACAAAATTGGATAATTGGAAGATAAGCATTCTATTAAAGATCAAAAAGACGATGGATTCAAACAAATAAAACGATTGGATGCTGTATTTTAACCAGTGTCCCATTTTGTACTACTTACTTACAATGCTTCCAAAAGGACAATACTTTACAATTTAACAAAAGTGCAATACCTTTACATGAAGATAGACACGACAATGTGGTTGATGAGGATGGCAGCACCTGAGCATATGGACTATATACCGTTGATCAGAATGAATTTATTCTGAATACTTGAAGAATCTGTATGAAGGAGGCAAACACAAAACAGGATTATGTTCACTACACTGTGGCGTGTTTGATATGAATCGTTATAATACTCTGTACCTTACAATAGAGCATATACTATACTTTCATCTATTGCATCTGCTGAGAATAAGAATAGGAGTACTGATCACATAAACCATACCAACAACATTCAATCTTCCCTATAAAATATACATGCGTCTTATTTTAATAATACTCCTTTCTTCTTTTTATAAAGAATATAATTCGCAAGTAGTCAACTTAATGGTTTTTTTTTCAACATCAAAACTTAATACAGCATATGAAACGTCAAGAAGACGTTGCTCTCCAATCGTTCGCTGGTCCGGACTTGGTCACTGCAACTAAACGGCGCAGTGATTCAATTTCCAGTCAGGCCAGTAAATACAGTGACATCTCAAAACTACAATGGTAAACTAGGTTATTTCCTTTTTTTGTGCTTACACACGTTATATGAAGGTGAGGGTCAGCAAAGATGAAGCATTGGAGCATCAGAAGGCCATCATGGCGCTCACACAACCCGTCTCGAATACAAAGATGTATGAGCTGCTCTTTGTTGACTCTAACAAATTGAATGAAATATTGGAAAAAAGATTTGACCCTTTGATGAACACACTACGTCAGATAAAAACTTGGGTCAATAAGTCGAATACTTGGGACAACGTCGTGTGTCCGGACAGGCAGGAGTCCCCAGTTGAAGGCCGATATGTATGGGCCCTTAAAGACAAATACTTGGGTAAGGATAAAAAGAAGGAGCTAGAATGAATTTACTTAAGTTTATCCTATAGAAGTGGATGCTATGAACGACCTTACCAAATACCAAATGCACCTTCGCAGCCATCCCATGATCAACATCGGCTACGCACGGAAGCCGCCGACTAACGAACGGTTTGACAAGGCTACAAGACCGATGCCTCTGCACCAAGGTGTACATTTCCCCCAGCTCCAATTCAGACGAATCACTGATGGTTCGCGACCAAACCAAGGACAACAACAATTACGTGGATTCGATAACTGGTTGTATGGAGGATATGAAAGGTATTAGTTTCATGTTTGTGCATGTACTTTGCTTATTCATTGTTGTTATTCTACAGCCTTACGAACGGTGCTCAACAAGAAATTCAAGCCAGTGAGACTAGCGATGATCGACTATGCAGAGTTGAATATTGAACCCAGTGATATACGAAACTAATTTAGGTAAGAAAAAAAACAGGGAGAGTCACAAAGATTAGATGCTTACAATCATGATCATAGACAATATTCCTAAATCCAGGGATTGATTATAGACCATGGGTTAGCTTTTGAGCTGTTCATTAATGCTGATTTTTTTGAAAATGAAGATACAATCAGCTTTTTACAAAAGCTGTTCATACTATAATATACTTTAGGACTAGCTGGGGAATAGCTGGTCTTTTTGGTCCAAAGAAGAAAAGAGCAGAAGAGAAAGACTATTTATAACGAATATCTTATAGCTTATTACGTGGTTATAAAGCGTTGACCATTTTTATGTCTCTCAAAAAGATGAAGCTCATTCTATGTATTACATGTTGTCATGTTGGAAACAATAAAGAAAATATAGATAATCAACTTGTGTCATTGTCATTAATTGTCATTGATTTTTTTTTGAAAAATTGCGTGCGACTGATATAATGAACTTTATAGTCCGCATTTAATGACATTCTTTATCGCTACATGTCGTTAGCTAGCATAAATTCTTTACCTGGCAATGGACCAGAGAATGCAACACAAAAGAAGAGAAGAGAGAGTAGTGTGCCTCTACCAACATTGTCTATAGAATTTGAAGGAGGAACACATGTGATTATACGTCCTAATAGAGTCATTCGTGGTAAATAGACAACAGCAAACAGCAGTTTCTTTTTGATAACCTTTTACTACAAGGCAAAGTTATACTTTTTAATACGGAAACAATTCATGTAACAAGAATAAGAGTCAAGGTAATTGAATAAAGCTAAAGGGATAATATCTAAGCTGAACAAATACAGTTTCGTGCTGAAGAAATCGCTACAGTCAAAGTAGACGAGGGAGCTAGCACGGATAGTAAAGGAGAATGGATTCATCAGATGATCACGTCCTTCTTTGATACAGACTGGAGAATCTTTGGTCAAGAAGCTACACGTAAAAAAGAAAGTATTCCATAAATACATCATATTCACATGTATGTGTAGCTTATTCTCAATGTGGTTGGGAGGATATCGAACCTGGGCGTCATGAATATCCTTTTGCGCTCAAGGTAAACAATGGCATATAGGCACGGATAAAGGTTCATTATTGAATTTATTTAGTTTCCAAATGTAAATTATCCACCTTCCATAGACGAGCCTGCTGGATTCAGCATTCGCTATGTTTGGTCTGCTCAAGCAGATGGGCCTGCTCTTCAATCTGGATTAAAGAGTAAAGAGTATATCACACCTTATAGACCAATTATAGTTTCTATACCAGGTTAGTTTGCTTTTTTCTTTATGAGTGTGTGGGTGCTTATATCTCTTTTAGATAAAGAATGGGTTTACAAGACGACGATTCTTAAAGAAAAAAAGGCTCTTGTTGAAGTACAAGCCAAGTTGGATAAGCAAGCTTACTGCCCAGGTATGTAAAAAAAACAAATATAGCGTGCGTGTGGGTTTACATGAATGATAGATGAAGCCTTTCAAATGCAACTCAACATGACCATGCTTCAATCTGACTCTAGAATCTCCGGCCTGACTTACAAGCTTCGTAAACATCACGAAGGAAAGATGCTTGTGCAGCAAGGAACAGCATTTAGGGAGCAGATACGTATTGTTCTTACAGACCAAGTACACATACAGCCCAATAAGGCTATATCTCTACCCATCCAGTTTGATATCCCTACACGTCTCGTCTCGCCCTCCTTTACCTCACGACACACTCGTGTTCATTATGATCTACTGATCACAGTCGCTGTTGAACAACAAGGTCATCTGTTCAAATCAAACTACCTTACAGAATTTTCCATTCCTATCGCCATAGCCAATTTACCCAACGATCAACTTTTGCGCATACCCCAACTGACGGCCATCAAGGATTACCGTCAATCAAAAGAATGCCCGCTATTTTTTGATCCGCAGTTGGAAGAGCCACCTCTTCCTCAAGGTGTGCCCAGCGAACTCATCGGACCACTCACGGCTGCCCTGATGAATAACACAAATGGCGATGATCAGCCACCGAGTTATTTCAGTCTACCTGAACTTCCACCTCAGTTTGAGATACGAAAGGAACGACATGAAAAGACCGTCTTTCTGACACGACAGGCACGAGGAGCTCCTGGAAGTGGAGAGTTGATTGAGGCAACAGTCATTCCGGGTTTATTTGATGAAGAGTGGTGAAATAATAATAACAACAATAAACTTTAGGGCCATCCCCAAACTTCCTTTACCCATTGACCTAAATCCATATGAACATGTTCCCATTTCAAAATGAATGGATGCTGTAACATACGAGCTGGTGTTGGTCTGTAATTTGGATCCTTTGTTAAGCTATAAAATGGATAAGTCAAGGTTCTTTTAGGTCGTTCAACGCTTACCAAACAGCAACAAAATTTTTGCATTCATCAGAGATATGGCTTCCTGTGATCTCAGGCACAGGTTGACGAACGATAAAGTCTAGTAACTCAAAGATCGACAGGTGAGGTTGATCTGGAGGGGGTAACGCAGGTCTGTTTTGGGAAACTTCGATCAATGTTAAGCCAAGTGACCAAATGTCGGATTGTACTGCATAAGCATTTCCTTGAATACGTTCAGGCTATATAAAGATGTTAGGGCCTATTGATGTATATATACAAAAAGCAAACTTACTGCCATGTAGTATTGTGTGCCTGTAAATGTCTGTGCGAGTGAATTAATTAATTCTCCAGAGACACCAAAATCACAAAGTTTGATCTCACCCTTTCGAGTGACAACGATATTGGATGGTTTGATATCTATGTAATATATCAATATCAAGAAAAAGCCTTTATGTATATTATTGTACCTCTATGAATGACCCTTTTCGAGTGTAAGTAGACTAATCCTTTACATACCTTTTTGGATTATGTTAGCCCCATGTATATATGATATAAAATCCCCTTACTGATTCTGCTATACGCTCAAGAACAGGTTCACCAATGACTCCACCCAAGTCTCTCGCTCTTTTATAAATATCTTCTAAACTTCCTGCTTCACAGTACTCCATACATAGAGACACAGTTGTATCTCCGTCATCGAGAAAGACGCCATAAAATGAGACAATATAAGGTGAATCGCATGTCTTCAAAAAGGCCAATTCACGTAATATCTGACGTTGAACTGCAGGATCTGGTTCTGTTGAGATAGACTGTAGGGTATTAAAATAAGAAAAGAGCAGTAATAATAATGATTTACCTTTTTTGCCATGATAATCTGTGTAGGCTTATGTAACACTTTACGCACGGTACCAGCCGCACCTTCACCTAACCGAGAGAGCGTTTCAAGATCCTGTACTTTAATGTCCATAAAATGATGCGAGTTTGTTTGTTGTTGCTGCTGCTGTTGTTCTATACGCACATTCTGTGTTGTTGGTTTAATTTGCTGTTGCTGTTGCTGTTGTTGTTGTTGTTGTTGGTTGAGTGCTAAGTAGGATGCAGCTAATGATGTTTCCTCTGCTGTTTCTTTGAAAGGCTCTGACGTCGTCGGGTTTCCATGAACAATATGGCCGATTTGTTCACGAAATGTGTTATTGTTGGCATTAGGCGAAGTTGAAGAAGATGAAGCAGGTTGTAAATGCTTTGAAGTTAAACGAAGCCCAGGTTTACGTTTAGGACCTTTTTCAGGTGAAGCAAACGACATGAGAAAGAAGGAAAGAAAGAAGGAATATTGAAACTCCCTTTTTTGAACAAAATGTGTGTTCTTTTCTTTCTTTCTTTTTTCCCCCCTTATTCCCTTCTACTTTCCTTTAAACAAACACTTTTTCTCTCCTTTCGTTAAACACACACTTTCTACTTTCCTTTAAATTATGCTCAAGAAGTTGTCATTACATCTTTCTCATAAACCACACAAGTAAAAAAGAAGCTCTACTCTAGTTCATTATGCATAATAATAACCCACTTGCCTTTCTTTTTTTTTTTTAATAGGGTTGATTCAAATAAGGTTTGAAAACATAATAGTACTAAAGCTTTAACTAATACCTAGTTAGCAGAATGAATCTCGTCCACCTGTTGTTGCTAATGATTCATTTTATGGCAAAAGTCATTATACCCACCATCTCGGTAATAGTCACTTCATTACCCTTTTTTGTATATTCACCAACAGACATTAATAAATAGATACCACAACTCACTCAGACTCAATACGTCCACCCTCACTCACGATAGACCATGACCCTGTCTCTCCTGCCAGCCCCTCTCCTCTGACACCTAGTCAAGATATTGAATCATTAATTCAAGACGGTATTACTTTTCATGAAAGAGGCCAGCTTGAAAAGGCGACAAGTCTATTTCGAGTTGCTGCCGAAAAAGACAACCCCCTCGGCATGTTTCTTTATGGTGTTTCATTAAGACACGGCTGGGTAAGGCATAATATAAGGTAATGCGCCTCATATTAACCATGGTATTAGGGCTGTAAGAAGAATGAACATCTTGCATTTCAGTATTTACAAAAGGCAGCTGAACATGCCGTAGAAGACTTGACCAATATTACGAATGCTGTTAGTGCATCTGCTTCCAAAGGTGAACTTGTTATGGCCATTTATGAATTAGGTGTTTCCTTTAAGCACGGTTGGGGTGTAATGTATGATGGTGGCTGTATATAAGCATAACTAACCCTATTTTTATATATAGTGCAAAAAGAATAAAGAATCCGCTGCTTATTTCTTCAAGATCGCTGCTGATTTGGGAGACCCAGATGCTCAGAATGATATTGCACATTGTTATAATCAAGGTATTGGTGTCAAAAAGGATTTATACATGGCAGCCAAGTATTACCGAAAGGCTGATAAACAAGGTCAAGGTATCATGGGCAACTCTTGGATTTGGAAGCCAAAGTATGATCCTAAATAATAAATACGTGAAGGAGGCTATTTGATACCTTTGTGTGGATAAAAAGGTGTATTTCTTTATTTGGTAATCAACCGTTGCTTTCTTCCCCTTGATATGATTTGTGTAACAATTTTGTCCAATAACATCCAGAGAGGGCATTTGCATAATGGGTCATTAGGTGCTCTTTACATGAGAGGAGGTATGCTTGGAGCACTAGTATCAATTTCAGTTTATATTTAAGACTTATATTATATTTGTGGTTATAGATGTCAAATGGGATCAATTGATCTTTCCTCCTCTTAGTTTTAACAAGGAAGACCTACACTTTATTCAGAAATTATTCGCGCATTTTTCTTTGTACAGTACATACGTACACACATAGTAGCGGTTGTATTAGTAACAATATTCAACACAATGGAAAAGAACGAATTGGGTATAAGCACAGTCTATGAATTTCAAATGAGAGATCAGGTACACACACATATATATGCTGCAATCAGGTCCAGCCAAGCAACTCCATGCTTATTATATGTAGTATATGAGAAATTTTATCTAAGGCCATCATATATAACTTGTACTAGTATACACGCGCACGCGCATCAAGTTATTACTACTCTTCTCTCTAGAATTGCAATCAAATGAGCCAACCTTGACAGAATTTGTAAGTTACCTTTACTGATGAACAAGAAGCCCTACAGCAACAACGGATATGACACATAGAACTACATTATTTAGTGAAATTGTGAAAAAGTAATACATTTCCAAATGGGACATTTGGAAAGATGAGCAAAAAAGATGATTGCTTGTAGGGACGACGCTGTTTTGCTACCATTGAAGGCACGTGACCTAACCGATAGTATAAATGTTGAGTAGCCTATTTTGCTCTCTCTTCTCTTTTTTTTCTTTTTCTTATTTTTTTTGAATTGTGTGTTGGAAGAAAAGCATGGCTTCTGCTGTAGCAGATCAGAGTTCAGTTGGTCAATTAATTGAACCTCATTCACAACAAACTTCCAACATGAATAAGCAGCGCAAAGTAAAGATTAAAAATGCTAGCAACACTCATTGTTATTAACATGTATTTATAGCTTATTTGTTCACCAAGAGAAGAGGGTAAATTAGACAGCAAAAAGAGAGAAAATTTGTCAGAATGATGCTTATAACGATTCCATATAGAGCTATTAAAAAGACATTCACAAGATCCACCTTCGCTCTGTTTACATTTATATTCCACTTATTTTAAATTCGAACACGAAGTACGATCGCTTTTCACTCATATATTGTGTGTATTGATCTTTTATCTATAGGACGGTTTCTTTTCTTACAAGAGTCAATTTAAAGTAACTATACACAAAAAAGACCCGAAATAACGAAATACATAACCATCTGTAGGACTTTTTATTATGTATAAAAGAAAAAAGATTGCCAGGCGATTTGATGGATGTGTTTAACGAAGCCTCCTGTCGATATTATGATGGTAACTTTTATAGGTTATACGATTTACATAGTAGTAACGCGCGTATTTAGGCTGTCTGATTGTTGAAATTCATGATCACAGATCAGAGTCGATCGAGATAAAGCGAGTTGTTATGAGACCTACAGCAGAGAGTATATGGACAGATGTAGCACTACTAAGTGAGGATTGGGGATTTCCTTGGACAGAAGATGTTGCTTTAGAAGTAGAAGCTAAAATTCTGGTAAGGGCGTAATTAGGGTGATCAGCATGAGAAACTGATGGCTCGTTTGCGAAATAGGTTGCTACAGAAGAGCCTCTTTGCTTAGATCCATCAATACAAGTCACTCGATTGAGTAACGCTATGGAATATATGTCAACGCCAAAGAAGGTGAAGAAGAAATTGAAGTGGAACTCAGTGGAGCGTGAACAAAAGTTGGCTAAACAAGCTGAGCATAAGAGACTGATGACATTGAAGGATAACGTAAGTTTTTTTTTTTTTTTTTGCTTAAATAGATGAGGAAGCTAACCTGCTTAATATGTACAGAGAGCCAAACGACCCTTTCCGTTTGAACCCAGCTTTAGTAAAATATCATACCTTCAAGATTGGAGAATCAAAAAGCAAAAGGCCAACGCAGAACCACTACCAGCGATTGATGTCAAAAAGGGCAAAGGTCGAAAATCTTTGTTGGAACCTATTACGCTACCTGACGGAAGAAAGTGTGTTAGATCTATACGATTTGAACGACCTGAAGGCGATAAGAAGATATATACCCTTATTAACATTTATCTTTTAAATGGTCATTATGATGGTGTGTTTCGTTGGGGTACTGCATATGACACAAGTCTAAATGGAGGCAGTATCAAGTTTAGTCTTGGGCCTGAATATGTTATGGACGCGTATGTAACTCACATAAAGACAGTTTACGGACAGTTCAACACACTGGTGTCTGATCATACTACGTCAAGCGTAATGCCTTCTTCTCCAACTCCTCGTGCAACTCCTCCAACAGTTTTTCAATTGCAGCAATTCCAGGCACAACAGCTACAGGCACAACAAAATCGAGCGCTTCAAGCAAAGATTGCTATGCTACCACCTCACCAGCGTGCCTTGTTTATTCAGCAACAACAACAACAACAACAACAGCAACAGCAGCAACAACAACAACAGCAGCAGCAGCAACCACAGGTCAATCCGATTATCAATCAGGCTCAAGCTCAGGCATTAGCTCAGGCGCATGTTCAAGCTCAAGTTCAAGCCCAAGTTCAAGCTCAAGCTCAGGCTCAGGCTCAGGCTCAGGCTCAGGCTCAGGCTCAGGCTCAACAGACGCAGCAGCAACAAAATGTTCAACAACAGCAAGCGTTACCCCAGACCCAAACACAACCACAGCAGCCGTCTACCGCTCATTCCACGCCTTCACAATCTCAATTGGGAACACCTACGATATCGCATATCCAAACACCCTTACAACACAATATCCCAATGCCACAGCAACAACAACAACAACCAGCACAGGCACAGCAGCAGCAGACACCTACTCAAGCTCAAGCACCATTGTCTGCACAGCATTTGGCAGCTTTACACCAGCAAGCCCAACAAGTCCAACAGGCTCAACAGGCTCAACAGGCTCAACAGGCTCAACAGGCTCAACAGGCTCAACAGGCTCAACAGGCTCAACAAGCTCAACAAGCTCAACAAGCTCAACAAGCTCAACAAGCTCAACAAGCTCAACAAGCTCAACAGGCTCAACAGGCTCAACAGGCTCAACAGGCACATATTGGCATGCAATCCATAAACCTAACAGGCAGAGCATCGCAATCGCCTTCAGCTGCCGCCCCTATGAATATGCCTAATGTGGGTGCTACGAATAAGTTTGGCATGACAGTCTTACAGCAACAAGCTCTGGCCCAAGCTTTGAACACGGGAAATCCGCAAGTATCACTGCAGCGTATCCAACAACTTGCACAAAGTGGAGCCTTGCCTCTTGCAATCGCCCAGCAACTGGTAACCCAAATAACCAACAATGCTGCCATGAGGCAGCAGCAACAACAAGCTGCATTACAGCAGGCTGCCGCATTACAGGCACAAGCACAGACACAAGTGCATCAGCATCAACAACAAATACAACAGAGCCAGCAATCGCCTGTGCAGCAGCAAAGAATAGGAACACCTATGCAGCAAAATACTGCCACTCCTACTACCGCTGCTCCCATGCAGCCAAGCAGTGCAATACAACAACTGTTTGCACAACTTAGCCCTCAGCATCAACAGCAGATGACTCAAGTGTTTTTACGCCGTAACCAGCTAGCGATGATGGCAAGCCAGGGCAAGCTATCTCAAGAAGATTTACACACACAGCTTCGTCAGTTACAATTTGTGCAGCAACAGATCATTCAACAGCATCAGCAACAGCAAATATTACAACAAGCTCAAGCCAGAGCTGCTGCTGCTCAGGCTGCTGTCAGAGGGCCTCAAATCACCACAGCTGTCCAAGGACAGAATGTATCGTCACCCCAACAACAGCCGACACCTAATACACCACCACAACCGCAACAAACGCCTCCTCAAGCACAACCACAACAACCGTTACAACAACCCACACAGCAATCAACACCGCCGCAACAGCAGGCATCTCCTGTCACGCTGAATCCCCAGCAAACACAGCTTTTGCAACAGCTCATGATGCAAAAGAATCTGCAAATGCGTGGAAGAGGTCGAGGGCAGGTACCCTTGACAAATATGGCTGCTATCCAGGCTATGCGTGCACAACAACAACAACAGCAGCAGCAGCAGCAACAGCAACAGCAACAACAACAACAACAGCAGAATGGAAATATGCTCCGTAACGCACAAGGTATGCTCAATCGTAACGCGATGGCTGCTGCGTTTGGACAAACACAAGGTTTGATGAATGCTGCTGCCTTACAGCAGTTCCAGATGAACCTTCAATTTCAGAAGCAGCAAGCAGCCGCAGCCGCCAATGCAGTACAACAAAGAAACTCCCTCCTACATTTCCAACAGCAGCAGCAACAGCAGCAACAGCAACCACCAAATAATAACAATGGTGCTGATAATAATTCTTAGCATTAAAAATACTAATAAATATACACATGTAATAATCATTTGTTCAACAATGCGGGCATGAAAAGACTTGTATACAATGACGGCAAATGTATTGCTCGGAATTTCATCTTTCTTGTTCAATTTTCCTTTTTTGGTTGTTGTTTTCAATTGACATTTTGTGTATATGTATAAAATGAGAGAAGGGGTGCTTTTTATACTCTTTCTCTTTAAATAATATGCCACCTAATATACAGCAAGAACCTTTATTAAAACAAACCTCATTTGTCAATAGCTTTTGGTCCAAAAACAAGTCTGGTATGGTTCAACTATTGGACTATATCAAATCAACCCATGACGATTTAGATATTGTTTATAGTATTTATACTCAAAGGTATAATAATAAATGTTTATATATATAATTCACATGTATAACAACAATGAAAACCAGGGCAAATCTGGAAAAAGAGTTTGGTGAAAAGCTATTGGCTCTTTCAAATGCCCAGGAACTAGATGTGCCTGCTGAAGACGGAGTCGCAGGAGCCTATCAAGCAATCGCAATGGAGCTCAAGAAGACGGCTGAGTCACATATAGATTTATCAAATAAACTAAAGGACCAAGTAGCAAGTGAACTCGAGGCCAAGCTATCAGAGTATAGAACTCTATTTGACAAATGGAACACGACTCTGCAGCAAGTGTATGATGAAAGACAAGAAAAGACGATTGAACTACTGAGAGTATGTGTTGTAGAGATGGTATGTGTTTGCTTATAGTAATTCTGTTCTTTGTAGGTGCGTTCTCAATATTTGAAAGAGCATGATCTTGCCAAAGGACAGTCAAATCCATCGTTGGATAAACTAAGTAAGAAAGTTTTTGCTCAAGAAAGAAAACAATTCTTATTATTTATATATAGAGGAACAATATAAAGCCATGGTAGCAGATGTAGATTACCTGTCACAAGAATGGATTGATGCATGGACAGAAGCTTGTGAGGTAAGAAAAAAAAAAAAAAAAAGCCATTTGATATGTGCCTTATGTTCCATCTAGACTATGGAAGCAATGGAAGAAGATCGTGTAGAATTGATAAAGTATAACATATGGGAGTATGCTAATCTGGCTTCGGCCCGATTATTAATTCAGGACGAGGTAATCATCCTTAAGGTTCATCATGTTTACATCATTCACCCTTTTCTTTCTTTATATAAGTGGTGTGAAGTGATACGAAAACAATTAGAAAAGTGTAGCGCTGAAGAAGAAATCGAAAAGTGTATTTCAAGTTATGGAACAGGGTCAACTATTCCAAGTATGGGTCTGTCTATGAAAGCACAAAGGATTTACTTATTTCTCTTTTTTTAAAGCTACGAACGAGTACGTTGGTGAAGTCATGAAGGAGTTGAAGAAAAAACAGCCAAAGCCCATAGAAGAAAGAGACAAAGGTCATATGACAGAGGGCACAATACGACATAAAGTGAGTGACAACATGGGTAGCACTGCATCTCGAGGCCAAATCAAGAGAAAGCCTTTGAACAAGTCTTTAATGGAACAAGTATCTCAACATCATCATCAGCAAGAACAGACTGTACCTGAAGACACAACAACAAAGGAAAAGCCAAAGTCGGTTGAAGCCATCTTGAGCTCGATAGATGCTCAAAAGAATAACAGTGCAAATAGAGATTTTCATCGTAGACAACCCTCTGAATACAAGCCTGATACAGGGTCAATTCCTACTCGACGTGGTCAACGAACTATAAAGGAGGTTATTGATGCGCCGGAGCAGCCTCCTAAATCTCCACGTCCAACAGCTCAAGTTATCCAGCCTGAAGATCATAGCGGTAGCTCAAAGATCATTGTCCAGCAACAGCAACAGCCATTAAATCAACAATCACAACAACAGCAGAATCATCATCATCATCAGCAACCATCAAGTCAACACCATGTTTTTCCTCCAACGGCACAATACCAGCCATATGCCCCGGCAACACAGCAACCATATGCTCCAATAGATCAACGATCACCCATGATACAACCACAAAGATCGCCTATGATGCAACCACAGCGATCACCTATGATACAACCTCAACGTTCACCCATGATGCAGCCAGTGGCAATGCAGGCGCCTATATCCCCTATGATGCAACCACAGCGCTCTCCAATGATTGCCCCTCAAGCTTCGCCTATGATGCAGCCATACCAAAGATCTATTCCCCCACCCATTACCATTCCAAATTACATGGCTCCTTCTCCACAACCATCACCGGCCATGGCCTATTCATCATCGCCCATACTTCGCTGGCCAACTAATTATATTGACGGAAGGCCGATCATAGCTTGGGGTAAAAAAAGAAAAAGTTATATAGGCACAGGAAAACTCTAACCCTCCCATACTCAATATAGCACGCTCAAAATACGACTATGCGCCCACAGATGCTACAGAAATCCCTTTGACGAAGCATTGTTTAGTAGGTGTATTAGAATCAGACTTGTCAGAAGAGTCATGGTGGATAGGCGCAGTATGGGACGAATATCGTCAGACGTGGTCTAATGCTGGTTCTGTTCCTGGTAACTTTATGGAGAAGCTATAATAAGGCTACATGCTTGTGTATTTTATATAACAATATAATAAAACGGAAAAAAAAAGTATGATAGAATAAAAGATAGGGGCTCATGCTCTGTTGCCAAATGGTGAATGTGGTCGCGTTATCGCCATGACTTTCTTTGATCTATTTATTTTAGGCGCTAGCTGATTGTGCCTGTTTCTTATTATTTCAAGACTTAAGACTAGCTCATATTTATCACTATTCATCTACTTTTTCTTGATTTGTTTATCTGGAGCACCTTCTCACACTAAACGTGATATGCTCTGACACTTTCTTTTCAAACTAGGTATCTACATAGATCCTACATCTTCTTCTGCTACTCTTGTATATCTATCTCATGTGCCTTTGCCATTCTTTTTTGTCCTTGTTCTTTGCTTGGCTTATTACCTTTGATTATAGATTATCTCTTTTTGCTTCTTTTAGACGTTTCCTTGCATCTGTATCAGTGGTTTTCTCTTTACTGTCCTCTATTGTTGCTCTCTGATTGACTATATTCAATAGCACTCTCGAGTGTATCCTTATCTCAAGTTTCTGTCTGTAAGCACCTCTCATTTTATAGTATTCAAGGCTCTTCCCTATCTATTGCTTTTTTTTAACTTTCTGCAATATTCAAGACTCTTTTTCATATATGAAAAGATATGCAGTCTGATTAACCCATATTAGGTTGCATCACACAGCATTAATATTGTTATTACACTTGGATTCATTCATAAACACTCTCTTGAACACTAATGTGGCTCTACAATATTCTAACTCGCATACTTTTTTTTGTCTTTTATTGAGATCTTGCTTATTTTTATAGCTACTCAGGATTCTTTATTCTTTGAATATTTAGCTGATGATTCTCATGCTATAACAGTTTAGGAGTTGTCTTTCTGATGTCACTCAAAGAGTCCTAATTTGGGGAGCACAGCGAATCTTTCTACAGTTTATATTTTCACATGGTTAAAAGAACTTAGAGAATAGGAAGCGATAGAAAATACGATATCAACTTGCTTGCAGAAAATCTAAGCAAATTGCAAGTGAATACTTGTTGAAGCGCACACATATTGATATTTCGTATGAACAACAACAAATAAACAGACAAAAGATTGGTGTGAGCTTGCCCACCAATGTAAATCATATCAAGCTCTTCTTTTTGTTCTTTTCAGTAGATCATTCGAAAATAATGTGATGTTAGATACCATCGCTTGTTGTTTCTTTTGAAAGTGATATGAGTTTATTTACATTTTATTCCAGTGCTGCCAATTTTTGTTTTAGAGAAGCAATCTGTGAATCAATCTCCCTTTGAGCTTTATCTAGTCGCTTCATTTCTTCTTCTTCTAATTGCACACTAAATTCAGGTATAGTGATGTCCTTGGAAGTTTTTTTTAGTGGTAAATTAGGTGTAAGTGCATTATGTTCTGAAAAGAGCTGATAGAGTTGTTCTGTTGGTTCATTAAAAACAAATTCATCATAAAGTAAACTCATCACTGGTTTATCCTTTGGCCAAGGTTGTCCATTGAGATCATCTTCATAAGGATGAAGTCGCAAATGGTGATAAAGAATGACTTGTTTTTCTCCAGTATGCTGATGAAAGTATATCTTGATCATTATTTCAAATTCACCCCATCCCGTCTCTGATACTTCAAAGGGTGGCTGTTCAACGGCTTTTCAAGTTTATAAGTATTATGTGTAAAAAAGTGTGTGTCGCAAAACTTACTCCTCAAAGGATTTGGATATGTCTCATGAAGTTTGAACACGACTTTTTTGATGAGATAACTTAGGTCTTCGTTATTTATTCCTTTGACCATTACTGTCCAACGATGTGTATGATCTGGATCTGCTACTTTCTTTCCATTTAGTGAGTGTGCAATACTGCCATAATAAAAGGGTCTAGAGACGACAACTCCTTTGAGTCGTTTGTTTCCAGACATGTTAAATTAGAAAATAAAAAAAAAAAAAAAGTGGTTTATTTAGCAACCGTCTTTCTACGGTCCTTATTTTGCTTGAAGCATAAAAATTGAACAACAGTACTTTTTCGACTAAACACCAAAAGCTCTTTGACATGACTCAGCTCAGCTTGGAGATTACTTGAAGATTGTTGTTGTGGATCATAGGCTTGTTCGATTGTTTGATAAATGAGTTGTAGCGTATCGGACGCAGTTGGCGTAACATATTGAGATAATGTTTGATGCATAAATTCGATCTCAAGAGTTGCTTGGAGCATACCACCCATGCCGAATCGCTCTACTTGCTTAAAACTTTCTAGACAGTCACTGGCCATTAGTTCAAGTAGACGAGAAAGAGCTCTTCCGACAAGCTGTTTGGTCACAGCGCTTATTTGTGAATGCACCATGACCAAAGTCATCAAGGCCTCATAAACGAACGGATGCACCTCTTGTGGCTTGGGAATACTAGACCAGTCAATGCCACTGTGTAATATGCCTTGTCTGATGATGTCTCGAATGGTTTGAGATTTACGCTTGATATAATCACCAAATAAGATCTGGTCCAGCTTGTCAACGACATCAATTAATGTCTATATGCATAATGTAAATAAAGGGCTTTCTATTCTATCTCTTGAACTTACACTAAAGTCTTCTTTCATCTGAACATTAAATGCAACTTCAAAAAGTTCAACGAGCTTCCTGATAACATTACCACGCATATGTTCCAAGTTGCTCACTGTCAACAGAATACGAATGTCCTACATAAAAATAGAGTCAAGGGAAAAGGCATAGATGGCTTCTTTTTTCTTTACCGTCGAATGGACATCAATATGTCCTCTCTTTTTGGTCAATATTAACTCTTCTTTATCATTCAAGGGGGTATAATCCGTGAAGGCCAACTGAACTAGACCGTCCAGGAAGGCATACGTAGAGGTCAAAAATGATTCTCTTATTTTTTCAATATGAACTGGAGAAATTGGCATCTTTGGCTGTTCATCTGCTTCATCTGTCATAGCTGTCAAGCTGGCAATCTTGTGAACTGATCTTGCACAAAACTTGTGAAAGTCATAGTATCGTTTCAGCAGAGTTGTTATCTGGGAGTTTTGTGGATCAAGTATCCACTCTTCCAGCATATAAAATGACACTGCATCTATGTACATATATAGATGAGGTTGGTCACTGTCTATATACGTACAAGTCAATCACATACCTCTTTCCCAGCATTTACACACAATGTCTATAAACTTTGATCGTGCCTTTTCCATCAGATTAGTCAGCCCAGAAAACGCTTCACCAGCCAAGTTGATGTTGTTTATATCATTTACACACGTGGCTAAATCACCAATGATCAAGGTCAAATACTCTGAAGTATAGACCGAATTGGCATTCACAGGCACAAATGAAGGCATGATACATCTTTCAGACCCATCCTTCACCTTTTGCATCTCCAGTTGCTTTTGATCCAGTGAAAAATAATCAGACAAGAGTGACACGTATTGATCAATGATATCACGCGTCATACGCTGACACTGCTCAACCTTATTCATGTCCATACCTTGTCGTCTTTTTCGGTTTGAGCTGATGGTTGTTGTCGATGTCTTGTTTGCAAACTTTCCTTCAATGAATGCTTTGGACAGTCGCCAAAAATCAGGTAAACATCGCAACAAGAGGGAAGAAAGCGACTTGACAAGGTCAGATGTCGCTCTCCACACCTTTTGTTCGATATCAAGCTTCTCTTCCTCTGAACCCATCTCTTTCAGAATAGGAATTTGTGAAATAGCCTTTTTGAGAGTTAGGCTGCGTTTGATTGATGAGTCTTCTGATCCATCCTCAGCTCTTACACGGTTGATTTTCTGAATGGCTGTATCGAATGTTTCCTTCATCAGACCAGTGATCCATTGATGCTGACTGTCTAGATAGAACCAGGCAGGGTCCTCTGTGGTATCTAGATCAAACAAGAAGCTTTTTTTTTTGGAGTTAGTGATGTTCATTATTGATTTTCTATAGCCCTCACTTGATCGTCTTTTCTTGCTCTTCCATACTTCGCCAGGGATCAGCCAGTTGTCGAAGCAATACATTTTGCAGTTCAGAGACGATTTTTACAGCCTCTGCCCATACTTTATCAAACACTTTAAGATGGATGTCCGTCAACCGATTATCCTTTTGCTCTGCTTCATCTGTTGAGTCCAAATCACCCTTGAGCACTTGATACAAGTACTTGCCCTTTTTGTAATCTCGAATAGCCGCTTCATATTTTGTCTATACATCATCAATCCACATCTGCATTCTCTTTTTAAAAATACACACTACCTGTTTGATAGACTCCATCAAGCTATTAGGCAAATTGAATAAAAATCGATATCTCTGCAACATATAAAGCGTCCCCTTGACCTTTTCCACACGTTGTCTTCGTTCAACCACGGGTCCATAGATTTGCTCTGCTCGGTTATTGGCAGCTTTTTTTTTATGTTAACCATCTATTTCCCCTCTTTCTATGTTTATAATTTTACCTTCCAATGCCTTTTGAATATCAATTGTGCCATAATCCTGCTGTTGATTCAACTGTTTCGATTTCATCTCGTCATAAACATGATCAATTGTATTCTTGGCACTAACAAATCGATCAAAGTTTTGATGTACTAGGCTTTTCAGGGCCTCAGCTCGTTGATCGACATCTCTCCTCAGTCGTTCTTCTCCTTGCACCAGTTCGTTATAAGACGTGTTGCGATGAACTTGAAGTAAAAAGTGTCGTGGTTGGAACTTTTTATTGGTAATCATGATGGTCGCTTCTATATGTATACAATGAGCTAAATTGTCCCTCTTTTTTTTGTCACTTTACTTTCTTTTAGTTGAGTTAGATTTGTATTTCGAGACTTTTCACTAAATATTGTGGTAAGTTTATTGTACAGCGGTTTTGCATAACAAAGTCTTTATTACTCTGGGAATATAGAAGAATAGACACCAAGTGGGTCGCTGTCATCTAAAGCCTGTAACTCAATATCGGTTTCTGATGGACGAACAGTTGCGCCCAACTGTTGCTGCTCTTCCTCAGGATGCTGGAACTTGTTATTATTTAGTTCTTTATCCGCATTATCCTCATCATCCATCCACATCTCAGGTTCTAAAGAATCGAGATGGTAAAACCGTAAAATGGCTGCATCCTCAGCATACTCTGGTAAGTCGAGTCTATTCATGAAGAAGAAGAAGAAGAAGAAGAAGAAAAAAGAAAAACAAAGAAATGATTATTACTATATGCCACTTTTATTACAGATCACGTGGACACTTTAAATGATAAGTTTTATTTACAAAAAGAGAGCACCGCCTTGAGAGTCTCTTTGACGGTTGATGTCTGTATCCTTCATTTCCTTTTCGAGCTTCTTGGCTCTTTCGCCTGGTGACATTTGCGTTTGTTCATTATTTTGATCAGGTTCAAAGAAAGCGTTAGAATCAGCGCTAGGAGGCTCAGTCGTGCTCGATTCTGTAGAAGAGCCTTGGTTGGATACAGTAGAGGACAGGGATCTTGGTGTGGCAGATATCTTGTTTGTCAAATCATCAGTCGTGCGTTCAACACGAAGGTTTCCGCTGCTTGTCTGGTTTGGATCTTGTTGGTAGTCGTCAGGGTTTGAGGTAGTGGTAGGCAAAGTATTGTCGTTTGTGTATTGTTGAGTAGACATATTTGTTTGTTACGAGAAAAAAAAGAGAGACAGAGACGTTGCTTGATCTTTTATATATATGCATCTTTCGTCGTCACTCTGACATTTAATAAAAAAAAGAGTTCCAATCAGAGCAAGTGCATAATTATATGACGTTTTCTTTAAAGATGCAGTACGTCATGTTAACTCTGGAAGAGTAGCCTTTTATGAATTGCAGAGAAGTTCAGCCTATGTAAAGCTATTTATTCATGCTTTTACACTTTATTCACAAATTATTCGCACACTGATAAAAAAAAAATGGTAATTTCAGACAATAAATAATAATAAAAGAGGGGCCCATCAGAAGCAAAAGAATGAATAAAGAAATGGTTAGTAAATCAGTTATTACATTGATATCAATACTTACATTATAAAGAAGAGTGTTTATAAGAGAAAAAAATATTATTAATATCTTACTCGAAGTGCATCATGGGTTAGGCTGGCGATAACCAGCCCGGAGAAAGAAGAGAAAAGAGAAAAAGAGATCAAGAGAGAGCAAACCAGAGAAAAGAGAAGTGAGCAAGAAAGAGAACGTATGGGACCAAGGTTTGGTAAGAACCAAGCTACCCTCAGCTAGCACCGGTACTGCTTCGATTTCATGATCTATAACACTGCATATCAGTTTCTTGCAAGAGCAAAGAATAAAACATACCTTAGGGCTAGCCGGGGAATAGCTGGTCATACTTTTCGGTCCAAAGAAGAAAAGAAAAGACAAAGGAGTCGAGATCAGAGGTCTCTAACAACGTTTCATTTTATTATTAAGCGTTGACTACATTTATTTTATGTATCTCTCAAAAAGACAGAATTCATTGTCTTTTAAACAATAAAGAAGACATAGAAAATCAACTAAAGTATTACTTGTTATTGATCTTGTGTGCGAATAATTTTTTATACAAGTATATTAAAAGTCATTATGGAATCAAGCGGCTGTTTATTGTGAGAGAGCATCTTCTTTTCTACTTTAAAGTTTATCTTTTCCAGGATATGCTGAAGTTTACATCTGTCACTTTCATCATTTAAACAAATGTGGGCCAATCACCATCGACGCATAGATATATACATATATGTCTTCAATGTGTCAAATCATTTTCACAGTGGCAAGACGCTCCGCATGTCTCTACCGATATTGTTCGGCATCCACTCAAAAAAAGATCCATTCATAATAGGATTCTCTTTCTTTATTCTGAAATGTCAACCTGTAGTGTTTCGCTCCCTAATGCATCAAATACTGTCGATATACTGACACGATCCTTGACAAGTGACTGTGCTGCCTTATTAAACATGAGTGATTTAAGGGTAATATCGGTAATACTGGCCAGACCAAGGGGTATTGGACATGTTTTAAAGTGTGCGAGCACGTCAGGTGTATAGTATTGCTGCGCATGAGTAGCCATGATGCTTATTGTTCTCTTACGGTTCCTTGAAGGAATCATGCTCACTGTTCCAATCAGTTCACGAAGATGTTCTGGTGTACAACCTTCTTTTACGTTTTTACATTGAACAATAACTTGAATATTATCTAACCAGCTGCCTCTTAGGTCAATTCCACCATCACTTCTTCCACCGACATGATCCAATCGCATCTTGGCAGTTGATTCAAGTGAATATAGTGTTTGTAATTCAAACAAGGTTCCACGATAAACATTGGTTGAAGTATTTTTATTTTGTTTTAAATAAGTTTCAAGTCGAGCAAGCGATGTATAGAATCTCTTCATTTCTAAGCAAAAAAAAAAATCCCCCTGCGGTGCCTGCATTTTAGAAAAATTCCCGTGTGACATTTTTTTTTTTTTTCCCGCGCTAACAATTAATGTCCTAGTGTGCTTGTGTTCTCTTGGACGCAGTAAGGATTCCTCTTTTTTTTTCTTTTTTCTTTTCTTTTCTCTCTTTATATAAATTTAAAAATGAAAGAAGTTATCGTTGGCGCCAATTTTCCAAGAGATGCTGAAGGAAGAGTGTATCATATCGGCGTAAAGCAAGGCGATGTTGCCAATCGTATATTGACAGTAGGAGATCATGTCAGAGCCAAGAGAATAGCTCAACTCTTAGATTCTGAAGAAGAAGCAGGACATCCTGTATTTGAAAAGCTGAGTCAAAGAGGATTCCTGACAATCACAGGACGATACAAGGGAGTGCCTGTTTCGATCATTGCCATGTAAGCTCCACACATTTTTGTTGGTATTTTAAATTAATCCTATATTTAGCGGCATGGGCAATTCCATGATGGATTTCTTTGTCCGTGAGACCCGAGCAAGTACAGAAGGCACCTTGGCTATCGTTCGATTTGGTTCATGTGGTTCACTCTCTCATCTGGCCCCTGCTGGTGCCGTTGTTATTCCCAAAGCTGGGTTCTGTATTCGACGTAACTTGGATTATTTTGCAAAGGAACCTTTATACCCTGAATTAAAGGATAAACCATACCTCTTTTCGGGCACATTCCCCGCAGATGAAGAAATGACGCAGCTGCTGTCAAAACAGATAGAAGACGCCCTGGCCCCTATTGAAAAAGATGGTCTGCTGGTTGGTCCTGTGTTATCAAGCGGTTTGAACGCCGACGGTTGTTCTTTTTACGCATCTCAAGGAAGAACGGATAGTAACTTTTGGGACGATAATGAAGGTGTCTTGCAAGAGATTCTCAGTGTTTATCCCGAAACTCATTCGATCGAGATGGAAACTTCCATGTTGTTCCATTTGGCCAACTGTGCTAGTAAACCTATTAGAGCAGCGGGATGTATGCAAGTCTTTGCTGACCGTATAGCCAATAATTTCATTCGACCTGAAATAGTCGCTGTTTTGGAACCAGCTGTGGGTAAAGCTTGCTTGGAGGCATTGATCAAAGTACAAATTGAAGATGAAATGGATCCAGTGGGAACTGTTTGGGAACCAAAAAAATAAGTTTACATGTATAATAAATTTAAAATGGTGTGAAATAATTAGTTAAATTAAATATTATGTGTGTGTAAAGAAAGAAAGAGAGAAAACACTGAGAGGGGGGACCTTCTTTTTTTTTGTATCTACGTAATGTCACAAGGAAATATTCACTCATTTGAAGAAAATGGTACATTTGAACAACAACAACAGAATGACTCAGAAGAAACAGATTGCAGTGTTTCAAGTGATTCAGAATCTGAACAAGATAATGATACCAACCTGGTCACTACTGCTCTACATGATTTAACTACCAATACTGGATCACAAAATACTTTACCCACTAGTACTAGTAGCGGCAGTAGTAGTAGTAATGCACCATCTATCAGCTCAGACCAAGGCAGAACGAGAAGCAGAAGTAATGCAGACTATACAGCCTACACTAATTCAGGTAGTCATCTACCACCAAGGTCTCAACGTGTATGGGAATTAGATAGACATGCACCCGAATGTAGACGTTGTCACCGACGATTTAACTTTTTGGTTAGAAGACATCATTGCCGGTAAGTAGAGACACCAAGTTCTACGTATTTATCTTAACCTGTATATATATAGTCGCTGTGGACAGATAGTGTGCGATAAATGTAGTTCTCACCGCATAAGATTACCCGTTGAAGAACTGATAGAGGACCCAATGATATCGTCATCACAATATCCATTTTTAGCTTCACAATCACAGAGAGTATGCGACTCATGTTATCGTGAACCCATACGACGCTCTTCTGAGTCGTATCATCGAAAATATTCACGTCAATACATGTTTGGCTCTGAAATGCAGCGTAGCAACAGCTCTCAAAGTTTAATGATCGACTGTCCTGTCTGCGGAACTTCATTTCTAACAATGCAGAAAGAGGAGCAAGAACAGCATTTACAGAGGTGTCTTAATGTAGGAAGTCCACCCGTACAATCGCCAAGGTACATAGGTAAGGTATCATACATTGATTATTTTTTATCTGCATATGAATATACTCCGCGTAGTGTATGAGTTGCCTCAAGATTCGACACAGGTTGGAGAAGAGTGTCCTATCTGTTTTGATGAGTTTTCAAAAGGTAAAGAATGCGTATGGATGTAAAAAAAAAAAAAAAGGTATATTGACACATCAGTGTAGGAGATAAAATAGCAAGGATGATCTGTTTATGCACATATCATCAGCATTGTCTATCGTCTTGGTTACAAAGAGGCAAAGGATGCCCTGTTCATTATGACACTATGCTTCGTCAACCAGAAGAATGATCACTGTAATATTTTATTAGAAAGTTCTGTATAAATATATCTACCAAAGAGCATCCCTTTCTCTCTCTTTTATCAAGGAAAGCAAAATACACTTGAGCAACATATTTTATATCCACACAATAAACCTTCCCTCCTTTCTCTTTGTTTTATTTATTCATAATACATAAAGACTGATTGATAGCAAAGATGCATGAATTGTAACGTAAACAAACTTGAGTATTCCTCTCTCTTTCTTCCTTCTTGGTCAGACGCTTCTTTTTACTTCATGATTCATCCGTACTGTCTCGGAAAAATAAAAAAGACAGATCCCGTAATTGTCAGATAAAGAAAAGATCAGTCATCATTATATCAAATGACCTCAATCTCCCCTCCCCTTGGATAAGAAATAGATTTCTCTTTTATTTAATGCGACTGGTTTAAAACAATCCCTCTGTACACACTCTCCTTTACAACAGCAGGGATTTTCTCGATATTTAAACTCAGTGCAATTAACTTTTTTATTTATAAAGGAAAAAAGGGCTTTCTACCTTCTTTTTTCCCTTTAGAGAGATGCCCTTTGGTTTCAATCACGAACTTGTTTGCTTGATATCAAGAAGCGCACTTTGGTCCTTCTTTTCTGATATCAAGCTTGAAAATGTATCCAACGTTCCTCCAGAGTCGCAACCACTTATTGTGTAAATATAAAATAAATATATATACACTCTGTGTTAATACTATGTAGGGCGGCAACCCATCATAACATGATTATTGATCCTGCTGTTCTCTCTGTCACATTTCCCAACAAGCGTCGACTTCACTATTGGGCAAAGGACTCGATGTTCAAGTCACCTTATGCTGCCGCCTTTTTAAATGATTGTGGGGTAGTCCCAGTTGACAGAAAAACAAAAAATAATGCACAACTTTATGCAGCTACCTTTGAAGTCTTGAAACTAGGTGAAGCCGTGGCTGTGTTTCCAGAAGGCACTAGCCATACTTTGCCCAGACTAGGCACTTTGAAGGATGGAACGAGTTTTGTAAGGCTTTATTTTTTTTTATTGGGATCACATGTATAATAACCCCAAAAACAGGCGGCTTTGGAATATGCCAAAATTGTACATCAGGAAGGTCGTGGTCAGTATGCGCCTGTGTTGCCAGTAGGAATTGTGTATCCAGAAAAATCAAAGTATCGAAGTGTGGTTATTGTAAAGTAAGTAAGCAAAAGCGTGTGTGTGTATGTTGTGTGTGTGTATTTATATGCATGTACACAGGTATGGGAAACCTATCTCGGTTGAACCTTATTTGCCATTGTATTTGGAAGATCCGAAGAAGGCAGCTAAACAGTTGACAAAGGCAATTGAAGTAGCTATGGAAAAGATTACTGTCAATGCACCTGACTGGGATAGTAAATATGCAGCAGATATGGCGAGGTGGTTGTTGTTCCCAGGAGAGAATGGCTTAATGAAAGATTATATACCAATTACTCAAAGGTATACAAAAGTGTTATTCGCTTATGGTCATTAACCACTATTTAGTCTAATCAATGCCATGAATACATTAGCAAAAGAGGACGTAGAGATGGCCAAACTTCAAAAAAGCCTTGTTGTATATAAATTAGAGCTTGAGTCACTACTACTCAAAGATAGTCATATTGCCAAGTACAATGAAAAAGAGATCACAGCAGTTTCGACTACAGTAGAACTCTTACGCCGCACAGCAGCCAGTCTGATAGATCTTCCCCTCTTTTTACCCGGATTAGTTGCTCATTTACCGTTATATGTGGCAGGCTACTATGCGGGTAAATGTGAGATTTATGAAGAAGTGCGAGCACAAAACAAGATCTTTTTTGGCATGGTCTTGGTTCCTATCATTTACATCACCACCTTCATCTGGGGCTGGTTCACATTATTCGGAGGCACCTTCTTTGGCTTCTTTTGTGCCTTGGCGACATTAGGTGTCTTTATGTGGTATCATGTCGTGTCGATTGATGAACGGTATGAAAACTTTAAAGATTTACAAGGTCGCTGGAGACTATTTGATGCTGTCGTGCTCGGTAGAGGCATGTGGCGTAGAAAAGAGCGTATTTTAGAATTAAAAAAGTTGCGTACAGAGTGTCTGACAGAACTACGCAAGATGATCAAGACCTACAAGACAAAGAATGACGATATTCATGTCATCTGGTTGGCTATTCGTAATAGGGTGAAGCAGTTTAATGATGTATCCAAACTTCGGTCTAAAAAGAAGGCGCTTGCAAAGCAGTATGAATGGTGTTTTGAAGGTTAACTAGAAGACTAATGAATAAAAAATAATGTATTATTCGTTTTATACTTACCGAGGCGTTAAGGAATGCACTGCCGTTATGGACAGCGCATTAAATTCACGGCACAATTAGGCTTTTGGGGGGAAGAGGGCTTTCATTGTCATGCTTTGATTTGTTTACAAAGATATTATATATATTTAATGCATTGTTCACATCACAACTCTACACCGTACCACAATAATTACGGCAACTTCTTCCGTTGTTGGCAAGTTGTGAGCGCGTCTATCGCCTCCTTCAATAGCCTCATTCTCATATCACAAGAATTAACTATACAAGGTGAGGCGCCGTTGTCAGTCGAGTTATCGTTACTCTCTAGCTTATTTAATATCTCATATGCATGGCGGTAAATTTGAGCAAAGAGGTTACACTGCGAGAACATGAAGGGAAACTCTCTTAAGATCTCAGAATCAAGATTATCATTTATCTTCGAGCGTCTTTCAGCCGCATACAATGGGTCATATATGTAAAGCTGAGCATACGAAGGGTTGGAATCATTATCAGTGGGCAGTAAAGGGCCTTGAAGGTGATATATATTTTATGCCGCGTCTAGGTGGCTTATGTATATTTACAAAGTCCGAAATTTTTTCTGCTACGGCAATTGTAAATTGTTGATGAAGGGGCGTATGTCAGAATCCTTCCCTTTTCACCGAGCCTTCGAGATACACTATGACCGTAAGTATGGTCGATCAGTTTGAAAAGGGGAAAAGAAATGAAAGAAAGTGAGCTTGGATGGATGGATGAATTGATTTGGACACGGATGGATTGAATAAAGAAAGAGATAAATGATTATGTTGTAGAAAGAAAGAAGAGAGGAACCGTAGTCCAAAAAAGAAGGAACAAATGTAGAAATTCGTCATTACTTCATGCAAACGCATCAACAATAACAACAACAACAACTACAACAGTAGCTCATTTTCTTTCTTTCTCTTGATTCTTTTTCACAAACATGTTCAATGGAGTTATTGACTGTTTTTTTAAAAAATAGTTGGCCGTTGATCTTCTTAACCCTTCTGTTGAACACGAGAAGCGTTCCCACAAGCTCAAGAGACTTGTTCAATCTCCCAACTCCTACTTTATGGATGTCAAGTGTCCTGGTTGTTTGAACATTAGCACCGTCTTCAGCCACGCTCAAACCGTCGTTTTGTGCTCTTCTTGCGGTACTGTCTTGTGTCAACCCACTGGTGGTCGTGCTCGCTTGACTGAAGGTTGTTCCTTCCGTAGAAAGGCAAACTAAGAAAGAATGAGCCTTGTAAACTATTGTGTACATTTTTATTCTTTTTTCTTTTGTGTAGGGAATAAAAAAAAAGTTTCTTTTTTCTCTCCTTTTTTTCATTTGTTCAATGTTGAAATTTCTTTATGGCACAGGATTCCTTATAAGAATAGCTCTGTTTAATTTTCCTTCTGTGATAGATACACTAAGTCAACGCGTAGAGTTGTCGACGCCTGTTACTAGCTTCAAGCGATGTACGATATATTATGTGCATGTGTGTATGTACTAATCTCTCTCTTTTGTTGCAGTAACAGAAGGAGTATTTCTATACAATAACAACATTCCACCTTATGATGGAGGAGTATTTCATCAGGTAAATTGTTCTTGTATCTAAAGATGTTTAAATCAATATTGTTTATTAGTCACCTTTATTATTATGTCTATTCTCATTCATCACAACATTTGCCCCTTTTATTGTTCCTGTGTTATACACAACCATAGACGTGATCATTGCTTATGCTTTATCTATTATTACCACCATTAAACAACAACAACCAGAGCCAAAGTTGAGTATCGAAAAGACGTCCATTTCACCTTCCACAGTAGCTGCCCTGTACCTATTTAATCCCTTCACTATACTCAACTGCGTCTCCAAATCGACCTTGATCTTTACCAACCTCAGTATCATTTTAGCTATTTTAAGTGCTTTAAGAGGTATGACTATATGTATGCAGCATTGATAATGTATATTCACAACACAGATAGGAAATATGAAGCCATCCATGTTTTGGGCCTCCGTCTCTGCTTATTTGAGCTTTTATCCAGCCATGCTCTTACCTGCCTTGTTGCTCTTATTTAATAACAAAGTAAGTTTTCAATATAAATGAAAACCAGCTATTAACCATCTTGAAGAAGACAGCAGCCGCTGGATCCTTTGTGGGCTGGATAGTCATCCTCTTTGGTCTTTCAAGACTATTTATTGGTTCCTGGGACTTTATAAGACCAACCTATGGCACTATGTAAGCTTTTTTTTTTTCTTTGTATAAAACGATATTAACAAAAATTTCATAGCCTCTTCCTGACAGATCTGACGCCAAATGTTGGCTTGTTTTGGTATTTTTTCATTGAAATGTTTGACCAGTTTAGATCGTTCTTCATGATGGTCTTTCAGTTCCATGCCTTCATTTTTACAATTCCTATTTGCATCAAATTTCAGTAAGTTTTTTTTTTTTCTATTTTCAACAGGATGTACATTTCTCTAATACTTCTCCAAAAAAAGGCATAAACCTCTATTTGCCATTACTTTTCTTTGTGGCATCATGGCTATTTTCAAAAGTTATCCATCTATTGGTGATGCATCCCTCTATTTAGCACTTGTGCCTATTCACGATGAAATTCTTAAATGTAAGCTATATATGTGATAACATATGTATATTAACAATGATTAGACTGTCGCCACAAGTTTTTAATCTTCAACTTGTTTGTATATGCATCCATTCTATCGCCCATCTTTTGGCACTTGTGGATCTATGCGGGGAGTGGCAATGCTAATTTCTTTTATGCTATCACGCTTGTTTATAACCTCGGTCAAGTCTATTTACTGATAGAGTTAGCTTGGGCAATGCTTAGACGAGATTTTGATATAGAACATCCAGAAGATATTGGGAAACCAGTCATTCAGAAATAAAATAATAGTAATAATAATGACAGCAAGTTTTATTGAATTTTAAAAAAAAGAGGATAAAATAAATAATGTGTGTATATATATTTTTTGTTAGATTTGAGCAAAGGATTCCTTAGGATCAGTAACGACCATCTTGACCTTTTCTAATAATGAACTGGACTTTTCCAAGATAGAACTAAAGAACTCTGCAGTCTCTCGTGATGCCTGAGCGAATTCTTCAGTCTCATGTCTCTTTTGTTCCTTTTCTTCAATTGCTCTTTGAATTCTATTTTGGATTTCCCAGCCTTCAACACGTAAAACCTTTCTGGACTCACGGCCAATACGAGCGCTCTGTGCTTCAATATATCCTAGCTCACGAGCTGCACTCTTGAATTTCTTGACCAATTTACGTTCGACAGCATGACGCATATCACTAACGACATAGACAATGAAACCGACACTGGCGACACCGACCACAGGGACAATCCAGCGACGCATGTTGGGAGAGTTGACCATGTTGGACACACTGCAGATGCTGGAGACAGCATCCTTGAAGCCGAGCATACGGCCACCGACCACTGTAGCTGCGCCGGACAACAAGGCAGCACTAGATAATTTATCGTCCAAGATGAGGTCAAAGAAATCTGTAGCTTCCACCGTAATGACAAGTTCCTTGGGCTTGACGCACAACTTGTTGACATCAGCTGCCAGAGGATATTCGCCCAAGTGTTCTGCGCCCATGCTGTGAATACGTTCCAGGCAGGCGCCCGTTTCTCGTCGTGCAAAGGATTCTTCTTGTCTGATCTCCTTCAACAGTCTCTGGGTCATGGAATCAGCAATATCTTGGGCATACTGCCAGATAAGCAAGACGCCTGGGTATTCTATCGTATGAATGGCATGACCAATGTTTTCGACGGTTTGATTCAATTTGTTTTGAGCATGACGCTGAATAGAGGACACAGTAGCCTCAGCCACTTTTTCGACTTGCTGAAGCACACGGTCTCTGACTTGCAACAGGTGTTCATAGGCAGGCAAGTCTTGCTCAAGCTCCTTCGTAGCTCTGGCATGATCATCTGTAGACTTGCTCTTGTTGGCTTCTGAGAGCACTTGAATATCCAAAAGCAGGTTGACGAGATAGTTTTTGGCAGGCAAGAGTTTTGATTTTGTACGGTTCTCAAGCACAAATGCCCGCAGTCGCTGTTCCAAACGGGCAAAGTCGGGAGCATCTAATTTACGAGAACCGAGTTCAAGGTCGACGTTGCCTGCGCTCACAAAGTGAACAAGATCGTCAGCGTCTGCATAAGTGGCAGGACTCAGTTGACGAATTTGTTCGAGAATTAAGCGTTTACAACGGTCCTTGTCTCGGATGGAGTCGAATCGGTTGACAACAATGAATATGTGAGTCTTTTCGTTGGCTGCGTTCCACAAAAATTCCTTGCCCTATAGATGTAAAAAGCATAAGCAAAACCTCCTTATAAGTATATATAAACACTTACAGAAAGAGTAAAGTGATTCTCAGCACTGACAACAAAGACGACAACGTCAATCTCTTCTTGACGAGCAAAGACAGCCGTGGTTTTGACAGAGTCGGTATTTAAGCCAGGTGAGTCAATTAATGCAATATCGACGACACCGTTGTGAAGTAAGCTCTCTTGACTGTCTCGAGCGTCATTGGCATAGATTTTGAGCATTTTGTATTGTTCGAAATCTTCGGTAATCACTTTGTATAAATGACGCATTTCAATCACATGATAAGTGTCAGGGTCTAGACGATTGTACTTTTCGACGCAGGGTATGGCATGGACCTGTTCCACACCGTCGTTCAACATGGCATCCAATACTTCACAAAAGATGCTCGTACAAGGTTGTTGGTCTGCAGGCAAGATGGCTCGCTTGAGAAGAGCATTGACAAAGGTCGATTTGCCTGAATTCAAATCACCAGTGACCAGGACCTTGGACGACGTATCGGCCACACGGCTATGAAGTTTTTCGAGGTGACGGATACTGGTTTCCAATCGGTCGTTCAAGAGGTTAGCAATCGATTTGGTCTCTAGCGTACTGAGGTCGGCTGAGGCATGGCCCATCTTTAAATCCAAGTTCAAGATATTCAAATTATCGCCTTGAAAGGTTGTCTGACGAGCAGCTTCGAGAATAGCTGAGGTATCCATGGTTTGTGAACGAGTGATCTTGCTGGGCCTGGTCATTGGATAAAACATGGGGTATTTGTCCTTGTTGGCCTTCTTCAAGTCGTCACAGATACCGACGACAGAAGTGATGTGAGAAAGTAAACGGTTACAACTATCTCGGTAAGTTCTTTGCTCCTGAGCTGCATTCAATCGGTGTTGGTGAGTCTTTTTGGCAGCAGAGGTTGTGGGTGAAGGAATGGGAGAAGCGAAAGGTCGAAATGTGGAGTCGTCAATACCAGGTGCTGAATTTCTTCGGAATTGGCGTCTAGAAGACGGCATGGCGGTCGAAGGTACTCCATATACTGACTCTGGCATGGTGAAGTGCGTTGCCAATCTGTAGAAAGAGGGAAAAAATGACTAATATAAAAAAAAATGAAGAGAGATTTTTTTTTTTGGTTAGCTAACCCGATTGGATGTCAATGTGCGTCACAGCACATGGGTTCCCTCCCCCCTCCTTCCTTTATCATAATTTGGGCTACACTATGTGTGTCTCTAGTTTATTCTTCATAAATAAAACAATGTGGGGATGATGATTGTTATGGATACTTGGGCTTATAATTGCTGTACAGTAAACTTTTTAGCTGTTTAATAAAATGATTTAGTCAACAATACAAATATTAAAGTAGTTCCAATGAAACATGTACATTTATAAGTCTCATTTTTGCTTTATCTTAGACGTAATCGACGACATACAGTGCTTCCACCATCAATTGTACTAGAAATTTAGCCATTATAAAATACACAACACATAAAGATGTTTTTTATATGGTGTTTTATTTAAGCAACCACTATATTAGTTCACAGACTACTAGACGGGAGGTTATATCACTCGCACCAGCAGTTCTTCTATTGAGGACTTCAGCGTCATTAACTTTATCCCGTTTAATATTATTTAATATTTTCAACATTGTAATCTAGGCCTTTCCATATCACAACTAAGTTCAACAATAAACCCTAATATGGATAATACTTGCATTTGGTTCACCGCCAATGTAATGCTTATGTTTACCTGAAGAGCTGACAAATCTGATCACATTTTGTATTTTTCTAGATTTGATACAATTCTTCCTTGTTGGGTATTCAAAGAAAGTTACTTGAATAATTTTATACAAGTCATTTTGATATGGTTCCATATTACAAAAACCAATCATGCTACGACTACCTATTTCCATCCCAAGTACTTTTACGGTGGGCATGCTGAAACTGACAGTACTTTAAAGTTGCCTGAAATGATTATTTTTAATGTCATGATGAGTAAAAAAAAAAAAAAAAGCAAGTGAAAAAACTGCATCCCATGGCAGAGGAGCCCTTCAAACATCAATAACAACTACAATAATGTTTTTTTTTTATTGAAGAGATTTTAGTTTGTTTCTACACATGTCGGATGGTACCAGCATACTGGATGCGCTCCCTGACTGTTTTTCCATGATCCAGACGTAGAGCCAGTACAAAGCATTCAGAGAATCTTTCATCCTTGAATTCTAAAGGGAAGAGGTCGCATAGTTTCATATCTCTAGTGCTCTCACCACGTAACAGCATCATATGCTGCATCAGAAAGAGCATTCGATCCCTGAGTGACTTCTCCTTTCCTTCTTTGAAATAGAACATTGATAACTTGACAAGTTCTTCAGGGGTGTAACCGTCCTGTGCAGTGTGACGAGCGCGATCCTCGCAGCTTTCACGTTTTCGCTGACGTTCACTGTGTCGTCTGTTCTTCAATCATGCACGCAGAGCAACACCACGGACACTAGCTTCCCTGGATGTATTTCTGAAAAATTGAATTGCATGAAGGTTAACTACCGCCTTGATGTATTGTTGAATAGTTTCCATTTTAAGTTCATGTACAGAACCATCATCCTTTCGACCCTTTTTTAAATTGCCTCTGGGCACAACGACTTCATCAAGAAAACGCAATAATTTCGCTTCAGTTACAATACAGCCGTCTTCATAGCGATTTTCTATGCAAAAGTCCTATTGAAATAACAAGCGTAAGCACATTCATATCATACACCCATATATGACATGTGCTATAATAATCTCCTGCATGGATGTCTACGCTGGTAGAATGATGTCTTGACGGATGCAGTGCTTGATTTTGTCATCATTCATACCTTGAGTCAGACAGATCTCGTCTCAAATCTGTTGTCCGCTGCCGTATACGAAGTAAAGCTTTGACGGCCTGTCGAAGGCACTGACCGGATCTAAGGTGAACGTTGTTGGCGTAAGGTGTGCAGATGCCGGTGCCTTCGATTATAGCAGATTGCTAAGCAAATACGAAGCTGGGCCTTTGGTAGTTGATGATTGTAAGGTAGTCACCCAAGTACTGGTCGATTACGGTACGATGGCGAATAATGCTTTGCGCGTGAGCTCGGCCGGGTACGAAGGGAAATATAAGTATTCATAGCCGATGAACTAGAGGAGCTTAGAGTGGAGCCTTCATCCATGGTGGGATACCTATTGAATATATATATATATATAGTTAGTTAAAGACTATCTCTAATAGTTTAAAAAGAATTTTACTTACTTCTAGTTAAATGAGTATATATATTTATAAAAGATTGAAGAACTAGAAGAGTGATAGAAGTGAACCTACAAAATATATTGTTTGATAAAGATGTATCCAATCGTTTAAATAAGCCTTTACTTACTTGAGGCGTTTGACGTATAGGTTTAAAATAAAAGGTTTGACTTTAGAAAATAAGAGCCAAAGAGGTGTGTCTATTAGATGCAAAGTGCGTATTTTCTCTGTGAACAAGATACTAGTTGTTTTTTTGTCTTGAATTTCATTGTTGGTATCAGAAGGCTCATCTGCCTTTCGATATGTACGAATATTATACGAATCTGTATATATACTATTCGTATATAAAAGAAACGGCTTGTAATGAGCATCTTTGTAGCAATCTTCAACGTCCACGTTTTCGATTGCCTTGAGTAATTCAATGGCTTGACTCTTGTTGTAAGGCTGGTGATAGAAAACACATATAGTATGTTCCCTAGTAATAGTACCCATGGCTGCTGTATTCAGCTTTGTGATTGTAAAAAGGTTATTAAGTCGATGACTTGCAAAATAGATTCTTTATTAAGAAGAGCTGAATATTATTAAAACGACACGTGTGTGTGTTTTTTAGGGGTAGAGAATCCATGACTGCCATTTATATTAATGTTGTCATACTCTTATTCTCGGCAGATGCGATAGAGAAATGTAAAATAGAATATGTACTCTACTATAAAATATAGAGTATTATAATGACTTATATCAAACACTTCATGACTCACGAGCGCCACAAGCAATCAAACGAATACACGACGAAAGCGCCTATAGAACGCGCCTAGAGCCGTTTCTCTGTCAGGCTAACACTGTCTTCTACCCTATTCAATTTCCGCGATAAATTATTTTATTCGACAATATCACAACTGTGGTCAAATATTGAAACCAACAGTAATCAAAAGAAAAGACCTGACGCTACTATTACCAAGCTGAATCAGTTGGCGTTTGGACGCAGCTTAGGGTTTGAAAAAGAAAGATTTCTTAATGTACGCCTGAGAAGTACAATCTCTGCCATGATCTACTTGTAAAGAAATAATAGACAAACACTAGCTGAATGCTATGTTGACCATACAGGTCCATGGATTTTCTGTGATGTTCTCCCCGATGAAAATATACCGAGTGGGTATTTCGCGAATCAAAGATGAATGCCTGCCTGCTACCCTTTCATGTCAATGATCGTGGTATTGTGATGTCATGCGTGGTTCTCAAAGTTTTCAACCAGCTGTGAACTTTTGGCTCATTACATTTACAAAGATATTAATGAATGTTTATTAAAATGAAGCCGAGCGATTATATTTTGAGAGCACCAATGTATTTTTGAAAAGAATTATAAAAATTCACCCAAAAAGGCATTATTCAACCTGAATCCAACAGGTCTTTTATTTGTTGTCTTTACACTTGACACTGGCAAACTATTATAAAAAAGGAGCTATTGGCTTATTTGAGTAATACTTTCGGCCCCGGACAAACCGAGTTCCCTTATTTGAACTGATTATTCTTTTACAACAAGCATATTAAGGAACCCTTTTGATTAACAGCTATTCACTTTCTTGTCACTGGAAGAAGAAGAATAGTCTGAGCTCCCTTGACGTAATAAAGAACGATTTATCATTTTTGTCAATGTTAAACTAGTCTTTTATTTTTATCTAGTCTGTTAGTGTCTTGATCGTCTGACCAAAGATATGCTTGGTGTATCAATTCAAAGAATAGGACTTATCATGTTACCCATAGAGGTATCTTCTCTAGAAAAAAACATGTAAAACAACAAAACAAAAAAACCATCAGGTATGTGCAAGACAGATTACATGAGAAAAATTACGTAAGAATTGCTACTGCATAAAGTCATATGAAAGCTATAATGAAAAAGATACCTTGCCTGATGCAAAGAGAATCAGGGTATATATTAAGGTAACTATATAGCCACACGGAGCCTATCAATAAACAGTTCTTATAGAATGACCGTTATCACTCTTGACTGTAGTACCATGTGATTCCAAAAGTAGTATATCAGACTACTATCCTTTTCTCTATCGTCTTCTTTTGTTTTACTATCTTATCCCGATTTATATTGAATGTACGACGTTTCGTAACATGGCAATGAATTAAGTAACTATGGATTAGTTTGGAAAAAAAATTTTTTTTTTAATAGAAAGTTTAACTTTTAATAGGTTCACTCTCCAATAAAAAAATTTTCATTTGTTAGGACAGTAGAGGCCCTTAATATTTAATGCAGTGTTTGATTTATCCCTTTTTCTTTCCGATTCCCTCTGTATCATGGACGCACATAAAACGACGAGTAGTAGTAGTAGTAGTAGTAATGATGATATTACTCCCCCTTTCCCTTCTACAACTCCAGAATACCATAATGAAAAGGCAGATCAAGCCAATTATGTGTTTGAAAAGATGAATGTAGTCGAACAAGCAGAATACGAAACTTCTTCCGCTGAAGAGACAAAACCAACCTTTTATTCAAGATTTAGAAAATATATTCAGTAGGTTCATATTTGTTCTTTAATTGATATGAACTAACAATGATGATGCAGCATTGCATGCTGGCTCATTTTAACTGGTTTCTTATGCGCTGCCTACGCATTACAGATTCCTAAAGGATACAATCAAGAATTATTGGTCCTCGGTCTTATTTATTTATATATCACATTATTCTTATTCTTTTGCTACGTCCCTACCACCATCATCACCAATCCATGGAACTTTGTCGTCGGCTCCATATCCGATGTTATATGTAAACGATTCAGTCACCGCGTTCGTACTATTGCTTGGGCAATTATCGTCACCGTTGTCATCGTCATCACTGTATTTTCCTTCCCAGAAAAAGAAGAATCACCAAGATTGAGAAGATTAATTGCTCTTGTTGGTTTCTTTGTGTTCATATTTGGAACTTACATTACTTCCGCGGTAAACTATCAAAAGAAAAAGGGCCGTAGGGAATACGCTTTTGATTTTTATATACCCTTATTTAGCATCGTAAGGCCGTTCAATGGAACACAATCACGACTGCAATCTTTATGCAATTTGTGTTGGCCTTGTTCGTGTTTAGATGTAGCGTAGGCCATGACATTTTCCAATGGTTGTCAACCTTTGCCGAGAGTTACCTGCACTACTCTTGGTTTGGTTCTGATTTTGTGTTTGGTGACACAGCCGCAAATTCAGGTGTCTTTGCTCTTACTGTCTTTCCTGCCATTATTTTCTTTGCCTCCACCGTGCAAATGCTCTACTATGTAGGCGCTGTTCAATGGATCATCAAGAAATTATCCGTCATCTTTGTTACTCTTTTAGACGTCTCAGGAGCCGAATCCATTGTTACTATTGCCGCTGTAAGTCATTGAAGTGAAACCTATCCGTGTTCACGATTGTCCGCTAACAAAAAAAAAAAATTTTTTTGGAACAGCCTTTCCTTGGTTCTTGTGAAAACGCTTTGCTCATTGAACCCCTGATCAAGGATTTGACCAAATCTGAAATTCACATGGTCCTTACCTGTGGTTTTGCCACCATCTCCGGCTCCGTCTTGTATGGTTATATGGCTATGGGTGTATCTGGCGAAGCTCTATTGACTTCCTGTATCATGTCTATTCCCTGTTCTATCGCGGTCTCAAAGCTCAGGTACCCCGAAACCGAAGAATCTATTGCCAAGCACATGAAAGTCATACCTACTTATTCCGCTGGTGGCGAAACCACCAACATCCTTCACGCAGCTGGTAAAGGTGCCAAGGTTGGTATTGAGATTGTCTTTTTGATCATGGCCAATTTGATTTCGCTTCTTGCCCTTCTTTATGCTTTTAACGGTTTCTTGACCTGGTTGGGTAATTTTCTCACGATCGAAAATCTGACCTTACAATTGATTACTGGTTATGTCTTTGTTCCTGTAAGATTTTATTCATTAGTGTGTGATACATGATATTCATTATTTCATTAGATTGCTTGGTTAATTGGTGCTGATGATAAAGATCTCGTTACTGTCGGTCGATTGATGGCCATCAAGATTTGGGCTAATGAATTTGTCGCTTACAAAGAAATGATCACCACCTACAAGGGTCTTCTCTCAGTTCGTTCTCAGCTTGTGGCAACCTATGCTCTCTGTGGTTTTGCCAATTTTGGATCTGTCGGTATGCAAGTGGGTGTGCTGAGCACATTGGCTCCAACTAGATCAGGCGATATCTCGAGACTGGCTATTTCTGCCTTGATTTGTGGATCAATAAGTACTTGGCTGTCTGCCTCTGTTGCAGGCATGCTTAATTAAAGTCACACATGTATTATATTTATAGTATTTACACAAAAAGTTAATAATATTCGCAACAAATGAAAATGAAAAAAATCAAAAAAAGTCCTTAATTCTTTTGATACTTTTTCATTGTGGGGATAACGCAGGATATTTTACAAACAAGGACGACCAAGTGCCTGACTTGAATTTACACTAATATCAAGGCTGCTCTCTCTCTCAAGCCGCTACTCGTGTCTTTTGGAACCGACATTCTAAATACTGTTGTCAACCAGTGCTATCTACCTGTCAGCCAACTAATGCACGGCCAACTACAGCAGTTTGGGTATACATTGTTGCCCTTTTCACAGCGCTCATGGACCTAAATACCCCCCGCCCGTAATGATTAGGCCATCAGATCGATCGGTTGTTCTAGCCGCATAACTTTGAGAAGTACTTGACTATTTATAGAGTGTTAGAATTGGGTTAATGAACGACTTTCGACGGTATGGCATTGATCAACATTTATGAATACCCACAACCCAGAGCATAGTCGCACTGGTTCCCTTTGGTTGAACCGCTTGAAGGTAGACCTTTACAATACCCTGTCCTTCTTCATAAGCTTCTTATAAGCTTGAGTTTCCGTGACGCTGACTCTTGACGGCTTTACTGACCGATCATTTGCTCTCCATCCTCTTGAAGTCAGACCAACTTCAACAGCACGGCTACTTTCCTCATGAAACCACTTACCTCAATGGTTCGTCAGCTGTTTATAACATTTCCTTTAACTTTTTTTTTTTTTACTCAAACCTAGAGGAGGTGCTTAGTCTCTTTTTGATCTCATCCCAGCGGGTTTTTATTATAACGCTTAATAGGAAGTTTAATAAAATATATCACTGGTTTATGTAAAATATGTTTGCAGAGAAATCGTTTTGAACAAACACAATGCACGAGAGATGAGGGAAATATCTTTATGCCTCTTACACTCTTCGTGGCCAAATTCTTCAACAAGATTGAACAGCGTATGAACACTTCTGCTGCAGTAATTGGATATTTACATTCACACACACAACGCAAAGATGAGATCAATAAAGTAGGAAGAGCTATCTTGTTTGAAGAAGCAAGGACTCCGTTGATGCACTGTATCAAAAAGTGTACGGCTGTCAGTAAAATGCGCACCATAAACGGTGTCCCATCCCCAAATGTGATCAATCCCTTTTTGCCTCTTCCTTCCGTCCAAGACTTCGAATTACAAATCGACCAGGATTATAATAAAGACTCTCAACATTGGGAGCATGCATATATCAAACCTGCAGTGCCGCGTTCTGCATAACCCACAATTTTTATTGAGCGAAGCTCATCAGACATAAAGCCCACATAATCCAGGAGTATATCGACACTAGTAATATTATGGAAAGAAAGCGCTCTCTGTTTGGCAAAGGGAATCAAACTTTGCGAGATCAAGTACCCTCATGATTTGTAGATAAGTACGCTCAATGTTAAGTAAATCAATGGGTAATGTTCGTTTAAGGGGGAGGGAGACAGATCTCCTAGTCTTTTTAATCACCGCATTCGTCTTTTTTATTATTTTTCTCTCTCTCACACATAAAAAAAGATAAGCATAGAATGAACGATCTTGACAGGTAGTGCGTTGTTTATCATCATTTATACAAAGCGATCTGATGAATTCGAAAAGACAACTCGAGCAGTTGAGAAGAGGAGAAATAATTTCAGAAAAGGAAGTAAAGGAATTATGTGAAAAGGCAACAGAGATTTTGATCGAAGAGAGCAATGTACAAAAAGTAGATTCGCCTGTTACTGTAAATATATATATATATATATATAAAAGCGGTTCGTTATATGCAAGTTCATTAACTCTCTCTCTTTAATTAGATTTGTGGCGACATTCATGGTAATATATATATATATATATATATATATATATCAAGTTATATGTATCAATATATAACGAATGACTCATCGTAGGCCAATTTCATGACTTGAAAGAGCTATTCCGTGTCGGTGGAGAATGTCCAGAGACAAATTACTTATTTATGGGTATATATCAATTTGCAATGATGATGAATCATGTTTTTCTTACAAAGAGTAATTAGGTGATTTTGTCGATCGTGGATACTATTCTGTTGAAACATTTTTGTTGCTACTTGCTTTGAAAGTTCGATACCCTGATAGGATTACATTGATTAGAGGAAACCATGAGAGTAGACAGATCACACAAGTATATGGATTTTATGATGAATGTATTCGTAAATATGGCTCAGCTACCGTTTGGCGATACTGTTGTGACATTTTTGATTTTTTGACACTGAGTGCTATTATTGATGATAAGGTGCTATGTGTGCATGGTGGGCTTTCTCCAAGCATAAATACATTGGATCAAGTAAAGAAGAAGACAAAAAAAAAGCGAGTGTCATTTCAACTTTTTTTATGATAGATACGAACAATTGATAGAAAACAAGAAGTACCTCATGACGGAGCAATGTGTGATTTGCTTTGGTCAGATCCAGAAGGTATGAATATAACTTCATTTGGATATAAGTAACCCTTGTTTGTAGAAATCGAAGGTTGGGGTTATAGCCCAAGAGGTGCAGGTTATTTATTTGGAGGAGACGTAGTAGAAGCAGTAAGAACGTGTATATTTATATTATGAATTACGTATACTTACATGTCATAGTTTTTACGTACAAATGGATTAAACTTTATTGCACGCGCGCACCAATTGGTCATGGAAGGATATAAGCCCATGTTTGACCATAAAATAGTCACTGTTTGGTCAGCACCCAACTACTGTTATCGATGTGGAAATGTGGCAGCGATACTCAAATTAGATGAGCACTTGAATACGGAATATAAAATGTTTGATGCTGCACCTCAGGTATATAGAAAATACGATACTTTGATTTCTATGTATTTATTATGTCGTATAGCAGGAGGCAGCGAGAAATACACCAAACAAGAGTGCCTTACCGGACTACTTTCTTTAATTATTTTCATATTATACATTCAATACTTGTGTATACAATCATATAAAAGGATGTCTGCAATGTAACATATACAACAATCTGTGTGTCTTCATTCTTCAAACAATTCAAGTAAAAGCTGACATTTCACTTTCATACACAATCTCCACTCTGGATCATATTTAGTCTGCACATAATAATTTTCAGCACGCTTTATCCAATCCATGACCAGCGCCTTTTTATCTTGTTGTTCAATTGGAGATACACTGTATGTAAAGGCAATTTCATACATAGCATAAGGAACAGTCCAATCATTTCTAAACTCATTGATAACACGGTTAAAGTAGCTATGGGCTTGCTGCGCATCCTTGAGCCGGTCTCTGTGGATGACGCCCATGAGCAAGAGCGCGAACGGTCGCTTGTACTCATCGTGACTTTGTAGGGTACATATCAATTGCTGTTTGATACTGTTCAATACGGGTTCAGACCAATAGAATACACCATTCCACAAATAGACAAGCTCCCACAAAGGGTTAATAATGAGTTCATCCAATACAGATCTCAAGAACATATCATATGTCTTGGAATATTTGTTCCATTGACTAATCTTTGCCTCCGCATAAAATTCTCCTGCAGAAAACCTACTGTGGCTATCATGCTTCTTTTTGATCTCAAACATGTGCACCAACTGTTGTACTTCACGGGCTGCCTTATCATATAAACCATCAGCGATCATACAGCAGGTTGCTACAAAGTGGTAAAAGAGATGCGACCAGTTTGACATACTTTCTAAGCAGAAAAACGATTCGGTTGCACGGTTATAGTCACCAGAGAAAATATGGATCCTGTTGAAAAACTTGTAAAAAAAACAATCAAGATACCACGGACCATAGTCAAATGTTTTCCTTACCATCCTACTTCAGAGAGAGCAAACAGACGAAATAGGCTATAGTCTGCTAGAGATAGAATTATCGGGCCCCCTTCGTCTTGATCTGTACGTTGCAGCGTTTTCTTTGATGAGTTTAGTAAATGTAGGCAGTCTTGTAGATTCGAAGGCTGTTTTGTGAGCTTTGCTTCAAGCAAGCTCCACATCTGGTTGTTGGGGTATATTGATTTTAACCTTTCCAATGACTCTCTTATATATTGAGCAGTCAGCAGCTGTCCTGTTTCTGGACGCAGGTACATGCATACATTGACATAGTAGTAGACTAACGCAAGCGAACTCAACGGTGCATACATTGTCTTGCTCTCGCATGATTCCTTTAGCAAGTGAATAGAAAGTGATTTAGATAAACGAAAGCCTAGGCTATTCAGCACTTTGGCAACTAGCAAAAATATTAAAACGCTTATTGATGGATTGTATTATGAATTACCCTTGGACGGTAAAAGTGAAAAGATCAAGCAAAAGATACCGATACCAAAATAGATTCCATTTTCAAGCACATTGACACTTGCATCACCGTTCATGCAATTATTATAGGCGGAGACAGGAACGCCCAGGATGATTTCAAATAGGTGTTCGTATAGCTTATAGGCCTTTCTGATCTCATAAGCTGCCTTGAGATTATCTATCCAACTATCCTTTAGAAACTGAAGTGATGAGGATAACAGGATGCAATGTGCCGTCAGTAGTTCGAAATGGATAGAGCTATGTGTGGGTGACAATAGTAGTTTGGTTGCGATTTCAATAGACCGAATGGCTTCATCAATTTGATCGGATTCCATGGAAAGAATCGCCTTGACGTACATCAAAAGGGCATATCCAAATGCATGAAAAGGTTGATGATCCTTGTTTGTCAAAAAGATACGTTCTGCTTCTTCAAGTTGATCATTAAAAATTGCATCCTATGGTTTGGATAAACAAATAGTGAGGGAAGATATTTTGTAAAATAAAAAAGGCTTACAAGTCCCCTCTTGAGCTCGATTAGTTCAATACTGTTCATATCTGACATAGTTTGTTGCTGTTCTTGTGGTTGAGAGAATATGGAAGTTGTATACTTGAGTGCTATCTTTGACACATGGCGGAACATTATGCAGAAAAAAGAACAAAGAAAAGAGAGAGAGAAAAAAGAAAAATAAAAAAAAAGATCCCGCGCGCGTCGTTGTCGCCTCTTCTCTCCCTTCCCCCCAGTTATCCAACGCAGCCACTCACAGAAAGAAAAGCTTAAATATGATCAAATTCCAAGTTTGGATTTAACAAAAGGAGATGAGAGGTATAAGCTAATAATAACATGTTTATCTTTTAATACAGGTAAAGAAAAAAAAAAAAAGGGCTGAACGTGGCAACACACACGCGCATTTGAAATGAATGCGTATTTTTACACATCTTGTATGAAAAAAAGTCTTGACTGTCTCAACCGAGTTTTCCAGCTTGTCTTTTTCTTTGCGGGTGTAGAAGCATAAGCAAATGCAGTCATTACAGAATCTGTCTCCTCCGTCTGTTGCTGATCAACACTCTTTAACGAGACAGCTGACTCGTGCTCTGGTGGATATGTTTTAGTCTAGGGAGGGAAAAAAAGAGGGGGGTTATTCTGTACGTCCATGAATTGAATTCACAAAAAAGTTAATTTACCTCCTCCGATATACCACTTTTTAATGTGTCTCCTGACATATTCCATTCTGCAGTATGCGATTTTATCTGCCTGATACTTGTTATTCTCTTGAGCACTCTCTCTGCTAGTGGCCTCTTTTTCTTTTTGGTAAAAATAGGGTTTGTTATATCATTCAATGTACAGTCAAATGAATCTTGGTGTTGAGACTGTATCGAAGACTTTCTTGAAGATGAGACATATGACATTCTGTTATTCGTCCTTGGCGAGTCAGGTCTATCCATGAGACTTGAACAGGCGCTTTCATCTGTTGACTTGATATCACAATCAGATGACTGGGCGACAACAGAGGTAGCGGATCTCAAGGGTGCAGGCTCGGATGCTCGTTTGGGAATGATGATCGATAAGCTCGATACAGACGATCTAAGCAGAGAAGATGATTTTTTCTTTTTGAGAGGATCAGCTGCTGTATTCACTGGAGGCAGAGGCTCGGATCCGTAATTGTCTCGAACATGCCAGGCTCTGGAAGACAAATACTCTTGAGTACAAACATCACGAAGTTTATGGTCCACATTGATACGTAAGGCGTTCTGGTGGTTGTTTTTAAACTGAAACGACATTTTACCAATCATATTGCTCGTATCTGATAATAGATCAAGTGAACTAGGTCGTCTTCTTGGCATACCATTACTGGCAAATGGATCCGGCTTGACATACGTCTCTGAGTTATTCCTCGGCTTGAGTTCTAACGGTTTCTTTTGGTTGATTACATAATCAGCGGAATATCGCTTGACGAGTGACACGTTCAGGTTCCGATTGTGTGGAAGAGCAGGTACCTCAAAAGGCGGGGTTTCCAAGTCTTCGAGACAGACGTTGGTTGATATGGACCGTCGAAGGATCTGTCGATCAAAGGACTTTTGTTTGTCACTTCCATTCATCAGCGCCATATCCAGTACATTTGTAAATGAGCGAGAGGCACGTATGCTTTGTTTCTTGGTCGTCAGTCCTGGGAGGGAAGGAACGATTTGTTCTTGTGCAAGCCAGTCGTTGTCAGTAGTACTGTCCATCTTGGCGGTGACAATAGCTTCTTGAATTTTCTTGACCCATAGCTGTTTCTCTTGTGAACAGGTTGCGCTAAATATAAATGTATGCTTCTTGCATCGTACAATAAAAGAGTTTTCTCTTTGACCTTTAGAAAAAGTGAGTATATATATATATAAAGAATACACTACAAACCCTCAATATCTTCGAGATTTTCAAATTCGGCCATCTTCAGGGGGAACCAATGTTTGGGTTCATAATTTGTCACTTTCTTGGGACGAACCATGATGATGTAGGTTGGAAAGACAAAGCAACCGAGGTATCTAGGTTTGGAGACGCTTTGACCAAGAGCAGAATAGGTTACCTCAATTGCACCAGCAATCAAAAGGTTTCCTAGCTGAGAGACATGGCGTCGGTTGATCCTCCAGTCACCGTCGAGACGTTCGATAAATTTATCTGTACGTTCCTTCATTTCACGCTGAAACTTCAAGTCATCAATCTCAGCCACGATATCCTGCATTTCGCTCAATACGGCTGTCCAGAGATCATACTCTGGTGTTTGGGGTGATGTATATCGTATGATCTCTTTTATCAGTAGTTGATATCTACATATTCTTTGTACAGGCTAAATTGTGATTTATATTAAAGTTAATTCGATTATAGACCAGCTTTTTTTTTTTTTAAAGTTACAGTACTTTAATTAAATAGTCTTCCAGATGTAACCGTTTTTGCATTATTTCTTCGTCCTGTGTATCCAAACACTCTTTCAAGAACTGATTCCATTCGGGTCGATTGCGATAGGAAGAAATGAGTTGACAGGCCTCATTTTGTAAGTCGCAATATTGTTTGTAGAGTGAAAAATGGGATATCTAATCTTGTGTGTTACGGTTTCTTTTGGATGCAGCTGCATTGCATTTATCTTTTTACCTGATCAAGAAAGGCCTTGGCAATCATTGACCAATGATGCGCCACAGGGTGAAATGTGGCGATGAATTGTTTATGAAATAACAAGATGTCACTAGCGTTTCTAATGATGATCGATTTATGATTATTATCTATCCATTGTTGCTTGCTTAGGGTTTGTAAGCAGACCTATTTTAGACAAGATTTAATTAAAATCAAATCGTGTAACACAGCCATCATTTCCTAAAGTGTCACAGCAAATAAAGACGCTTGAGGGCAATAAAAACATTTACTGCCCAATTGAGAGCTCTTATAAGAGGAATCTCTTGCGTATGCATGCGCGCAGAAATGATGTATAGAGGAGATAGAAAGGAGGAGGGATAAAGTGGTATATGAGGAGATTAAAAGGGGGTATATACTTACTTCTACCAAGTGGCTCAAGTCTTGAACATAATCCCGCTCAGTCTGCAGTAGTTCGTCGATTGCATGAAGCTTCTTTTTGGTCATTTTTTCTTCGTCAGGGCTCATTGTAGGTTGCTCTGAACTGGGTCCATCCGAGGGTTGTTCTCTACCTTCTGATATGGATGATAAACAACTACAACATGAGCAAAATGAATCTGTTGTTTCAATAAGGACTGGTGTCGCTATTATTGTTTGCCAAGGTGGTATTGATGGCTGCATTATGTTGTTATTGCTGATTTGAAAACAACAATGACAGCAGCAACAACAACAAGTTGATTCTTTATCATGTATGATATATTGTATTGCTGATTTCATAATGGCTGTGGATATTGTCTTTGTTCAATACTATATCCCCTGTTTTTGTCTTGAAAGTCAGATGATGAATATAATGAAAGATGGCAGTGATAAAAGGGTTGTTGTTTTTCTCCTGATGGAAGATGTATATTTAAGGTAATTAAGTAGTGGGTGATAAGTAGTGGCAAAATGATAGTATAATACAGTATTATAATACACACACACAGAGAGAGAGAGCAAAAAAGAGCTGATGAAAGTGACAAGTACCCACGTTGAATCACTCACACTTAGATACACACACAGACGTACGCAGAAAAAAATGAGGGGGAGAAGAAAAGAAGTGTGGAGAAAGAGCAAAGAAAAGAGAAAGGTTTAAAAAAATAACAATAAGTCAAGACAACCAATCCCTCGTTTTCTCCTCATTCCTTTCGCCCCCTTTTTTTTTCTTGAATTATTTTTATTACAACAAATTGACTAAAGTGTTGTGCATCATGAAAGAATACTTGTTAAAAATAGCCACTCAAATGGTTCAACAACAATGACATTCTAATTTTTGCTTCAATAAACAAAGGGGATCTGTTTTGATAATATGCTGTGTAGCCCGAGTAACATTGGACCCTTTTTGTACACTGCATAAAAGCATACATACTGTCTAAAAGACATTTTATATAAAAGTACTTTGCGCATATTCATGTATGTGTGATATAAAGCTGCATTTATTGTTCGATGATCCCTTTTTTAATTTTATCAAAAAGACTGTGATGTGAAACAGAATCGCTGATTCAAAATTTATAATGCACAGGATTTCACTTTTAGCTGATAAAATATATTCCCCCCTTCCTCCGTTTCATATTCTTTTTCAAGATGACGATAGAAGAACATAACGAGCCATTGATATCACATGAACACGCGTTGGCAGAACAAGTGGAGCATATGGAGCCATTAGCTATTGGCGATCAGCGATTAGAACGCAAGATTGGGTGGGTTCAAGGTGCGATGGTGAACATGAGCTATATTATAGGTGCTGGCATTTTCGTTGGCCCGGCTCTTACTCTACAGCTTGTCGGATCCGGAGGAATGAATCTTATCATTTGGACGATTGGAGCCTTCGTGGCGTTCTCAGGAACATTTACATTTATGGAACTGGGAACTATGGTAATATACGCAAACAGAGAAAAAATGATAATCTTACGTTCTTGTTTAAGATGCATCATAGGTAAAAAAAAAAAAAAAAAAAGACTCACAAACAAAAAGTGGTGGAGAACTTGGCTATCTGGAATATTGCTATAGGAAACCGAAATATCTTTTAGCTTATCTGTTTACAATGTGGAGTCTTATGAACAGATCGAGTGGAGTAGCATCTCAGGGTAGGCTATCATTGTATATATAAAAAACACACAACATTAAAGCAGGATTAGGCATTGTATTTGGTGGTTACATGAATTATGCTATTTTTGGATCAAAGTATAAATCCAATCAAGCAGAGCGATACTGGGCATGTAAAGATGGAGATACATATAAAAAAAAGGCACTCATGTGGGGATATTAGTATTATCCGCCACCCTGTTAGGTCTTGTCAATATCTTTTCTACAAGGGCATCAATGAACATGATGAGTCTGTTGACCATTGTGAAACTTTCGGTGCTCTCTTTAATCGCCATGATCGGTATCTTGATCATTATCAAGGTGATTCCTTCAGACGTTGACGCTTCACTCAATCTGTCCTTTTATGCAACTACTACGTCTATTGGGCCTTATGCTTCTGCTTTGTATTATGTACGATATAGTTCAGTTTTTTGTCTTGTTTTACTTATCTTTTTCTAGGTAATGAATAGCTATAGTGGCTGGCATAATCTCAACTTTATTTTGGACGAAGTAAAGGTACAAAAGCACAAAAGGAAAAGAGAGAGACAAATCATAAACTTTTGTCCCCCCCCCCCCTAGGATCCCATCAGGAGCTTACCAAAATCATCAGCGGCAGCTATTGTCACTACTGCGACACTCTATATATTGACCAACATGGCTTATTTGGCTGCCCTACCTCTTGATGTGATGAAGAGCTCAGAGTTCATTGTGGCAGCAGCATTGTAATACTATGATTGATCCTACTCTCATCCCTATTTACCCCCGTATAAAGTTTCACTAGGTCATTAGGCGAAAGCTTTGCTTCTACTATACTTCCGTTATGTATCGGTCTAAGCGCATTTGGATGTGGTGCCGCCATCAACTTTTCCGCGGGAAGAGTCATCATGGAAGTCTCACGACAGGGACTCTTACCTTATGGCCATATCTTTGGAAAAGTCAACACTCAGCTCAAGACCCCCGTGAATGCATACGTTCTACAGTATGTTCTTTCCATCCTTTTCATCTTTGGACCTCCTCCCGGTGCTGTATATCAATTCGTTGTAGCATTTGCAGCGTATCCTGTTTATGTTTGTATCAATAAGTATAGTATATGCAGTTGGTTTGTAACTTTATAAAAATAGATATTTTATTTTTTAATAGCACTGTCCATCATCATCTTAAGGAAACGTGAGCCTAATAACAATAGACCGATTGTTGCGCCATTAGGTAAAAAAAAAAAAAAAAAAAAAAATAGAACCAATCTATGCAATGTCTTATGTGTGTATCTTTAGTTTGCGTGTATGCCTTTTTGTTTTTCACTTTATATGCTCTCGTCTTTGTCTTTATTCCTGTGGATAACAAATATTATCCTTACTGGCGTACGTTGTAGCAAATATGAATTCAAAAGACAACTAATCTTGCTTCTTATTAGTTCCTTATATCACTGCCATCCTCTCCATGGTTGCCTGTACTGGCTTTTGGGTAATATGACACCTCAACGTTGTTCAATCACTGACCAACCCTATGCGTAGTATTATCAAATAGTTATTAGAAACACACCAGCAAAATCATACAATGAATCTATCAGAAATCAAGGACAGGCTGCTATTGAGCAGGAGATCTTTGGGGGATATGCTTCTGTTCCTGTTGAAGAAGAAGAGGCGCCATAAAAAGGACAAATGTTTAAAGGTCTTTATATATAAAAAAAAATAAACGTTCTTTTTTTTTAAAAAAAAGTTATACTTTATTCATCACACCAGCAACTGGACAAGAAGAAGCCGTCTGTCCAGTCACAGGACAGACAAGAGCTTGGCTCTCTTGCTCTGCAGGTGCCTGGTAAACAACACCATCGGACAATGGTGGCAATGTCAAATCCGTAAAATAAAACTCAACGTCTTCTTTATCTGACCAGTTCTTACCGGACCTCAGCCATTCCTTATAATCCTCAGTCTGCCTCCATTTTGCATTCAGCTTTTGTTCAAGTTCCAAAACATCGATTGACTCCATCGTATCCATCTGCTTTACTGCCCTAAAGATCACCTTGAGTAAGGTAGGAGGGAGCGTGTTCCAGTGATCCAAGATGGTATCTGCCCATTTATTGTGAATGGACTCTAGTTGACTCTTTAGACTTTCAAAGCTCTCTGCAGACTTTTTTTGTTGTTAGAGAGGGGGGAAACTAGAGGAAAAAAAAAGGGTCAACTTACTTCAAATACTTGTTCGATTTGATCTTGCCAAACAGTGATTCTGTTCGGTCCTGCATATGTGTGTCGAGTACCCAAGGCGAGTCGAACGGCTTGATCAGGTACTCTGCATATAGCCATCGTTCTTGCTGTATCAAATGCATCACTTAGTTTCAATTCGGGAACAAAGAAATCTGCCAAGCCAAGGTACAGTAGCTCTGGCCCGCGCAGTTTAACAGGCGGAGCCAAGGCAAGGTAGAGGATCACAGAGGCTTTGCTACAGGATTTCAGAATGTAAAGAGGAGGTATAGGACTATGTGAGAGATCAAGTCCGAGGTTCAACAGTGCATGTTCCGTAATGAGTCGTATATGCTTTGGAAGGAGAAATAGATGAGCAGCGTTCAGAGGAATTTGGCCATTGAGAAAGCAAACGGTTGGCTTGCTGGATGTCAAGAGCGTGCGAACGAGGTCATTGTACGCACTTGAGATCTTAAAAAGTGAGGCCTGACGCAGATCAGAGCCAGATACCAATCTCGATGTTTCTTCGTACGGCAAACCGCAGCAAATCATCTTGGTATCGTTCGTTTCAATCATTTCTTTGGATGGGATGGGACTATCATACACGGTTGCTGTCAAGAACATGCAAGTGATGTGATCATCATTAGCCTTTTCAATCGCTCGTTGCAATTCATCAAGTCGGTCTATCGAAAGAATGTTTTTGCTTGTAGGCGATGATAGTGTTATTTTTATCGCGCCTGTGAACTTGGGTTCTTCTGCGACGACAAATGAAGCACCATTGGTTTGATCTTGTGTTTGGACTTGATGAAGGGGTATCAATGACATGTTAAAGTGGTAGGGTTTGGTTCTTTTTTTTTTTATTACCTGTTCCTTTGTTCTGCCAAAGGTTAGCAAATGGACAAGCAGGCTTTTTTGAATCTTGTTTCTTTGTGATATAGCTGAAATAATCTGAGATGTCGAATTGTTCTATTTTACTAGTAAAGATAAATTTAGAAACAATAAGAGAAAAATAAGCAACACTTACGCATGATAGTAAAATGCCTTTGCCTTTCTCAATTCAAATTCGAGCTTGTCCTTATCCCATAATCCTTTCTTTTGCTGCTCTACGTATCCCTTGATGATCTCTGGTAACCCTTTCACAAACGTTTCGTCATTCTCATAATTATAATCCTCTACACGTTCATACAATTCATGTTTCTTTTCTTTCTCATACTGCAGATATGCGTCTAGGTCAAATGACTGTTGAAACTTGGAAAAATAAAAGTGCTTTGCTTTTAGTAACCTTGTATTATCAGCTGGCATGCTGGCCATAATGCTTTGATAACCAGCTTGAAAAACAGGGTCAGAGTCCCAGCTATAGTTATCAAAGGCCTCAAACACACTTTGCATCTCGGTGCTCATCTGATCAAAAAAGAGAGTGGGAATCTCTCCATGTTCCCAAGAAAGGGCTATATCTGTGCCATTTCAAGTTCCGGCCGGTATTTTTTTATTTAGACTATATCCGTAATCAATTTACTACAGACATCTAGAAAGGGGTACACACTCTGCATATGTTCAGCCAAGGCATCTTCTTCATCCAACTGCCAAAATGGGCCCTGTGGCACCTTTTTGATTTCTTTTCCGTCTGCGTCTAAACGCTTTGTGCCTGCGTTTTTAAAGTCTACTAGATAACTATTGTTTTCAAGCTTGTAGAGTTGTAAATCAAACTTGACAACAAGGCCGAGCTCTGCATACTTGTATCGGCATCGTAGATGATATGGATCCACTGTTCTCCACTCCTATCTCATTGTGAGTTGCTATGTGATGATGTGTAAGTTTACGTACCATGCCAACATTCTGTAAGGATCGATATATCTCCAACATGACCTCCCATGCAGGACATCTGCTTCGAATACCAAAGTGCCATTTCGATCTTGATTTATGTGGTTTCTTCGTGGCCGTATTGATTGATAAATGCCTCGGTTGAGTCGAGCGACTGGGTGGAGCCATCGCACCTGGTGGTGGAGTGCCTGTGGCGTAAATGATAGGTAAATCCGCTCTGAGAGACGCGATGGATGAAGACCTTTCTCTTCCTATAGGCTCTGCCTTGGGTAAACTGGAACTTAGTACCGAAATGGACGATTCGTCTTCATGGTTTATGTCATCTGTATTCAAAGACGTGTTCCACGGTGGAGGTGATGTTGCAAGGAAGCTTGGAATATTGTTATGTTCGGCTAAAAAGGTATGAATACAATATAAGATACATATGACACAACTTACTGTCTTTAAACAATGTTTTATTGTCGAGTACGAGTTGATAGGCTACCTTGAACTGATTGTTGCTTGGTTCCTTTAGAGCTTTCAAAATCGTTTCAGCAGAGTACCCCATTTTCTGTTGTATGTTGGTTTATATACATCATGTCATTTTTTTTAGGGGACTTACTTTTGATAACTCGGATACTAGAGCGTCATCTATAGGCATATTTTCATTTTCTTCGGTATTTGGTAGTGGTCGAAGATAATCTGGTAAGTTTTTATTGAACCATGCATTTTGTCTGTTTTTTTTTTTTATGAGTAAAGGTTGGGTAAAATCATGAGATTACCTTATTTCTTGTATTGTTATACGCTTTAAAGGATCCACCACCAACATGGATGTCAATAATTGCTTAGTGTCTGGACTAAGATATGATGGCATTTTATAGATTCCACCTAACAACAGAGATGAGATTTAGTTATAGACTATAATAGTTGGTTTTTACCATTAATCTTTTTGAATAAAGTAGGTATATATTCATCATCAAATGGCAGTCTACCACAAAGCATAACATATAAAATCACACCACAACTCCAAACATCAACTTCTGGTCCAGCATATAATCTATATTTTCATTAGCTTTAAAAAAAGTCAAAGAGAGATGAATCATTTACTTTCCAGATATGACTTCAGGCTATATATATACACATAAATATTAATCATAATATCAATTTGAGTGTGATTATCTTACAGCTGCATAATTTGGACTACCGCAACTTGTTTTTAAGAAATCGCCATCTGTCATAATATTCGACAATCCAAAATCAGCTATTTTGACATTGTTGTTTGCATCTAATAAGAGACTATACACACTATTAATATCTGCTTGTATTCAATTGATTTTTCTTTTTACTTTTCTGGTTTCAAGTCTCTATGAACAATCTTGTGTCTGTGACAATATTCGACTGCACAAATGATTTGTTGAAAGAAACGACGAGCATCATCTTCAGACATCTAAAAGACATTGTAAGATGATATTTAGCATAAGCTTTACTTACTCTTCCTTTCTCGACAATATAATTAAATAGTTCTTTAGATGCGTACTCGATAACCATGATGATATCGGTTGGGGTTGTTATCACTTCATATCTATTGGAAGATATATATTAGACAGAGTATATCTATAGATTATATATTACAGTTTGATGATATGTGGGTGACGAAGTAATTTCAAGTATTGAATCTCGCGCTTGACTCTTCCGCTCATATCCATACTGGCTATTTTCTTTCTGTTTATGATTTTCAAGGCTACTTTTTGTCCCGTGATAGCGTGTACGGCAACTACGGAGAGGTAAGTATATTATTGTTTATTATTTATTTTTATATATTTACGTTTTACTTTCCCAAAGGAACCAGTACCAATCGTACTGATGATATTGTATTGACCGATTCGAATTCTATTATTATTATTATTGCTGCTGCTGTTGTTGTTGTTGCTCATTAGTTTATAAAAGAAAGAAGAAAAGAGAAAAGGGAAAATAGACGTCACCCCACACTGATATTTTTTTTTTAAGAATAGCTAAATTTCCTTTTTTATTTCTCCTCTCTCTCTCTCTCTCTTTTTTTTTTTTTTTTTTCTCCTACTTAAAATGCATGAATTCTCTTGCTGTAATAATAATAATCAATTGGACCATATTCAAGGCCATGAAGCATTTAAAACTATTGAACCTCATGCATTCTTTAGTTCAGGTAGACTTATCATGCCTTCTTTTTTGACTTGTTTCTCATATTTTTATTAGAAATGGGTCAACTCTTATTAGAAGATCATGTAAATAAACAATACAAGACAAAAAAAATAATAATATTAATTCTTTTAAAGAGATTTGATATCTTTCGAGAAAACATACAATTGAAATGGGAAAAAGAACAATCTGATAAAGTAATGAAGAATAGAAAATAAATAACAGTATATTAATTCATATTAGATGATTGAATCACTTCAAAATGAATTAAAATCGATGAGAGCCTACTGCCATGAATTAAAGACGATGGTCGAGAGGAGTGAAGAGACAAACAAGTTATTGACTACCAAGATAAATAAAGAACAAGAACTGAAAACACAGGCAAGTAGACAAGGATACAAAAGGACTGACACTCATTCATTCAATAGATTAGTGACTTGAAGCAAGAATTGACACTATTGGAAAAGACAAATGATACGCTAAATATGAAGTATAAGCGGTTAAATGAAAAGCATGGTAATTAAGGAGTATATTATACACATGATAATTCATGCCTTTATGACATATAGAAACACTCAAAATAACACATGACGTCCTCTTGAAGGAACACGAGCAGCGATTATTATTATTTAGAAAAGACACGCGTGTCATCGAAAGGGTAGCACGATTACCTAAATTTGAAGTGGCACCTGTGAAGCACCCTTTGGATGTCCTACATTCTGTCACACAACAAACATTAGACAAGATAAAATCAACGGATGTGAGACTGTTGAATAAGAGACTTAAAAGGATATTTGACATGACAGAGCTTAGTGATATGAGTAACAAGATGATAATGACTTTACTTGATGACTTGGATCGCTTTCATGAACAATTTGATTGGGTACACACTTGCCCTGATATCAACACGCATTTCTTCCCCTTGGTTGAACTTGTATGTGACATGATGAAAGAGATGTGTACAATCAAGATGACTTTGAATGACTTACAAGCTGATTACGTCAAAAGGATCAAAAAGGCTTCTTGCCCAACCATGAATAATAATAGGCATACTATCATCATCATACCTGAAGAAAAATCAACTTGGCTAGAAAATTTTATTAATACATTTTGGTCCCTTACTTCATAAATATAGGAGGGGGGTATAATAAACTATTTATTCGTCTAATCCTTTCGCAAGAAACTTCCAAATGAAGCTTGTATTATATGACGCACTACGCTCAGTCACATCAAATACACATGAACGTAACTTATCCTGAGTTTCTTTTTTTCAATGGTTAATATTTTATACATGTACATGTCATCATCATTTACCTAGTATCAACTTCTTTACTTGTCCATCTTCCATCACTGGTTTAATCCCTAGCCCTTCAAATAAGGCAAGTGTAAGCCTATGCATTGGGTATGATCAGCGGACGATCATCATTTCTCCCTTTTTTATTTACTCTGTACTAGGAATATTGGTAGGTGAAAATTCCTTTTCACGCAACACTTGAACTTGCTTCATCAATGATTCTCTTTCTCTCTGTAATTCAGCAATCTGCACATCGAGTTGTCGAATATTCTCTTCCATAGATTCATGTCCTAGTTTCGATTGCTTATTTCTTTCCAACATGGTCTTGTATTCTTCAATCACACTGGCTTCTTTTGCCCTCAATCGCTCTAATTCACTTTGACTCGATTGAAACTGTTCTACATGTCGTTGTTCATATTCTTGCATCTCATGATCAATATTTCTCCGAGATTCTTCTATTTCCTTTAATATCTTTAACGCCTTGAATTCTTCCAACAATTGTTCGACTTGAGGAAGATCCTGAAAGCGCTTATCCTCATCCTCTGCCATGCTGATAAAAAAAAAAAAAATAAATTAATTGTTCTAGACGTGTTTATGCGCGTTTAATCCCGTCACACGAGTAACAGAAGGATAGGAAAGAGATGTATTAAAAGACGCTCCCTCAGTGTTGGTTGTTATGGACTTTTTTTATTCCATATGCCTTTTAAACAACTTGTTCACGCCAGTCTTGTTTTATAAAAATTGTATTTAAAGAGAACAAAAGATATACAAAATACACAGTATAAAAGTTTCATACGACAGTTTAGGACTTTATTGCCAACATTTATTAATACAAGGCCCTCAAGGGAAAGGATCTAAAAGAAAAAGGTAAAGAGAGAGAGAGAGAGGGAGGGAGGGAGGGAAAAGAAAGAAAAGGGAGAGAGAAAGAGAGAGGGAGAGGCATAAGCCACAGATCCACGAGAGACATTAAATTCAAGCAAAATGTCACTTTTTTTTTCCATTTTATATTTTCGCAAGATATCTCCAATGTCAGAGCAAGTTCAAGTACGCTTTGTCACTGAAAGCCAATACAAAGTCAGCGATGCTGCTATGCTGCTTCCTTCTGATATAAAGAAGGAAGGGCTTTCAGAGATTGTCAACGGTTTACTTGACAATGGTAACAGAAAAAGAAAGAAAAAAAAAAAACGAGATCTAACAAGAATTAGAAACACCTGTTCCCTTCGACTTTTTAATCGATGGCCAATTATTAAGAACAAGTATTGCAGAATACCTCAATATGAACAGGCTTTCAACTGTAAGTTTGAATGTTTGAAAAGCATCACCTTTAACTCTGTAAATAGGAAAACTTGATCACCATTGAATATGTCGAGTCTATGCTTCCACCTGTTCCCTTGACTGCCTATCAACATGATGATTGGATTAGTTCTGTCACCGGAAACCGTGGACTCTTTGTCACTGGTTCATATGATAACATGGTTCGATTATGGAATACGACAGGCGAATGTATTTCCACTTTGGTTGGACATACAGATTCAGTCAAAAGTGTTGCGCTTGGACGTGTCGATGGTAGGATCATGCTCTTTTTTTTGTAATCAAACTAACAAGAATCATAGATAATAAGGCCATTGTCTTTTCTGGATCATTGGATCATAGCGTGTTGGCTTGGGAGTATTCTTTTGATGATGAATCTTATCGTTTGATGTATGAGTGCAAGGGACACAAGGGTCCAGTTGAATCAGTTGCTACAGATTCGAACGGTAACTATGTAAGTTTTGAATTTGTGCACATGCAGGAATAATATATAATGTATATATTAGATTGCCAGTGCTGCAGCAGATGGTATTGTCAGAGTTTGGACGTCATCAGAACCTACTGAAGATGAGTCCTTGGAAGAAGAACCAAAGAAAAAGAAAAAGAAGACCGTAAATAGCAGAAAGATAAAGACAAAATCACTTGAATTAGAGGGACATGTTGGCGCTGTCAATGCTGTTACTTTCAATACGGTCAATTCCAATATTGTATATACCGGTGGCTGGGATCATTCTATCAGAAGCTGGGACGTTGAACAGCAAGTCAACTTGGTCACAAAGGTACAAGAAAAAAAAAGAAACCTTTGGATATAAGAGACTGATTGCCATTTGTAGAACTGTGAAAAGGTAGTGTTAGGCGTAGATTACTCTTCACGCGCACAACTGCTGGCTACAGGCCACGCTGACAACACAATTCGATTATGGGATCTTAAATCAGACGATGGCACAAACGTAAAATTAGCACTACGTGGACACTCTGCCTGGGTATCCTCTGTCAGTTGGTCAAAGACGTCCGAACATATGTTATGTTCAGGATCATACGACTCTACAGTACGTGTCTGGGATATTCGTAGCAGCAAAGAGCCTTTATACACCATGGATAGTGCAGAGAATAAAGAAAAAGTCCTGAGTGTGTACTGGGACAATGAAAAGATACTCAGCGGTGGTGAAGAAAAGAAGCTGAGAATATATCAGGCAAAGGTTTAGAAATATACATATATATTTATATAGAATAAAAAGAAAAGTGTATTATATGTCTCTACGTGCAAGGACAGAATTGCTTTATACATCGTTGCCATGCGGGGATATCCTGGGTTACATCATTGCAGAATTGAAATACACCATCTAAAGAAAAAAAAAAAGCGAGTCTCTTATATATATTATATATATTTTTTACCTTGTAAAGTTGAGCAACTCTTGCTATCGTTCAACGTACCATTGCTTCGATTAAAGCATAGACATAAAGTAGTATCTCGGTCATCTTGTGTAGAATCTGTCATGATACATTTGCACCCGATCTCACTAAAATTGACACCGACTTTTGACAGACTTGTCTGTAGCTGTAGTTTACTTGGTCTTGCCAAGACAGACAAGATACAAAAGAAGAAGAATAAGATACAGTTTGCGGATTTCTCAAAAATCAAATCGCAGTTTTTTGTGAAATTAAATTGCGATAAAGCGAAAAGGATTGATATGATTATAAAGGTTCTTTATTTCTACACTTTTCGAATTGATTACATGAGTGTTGTATAAAAGCTTTCACATGTTGAATAGGAACATTGTTGCATGCATCTGCAATTCTTGCCTTGAGATCTTCATCATCAGAAAACATGCCCCTCTTGACTTTGTTCTTTACAACAGACCAAAATTGCTCAATTGGGTTTAGCTCGGGTGAATATGGGGGAAGATGTATGCTTCTATAGCCTCTTAAAGTGATCAGTTTGTCAATAGCAATATATGTATGAATAAGTGCATTGTCCATAGTAATATAAAAGCCGTTCATAAGAGGGGTTTTATCCATTTTATTTAGGGTTTTTCGAATAAAATTTAAATAGTGGCCTTTTGTTTTTTAACATTTGGTGTGTGCTTTCTTTTTCTTCCAACGCCGCCAATTCTACGTTGTTTGGGCTTTTATACCACTCTAAGCTCAATGTCTAGTACTCCTACTACCCCCATTGCGCTGATAGCACCCAATATTGTATGGGTTTCCACAATTGCCGGTGTAATAACTGTGGACCAGGCTGAAGGTGGACGCATATTTATGTCAAATCCAATTTCATCCACAAAAACACAGTTAGAAAGATAGTCCATATTAGCTGATATCCAGCGCTCTACCCATTCAAAGCACTGTCGAAGTTTATCTTCAGAATTTTGTTCACTAGAACGTAATATTGCTCTTTTGAATGAAAATTGCATTCAGTTTTCATGAAGTTACGAACACTGGTTGCTTTCAAACTGAAATTCTCAAATGACTTTGTCAAACTTTCAACAATATCTACAACACGTGCTTGGGGAGCTTTGATCGTATAGATTAATAATATACTCTTTATACTCTTGTTGCAACATTCCAGTCTTTTGTTTGTCCTTATTCGTTTGCTTCTCAAAAATATCCCATTCAGGCTCATCCTCAATCTTTTAGCCCATTGCTGACCAGTACGCTCAGCTATACGCGACAATCTAGCTGCTTTAGCAGCCTTATACCACTTCACCTGCAAATAGTACAGAAAAAGTGCCTTCTGGTCAGGGGAATATATTTTATAACTTTTCCCGCTTTTTTTGTTGCCTTCTTCTTTTGTTCTTAAAGCCACTTCGTTCATTGTCTCATCCATTCTTGTTCGGATGGCTGAGCCTGTTGGTATTTTCGCAATGTTGTTAAAGTTTCTAAATGAAAAGGATCAACTTCTTCAACCCATTCCATAGCATCTTTGCCTTGTTCGTCATAAATCTTTCCCTGCTCGTTTTCGTAAAAAAAAGTATGTACACATGTTAGCTTTAGGATGGTGATAAAAGAAAAGGTAAAAAAAAAATTTACTGGCTCCTGAATTCATGTTGTATAAAAGGAATGAAGAAAAAAAGAAAGAAAGAGAAGAGCACTTATAATCAAATAGAGTTTATGTCAACTAATTAAATGACATAAAGAATGGTCCAAAAGAGGAGAATTAATTTCTGTTTTCTCCTTTTCTGTGTATAATCGTTACACACAATAGATCCACCATCACCCGAGTTACTCTCGGCAATCAATCTTGTTTCAGACATGAAGAAATATATTTACTTGGACACTTTTAATTTTGCAGCAGATTGAGTTTTGATGACCTATTATGTCTCTTTAATGAGATGCTATCGTCTTTTTCGGCTTCCATAGTCCTTGTTCTAATAACTCTTCATCCTTTTCTCTTTGCTTATCCAGTTCAACTGCTGCCAGCGCAATTGACCTTTGATCAGGACTTAGTTCATGAATCTTGTCTGTATTCTTGATACAATGGGTTGCAAATTCCCAATCATCGCCTTGTGCAAAATGAGTAAAGTTGAGGTACTCTAGCGTTTCCTTATACTTGTTTCTATAGAGCCCACCATTAAACCAGAGAGGGGTACCTGTCGTATCGAGATGTAGCTGAACACCACAGACCTGCGTCGGTTCTCCGTCCTGTCCGCCGCGTCCCATGTTCCCGATGACTGCTCCGAACGACTTGATAAAGGCGTAGGGTGTCTGCATGATCTCGTGACCGATCCAAAACGTTTCCTTATCCCCATGCACGTGCTTATAGACCACCTCATCTCGCTCGCTCTTACCGTTCAGCTTGCACGTGGATAATAAGCCAAGCAGCGCTTTTCGCTTGTTCATCACGACCACGCCGGACTCCTGTTCATGGGAGGATGTGTACTTGAACCATCGCGTGTGAGGGACGAGCGAGCTCATGGTCGGCAGAAATGAGCGTAACCAGTCTGGGCCGACGTGCCAGTTGGGAAATAACGTACGATCATAAAAGAAGAGGGCACCCGTGAGGGCATAGGCCTGGTCTTGAAAGAGGAGCGCTGGATCTTGAAGAAAGTAGGCGTCAGCGTCAACAAGAATAACCTCGGTGAAATGACTAGCGAGCATCGCAAAGGGCTTCATGGCCCATCCTCCAAACTTGGTATAGTAGTCCGAAATATAATCATCTAGCTTTCGAAGCGTTACATTGTCCATTTCGCTCTTGAGATAATATCTCTTGGCTACCGACAGATCGTCCTCGCGTATGAAGAAGACCTCGATCGGTAACTTTGTGTTCAACATTCGTATCACCCGGATACTTGTGGCTGCAAACTTGAATTGTCCATTTCCAACACACATGACAATGCCTTGTCCGTTCGTCTGGTTGTTGATATGGAACAGGTTTTCCCAGTGAGGATGTATCCATGGGTAGAGCGCGTCCTCGAGCCGTTTGTAGTATGGCCATGATTCGTCCAACGAGGCATTCTGGGAAAGTCGCTGATCGAAATACATAAAGAGTGATTTGAAAAGTCGCTCAGCAGCCGTCATCATGGCAAAATTGGGTGCCACGTTGGGTTCTGATATGAGTGTGAGCTGAGAAAATAAAGTTTCACCTGCGGCTGTCTTGAAAAATTCTAAATCTTTTTCTGTAAAAAAAAAAGGTTTATAACTATTTTTTTTTTTGCTGTTGTCTTCTTTTGCTACCTGTCCATGGCTTGGGTGTGTCAGTGATGGCAAAGTCATACTTTAGAGACAGGTGCTCGACTTGATCAAATGAAAGTGCTATACAAATTGAACATCTCTCCTTTTTGTATACACTTTATATCTTACTGGGTTCCTGAACGTGAATGGTCGTCCTTTTTATACCTGTTGAATGAAGGCGCTTTTCTGTATAAATTTCTCTTGGATTATTTTCATTTAATATATATGTTGTGATAGCAGCTATAAATATAAAGCATGTAATTATTAACCATCGAAATACTTTTTGATTCATTAAAGAAAAAAAGGGAGAAAAAAGGGAATCAAGTGATACAGAATTTTAGACGATTGCAAAAATTTTTAGTTTAATATAAATACAATATTACGCATAGTAAAACTACCGAATTCTTTGCTTTTTATTAGAATGACTGGGACTGCAAAGGATACCTTCAAGATCGGCAAAAGACTTATGCTTTCGTGAAACTTGATTTTATGAAGCTTAGCCAATACTTCGCAGGATGATGCTATTGTTTATACAGTTGACTTCTTCACTGGTGGTATAATAGGAATACCCTGAGTCTTGTGAGCTGTAGGGAATTTCTATTTAATGAGCGTTTATGTAATAATTAAGCAAGACAAGTCTTTTTGACGAAATCATAAACATCAGCAACTTTGCGAAGTCAGAACTACACGAGAACAAAATAGAAAACTGGTAGTGGCCCTTGATGTACTGAAGGTATTTTCCAGATGGTAGCAGCTTACTTTTGTATACGGTGATTTCATTGGCTTTCCATTGACACGAGATGCTCTCAAGTTCACAAAGACCAGTTTGTCACCAAATATGTGTTTCCACACGTCAAGAGCATAGGCCTGCATTAATGTTCCCTTTTCAATATCAAGGTTGACTCCTTCAATACTTTTTTTTTCGGTGAACACTACACGCACCAGAAAATACACCAGAAGTTAGACTAATACTACAGGCGCTACCTCTACCTACTATATATAATGTCACCCAAAACTTTTCAACTATCTTGGCTTGTTTCTTTTCAAGAAGAAGAAAAAAGAGATAAAATAAATGTTGTTATTTTTTATTCTTGTTTTACGCTGTTAGCTCTATCAGCAAAGAACCAAGATCAATCACGTGTAATTGCATTAAAGAATATTCCACTGGACAGCCTTAGGTTAAGTAATGTGAGGTTGTAAAATGATGTCACATGTAGTGCCTAGAAGAAGTGCCTGCAGTATTAGCCTATTTTCTAGTGCACGTAGTGTTGGCCAAACATTAAGAATAGACAACTTTATATTTGGTTCCCATATAAATGCGACCTTTTATATTTTGTACACAAGCTGAGAATGAAAAATACAGTTGCAGATTTGCTTTACCAAGTATAGATTGGTGCCTTTTTATTTTTTAATTGACCTAATTTACACTTTATTTTATTTTTCATGAATAGGTTTAGCACAAAGATTAGGCATGCCAGCCTTATTAGCCATAGCAGTAAGGTTAGCAAAAGGTACACAAAGAGAATCTGGTAACGAACGTTTAAATTCGTCCGTCTGCATCCACTCAAGACCGTGTTGAAGGATACAACTAGCGCGATAATGACCACCCTCAATCGTGCCCATGGAGGCATGAAGAGTAGCACGCTTTTGAGATGAAACGTACGAGGCACGATGTAAGATGTTGTTATCATAAAATACGGTCTGTCCAGCCTTCAGTTCAACTTTTAATTGACCGGGCATCTTTGAACTCTTGGGATCATTGATCGTCACATCCCGTTCTTCGGCTGTTCGAACACGACGATGCGAGTTGGGAACGACATAGAGGCAGGCATCATCATAAAGTGCACTAGTAAAGAAGAGATTAGAAAGAGCGCTAGATTCAAAAGTATAACTTACGTGTTCCATTGTGTACCATAATGTGGTATCGTCAGTTTTTCTCTTTCGTCTTCTTCTTTTGTCTCTGCAGGAATGGCATCTCGATGCCAGGTCAAATCAAAGTCAGATTCCTGAGGGTTTATCAGCAGATTGAATAACTCTAAATTTTTTTTTTACACACACGCATCAGATTACATAATCCAAAAATCATTCAACTCCTTACCAAGTTGTAATTCTTCATGTTTTGCGTTCAATAATTGTTGAACTGCTTCCAATAGCTTGCAAGATCCATACCATTGAGCAAAGATAGGTTCATTTAAATCAGGGTGTAATAAATGCTGAACACCCCAGACATCCGTTCCTTCAGTCCAAGGAGGAAATTGAGTACCGACAAGACGTCTTTATGTAACGAGTTATTACATTGCCTGATTTTTTTTTTTTTTTTACTTTTTTACCTGTATTTCCATTCACCCTTTCTTGCCTTGTCAACCACACGATCACAAGCCTCGCGTAATTTTGTAAACATATCTTGTGGGATCAAGTTATCGACGATCACATAACCATTTTCCTTGAGAGCTTCATGAATAGGTCTGTTATGAATATCAGTAATCATTTGAGAAAAAAAATAAAGAAAAAAAAAAAGGAAAAGGGTCCAGTGACGCATTTTATTCATCAAAAAGGGTCGTTCTCTCCGCTCATTTTCACACGCTATCAGGGTTCCCTCCAGGGTTTGTTCTTTTTTCCCAAGCAAAGATGTTTGCCCTTCTTGTTAGTGATCCCCTCCTCTGTTTTCACAAAAAACCTTTTATTTACAAAGACAGTAGTGTGTAATGGCATGATGATGCTCAGTAAAATCTTATTGTGTCACTTTTTTTTTGTTTGCTATTGTTTTTAAATTGTCAAGTACACTATTATCTACTGAGAATTACTCAGAAAGTTTGACCTGTGAATATGATTGGCTAAATCACGTTGGGCTTTGATCTAAACAGTCTTGTAGCTCTGCCTTACGTAAACAGAGTGATTATGATTATGATTTTGCATTTGGAGGGCAAGGGAGGCATAGACCTTGCCAAAAAGGAAAGAAATAATCCATGACAGCTACTTGTGTTGAATGTTGCCTAGTAGCAACTAGTCTTTTGCTCACCTTTTGCAATAAAGTAATAGAAAACAGAATGTGTGCTCTACTGTAAGATGACATTGAGGTTATTATAATGTATTACTTCATTAAGCGCGTCAATAGGTATATATTCCAAAAGTCATGAATGAAGATGATGAAAAGCGTCCTGATTTTGTCAAATTGTGCAACTTGAAGAAAGATGAAATTGACATGTTGCTTTGACAAGACTGCCCTGAAGAAACACCAGCCTATGTATAGCCGTTGGTGGTAAGTTGATTAGATAATATCGCATACTTAAAGACTAAACAATACATTTCATTAGGGTACAAGGCCACTGTATATTTAGTGGGTTTGGTGTATGCACACATGTGTGCATAGATTGGGGGAATTTGTAATCCCTTCAATCGCTTGGTCTGGGTCAACTGGGCTATACTTTTGATATGCTGATCAATGTACAAGTAGGAACTGCTGAGCAAGCCAAACCATCGATGCTTGAACTCTTTGAAAGCAAAGACTACTCTGGGACGTCACCTAGAAGAATGTAATTATATGAGGCCTTTCAGAAGCCCACAAAAATAATAAAAATAAAAATAAAACATTATCCCGCAGAGAAAAACCATGCACTCCGGATAGCGAATCATAATTAATCGGCAGGGAATATTCGTACCGTACGTCTGCAAGAGAATGACGTTATCAAATTTCAAGAAAAATAAATGTCAAAGAGCTTGAATCTTTTATTTATGATATGTAATCAATGATAACATCTTTGTTTTGCATTTGATTCAGTCTCTCGATTGCATGCTTTACTGAACAAAAATTTGGATTTACACAGACATAAAATAATTGACGTATTGAACTTTTATTATTACAAAAGCAATTGATACTTTTTAAGCACGTGCGTTTTGTCAATTGATAAACTGAGAAAATCAATATCAGCACAGTTAATCACAAACTTGCGTCCGTATTCCTTGTTGGCAGTAAACTCTTTCATCTGGTTTGGTGCAGCAAAGTTTGTCAAAAATCGCGTGGGACTCGACTTTTGTGAAGTGATTTCCAGAACTACTTCTTTTACCTCACTTTCACATCCATCAGGAATGAATAGATCACTATCAAGATGTATTTGCAAGTGACTGAATTTAGCCTTGGACATATCTATTTCAAATACGGGCGGTATTTCATCAAAATAAAAGCTTTCAATAATCAAGTTGCGTAATTCTGGAAAGGCATATGAGTAAACAGATAGCGCTTCTGGTTGTATTTCTGTGACAATCAACCTTAACGCAATCAACGAGGAGCTCAGGATCTGATTTGATACCGGAGACTCGATTGGTGAAAAAGCCTCACCGATTTTCTCGCAAGTTAATTTTTCTAATCCTTTGCATTCTGAAAGAATGGCTCGCAAGAGATGATCTGTTTCATGATTACCAAACGTTTTCATGTAAACTTCTTTGATGGCATGTGGATATTTTTTGTATAGTTCTGTTAGTTTATCAGTGTTCTCTCTTGTATTATTCATAATCCAAGTAATGTTGTCTTGCTGCATACAGAATGATGAATAATCACTAGAATAAATTCGTACAACAGCATTTGTAGTACATTGTAGATACTCCTCAATCAGAGGAAATGATCCAAAAGTGGAGAACCAGTCGCACCTTCTGCTGCTTAGGTATTTCTGGAATGTCCGCAGCTTTTCTTCATAATGCCTTGTCATCCAAGGTCCAATACGGTTAAGAAGATCTCCATTAAAAGATAGGTGCACGTTACAACATTCTGGATTGGGAAACTTGTGCATGATATAGTCAAGCGTACCTTGATGAAGGCAGATTTTTACCACAAGTCTTTAAGCTTGAAGTGAGGCTGTATAGAAAGTATATCATAGCGTTTGAAGTAGTCTGAGTTTCTGTCAAATACCATAAGATAAGGGTCTATTGTAAAACACATCAAATTGGAACATTGATTAATAACCTCATCAAAATCCATGAGGGTAGGGTTATAATAGCTGGGTTCAACTGTCAGATGCGTCAAGCTTATGAAGAATGGTAGCTGAGGAAGGACTCTTGTAAATTGTGGGTTAGTTGGATGTACTGGTGGCAGAACGAGATGAGTGAGAGTGCGACGACAGACAGTCGCGACTGTGTAATAGTTCGCAAAGGTATTCTCATCATTGTACATAGACCAGTGTGGTTCAGGAAGTTGCTTCAGCTGTTTCCAATAGCTTCGTACAGCTCCTCCAAGAGCTTTCCAATGGTTGATACGAAGGTTGTCTTTAAAAATCTCTATGTTTGGACACGTCTCAGCAAGTTTATAGATAAGTGACATTATCCTTTCATTGTCAATTCTCCTATTACGCCAAAAGTTTATCTCATGAACAAGACTTCTAAGGCTACTGTTCTGCATACATTCTATGAGTTTTTCCCCTTGCAAACATCCATCAAAAGTGAGTTTACGATAAAGGATAAAACTCGCATGTTTTCGCCAGTTCTTACAGACAAGCTGGCATTCCACTAAGTCATGCAATACAAAGTTGGATTTAAGTTGCTCAAATATTTCGTACAGGATTTCGTTAGGCAGCTCCTTCCAACACAACATTCTAAGATTAGACAATTACGCATTCCGTGTTAGTTATTAACTTTTATAAAGCAGAGGTTTTGTTTACTTTTAAGAATAGGCCCAAGGCCAAAAGTAAGGGAAGAAATACATGATAAACATTAGTGTGAAAAAGGCCAAATTTGTATTCTAAAAGTTACACTGTCATCTTCTTTAGAGAATACATGATTGCTTATAAACATTCGTAGAGTATTTTTTTTATTATATTAAAATGTTAAACTGTATATAAATATATGAAAGGTATACAAGTTTTCCCTTTTTTTTGTGTATTTGCTAGATATTAATGAAAATATATTTTAGATTGTGAATGTTGTAAATGTTGTATATATGTGTGTGTGCTGTGTCTAAGAATGAAAAAGAGATTGCGTATATAATTATAACAAAACATGGTGTCGACAGAGAAAGATAGAATGCATCAAAAAATTACAATTGAGGATCAAACATAAAATCTCTCCTATTATCATTCATCAGAGCATTACCCAGTTGCTTAAAGCTCATCACTCCATTCTCCTTGTTGGGTTTGATGAACAATGGATTCTTGCTATATGACAATCGAATGCCGCCCTTGACTGAATTTGTTAATGCGTATCCTTGCAGTTCATTCAAAGCTTGAGAGGCATACATGATGTCTTCGAATTCGACAAAGCACATGGGGCCTTGGGACTTCGTGCGGAAGCACATTCGACGGTATCCTTTCCTGTTTGAAAAGAGTTTTCTCAATTCATCTTCACTTGTATTTGGAGGCAAGTTTCCAACGTAGAGTGTATTGCAAGGGGGGTTCTGATCAGCTGGATTAGGTGTTCTTTGGATGGATAAGGATCCCATACGAGATGGTAAGTCATTATTATTATTGCTATTGTTATTGTTGATAAGTGGAGTTGATTTAGAAAGGTAGTGCAAAGTGTCTATTTCTGTGTCATTCATGAATTTAAGTCTAATGTGCTGTTGTTGATGCTGTTGAATATGCTGATGCTGTTGATGAAGTGAAGATAGCCCATAGCGCGAGATGTATCCTAGGTCCTGGTCAAATGATTGTGAGCGAATGTCAAAGAGGGAATCATTATATGTAGGTGAAGGTGAAGAAATTGGATCGCTGAACAAATCATGTTTGAGATCTTGAAGCAAATCACTGGGCAAAGGTGGAGCAAAATTGTTATCAAAGATAGTGCGTCTTGGCTGCGTAGTTGGTTTCACATCCCCATTGGTAGATGACAGTACATTAGCACTGTTTGCAGTTGTTGAGGTAGAGGATGAGGTAGACGTAGGAGTTGTAGTCACCGGTAATTGTTGATTCGTAGCTGAACCTCGTTTAATATGCAAATTCTTTTTTGCCATCTCAGCCTTAAGGACAGAACCTTTTTCCTGATCTACTTTTCTACCACTCAATACTTCAATCGACTCAAGAGCTTCCAAGCGGGTTCGAAACCTAGCAAAACCAATCTATGCACATATACAAAAAATTTTAAATGATTGGAATGATAATAATAATAATAAATTTTTTATATATACCATTTGCTTCTTTCCACCATTGGATGGTACACCCGTATCATCATCTTGATCCTTACAATGCCATTTTAATGAAGCAGCTTCAAAGCCAGGACAGAAAGTAAACATGTTCTGAAATTCTCGTTCGGCCATATCTTCGGGGAACCCTACTACAAATATCGTAGTTACATCGTCTGAAGAGGTTGTTTGTTGAATAGAAGAAAGTGTATTTGAGTATTGTGGAGATGAAGACAGGGGATGAACTCGTTGAATGTCGTTAAAATTGAAGGAATGTGAAAACGGTGTTGGCTCGCTGATCATCATTGACAGAACAGAAAAAAAAGGGGAGGATAAATTTTTAGGGGCGTTGCCTCTTTTTTGGACAAACGGTGTCGGACATTCAAACGTTAAAAGCCGCAATTTCTTAAAATGATTGGTTTGTAAAAAGAGATTGACCCTCTCCATTTTTGGAATTTTTATTTATATAAAATGATATCCTCTGCATATTTCTATTGCTTCAAATACTGTTATTTTACATAAAGCCAATATCACAGCGCAAAATGCTTTTCTTGTTGGCTTCTTCATCAAGAGAAGAATAGTCTAATTTTAGGTTTTGAAATTCTTTTTTTTTTTAGAACGTGAGAGAAGCTGTTTCAATAGCCAATCATATGACACCGGTTATTAAAATAGTCATGGCTCAAACGGCATGAACACAAAGAGGTTCACACTTGGGGTAGTCTTTGTCCTTCTCCTCAGAATGTCCAAAGATGAGAAAACGAATAAAGGTCATTTTCATTTATTAGATCTAAAGCAGAGTAAATGTTGTTAACACTTTAGTCTGATCAGATCTATTCTCTCCTGCAGAGCACAATCTATTTGAATCTTTTTTAAACAAGTTCGAACGTCAACTCGAACCTCCATCGACAAAAAAAGCAACCAAAAAGAGAGCAACACCTTATGAAAAAGGAGCAAAGACAGGAAGAGCAAGAAAAGCGCCTCATGAACTACTGAGCGAAGAACAAAAAAAGGCAAATCACATTGCCTCTGAGCAGAAACGAAGAGCCAACATCAGAATTGGGTTTGAGCAACTTGTTCATGTTGTGCCTGCTCTTGATACAACTCACCGAAGTGAAGCTATTATACTTCAAAAATGTAGGTTCATGGCTATAACTTGCTCTTGTTACTTATACTGTTGTTTTATAGCTGTTGAATATATAAAGCGCTTAATAGATGATAAAAACAAACTAAAAGATAAAGTACGGCAATTACAGTTGACACTTGGTGAAACGTAAGTTCCCACGCACGATTATACAGCGTATACTAAATTTATAAATAGGCCAGATCCAGATGTAAGTATACACCTTTATACAAGAGTCCAAAACAGCTTATTTTATTATGATAGAGTTCAGAAGGTGAATTGGATTATCCATTTTAATTTAAATAATGAATAAAAGATTGACATCAATTGGATGCGATGAGGACAGCTGAGGACGTTGAGAATACTTGGATCGTAAGATTTCACGAATGGAGTTGAGTAACTGAAGATAGGTCTGTTGACGGTTTTGACGTAAGGCAGCTACAAAAAAAGAATGAGAGAACAGTTGAGACATGGTTTATCTATCTTTACTTGTAAATGCAAAACTCATTGCGCCTGTGCTCTTGCCATTTTCCATAGCATCTGCAGATGTTTGATTATCTTTACATCCCGAAAAGGTGATAACGTCTGCTTCTGAGCTCTTGAACTTCTTCACTCGCTCATCCACACTCTTTCGACTCATCAAGCTCTTGCCCAGACTGAGCACACTCGATAGTGCGCCAGACTTGTTACCCATGGCATAAGCCAGTCCTGCGTTGAGTATACCTGCGCCTGCATCCTTAAACATGTTTTCTTCCTTGATCACGCCCTGAGTGGAGTAGACATAGGGCAAATCAAGAGCCGTACCTGAATGACAGCTATCGAAAATAGCAGTAAGACGGCATCCTCTAGGAAGAGGTTTAACTAAGATCTCATGCATTTCCTATATCGTACCGTTAGGGCTACGTTACATATATATGTTTCTACTTACATCATCGACAATCTGTCCAGATTCACCTTGATATCGGTCATGATCGACAGGATAAATTGTCTCGTCATAACCGTCGTCTTCGTCACCATTCGCGTCCTTGACTCGACCACCATGGCCGCTAAAGTGGAAGAAGAATCTAATGTTGTGTGTTATGACTTGTATTAGAACATAGGATCTCAAACTTACGAATCATTTGCTCTAGCATCATGTACAAGCCATTGCATCGCCTTCAAGATGTTTTCCTTGGTTGGAATAAATCGTGGATCGGTTTGGTCATCAGTCAAGACAACCATATCCTCCTATGATATAACGAGTTGGCATTTTTTTTTTGCTTCATTTTTCAAAGCAGGTCAAACTTACAGATCTAAAGTTGTAGTTGGAGGTTAAAAATTCTTTAAGGTTCTTGACATCATTAATGCATCCGTTCAACTGGTTAGGCGAACCAAAATAATTGATACCGATTAACAAGGCTCTCTTTCTTCCTTGACCTATGGTTCATTGATCAGATCAAGCCATCATACATAACTACGCTTACAGTTTGAAAGTTGAAAGTTGGGAGGTGCTTGGTTTTCCATAACCGGATTGACATGCATCACGAAATTATCTGCACCGCCTTGAGGTTGACCATACGGTACTTTAAAAGCAGTTTAACATTATCTTTCTTAAATACGTGCATGTGCCTACCTGGAGCCGGATTATGCGTTGAATGAGGAGGCTGAGGATAATTGGCTTGAGTTAGAGTAGGATCTGTGGGTCTGAAGATAGGATCGGGGCCTATTTTATATTAGTTTGCTTATACTCTATCTCTTTATCGTTCAAACCTGTATAAGCGGGTGGATTGATATGTGCAGAAGACTGAGGCGTAGAATACTAACGAAAAAAAAAAAAAAAATGAGTTTGATGTTTTTTGGAAAGCATGTCAACTTACTGGGCCTGAACCTGGTGGAGGATAATTGCCATAGGAAGATGAGCCATGTTGAGGAGGTGGAGGGTAATTACCGTACTGTGGCTGTGGAGGCGGGTACTGAGATTGCTGTGTAGGCGAGTAAGGAGATTGCTGTACAGGTGGAGGATAATTGCCATAGGATGATGGAGGAGGAGGATAACCTCCATATTGCTGAGGCGGTGGTGGATATTGAGGTGGAGGGTACTGCTGATTTTGCTGGTTAGGCTGACCGTAGGGGTGAGTGCCATAGGAGCCAGGATAAGCCATGGTGTGAAGAAAGTTTCAATGCAAAAGAAAAAGACATTGTGTAATGTGTGTGACACCTTTATTGTTGAAAATTTCATTGGCCATGATAAATTTGGCAGCATTCCCTTTTTAAAGAAATACGTTGTTCTGTTTGAAAAGCAATTGATCGTAAAATAAAAAGGGAACGCTCATTGATTCAATTATAGAAAGTATGGATTATTTTCTATAAATATTGTGTATGTCGCATTCGCTTGCTCCCTCTGCTTTCAACTTTTAGTGTTATCGGAGAAGAAATCACTCTAGACTAGTTAAACGGTTTGTCATTATACTGACTTTACTACAAAAACAATGGACACTTTTTAAGTACGTGCGTTTTGTCAATTGATAAACTGAGAAAATCAATATCAGCACAGTTAATCACAAACTTGCGTCCGTATTCCTTGTTGGCAGTAAACTCTTTCATCTGGTTTGGTGCAGCAAAGTTTGTCAAAAATCGCGTGGGACTCGACTTTTGTGAAGTGATTTCCAGAACTACTTCTTTTACCTCACTTTCACATCCATCAGGAATGAATAGATCACTATCAAGATGTATTTGCAAGTGACTGAATTTAGCCTTGGACATATCTATTTCAAATACGGGCGGTATTTCATCAAAATAAAAGCTTTCAATAATCAAGTTGCGTAATTCTGGAAAGGCATATGAGTAAACAGATAGCGCTTCTGGTTGTATTTCTGTGACAATCAACCTTAACGCAATCAACGAGGAGCTCAGGATCTGATTTGATACCGGAGACTCGATTGGTGAAAAAGCCTCACCGATTTTCTCGCAAGTTAATTTTTCTAATCCTTTGCATTCTGAAAGAATGGCTCGCAAGAGATGATCTGTTTCATGATTACCAAACGTTTTCATGTAAACTTCTTTGATGGCATGTGGATATTTTTTGTATAGTTCTGTTAGTTTATCAGTGTTCTCTCTTGTATTATTCATAATCCAAGTAATGTTGTCTTGCTGCATACAGAATGATGAATAATACGAGAGAACACTGATAAACTAACAGAACTATTCAAAAAATACCAACATGTCATTAAAGGAGCTTACATGAAAATGGATGATAATCACAAAGCAGGTCATCTCTTGCGAGCCATTCTTTCAGAATGCAAAGGATTAGAAAACTTAACTTACGAGAACCCTACAATAAGCGTCCCAGCAATCGATTTTCCGGTATCATATCAGATCTTGAACCCTTGGTTGATTACGTTAGAGTTAATTGTCATAGAATTACAACCAGAAATACTACCTGTTTACTCGTATGCCTTCCCAGAACTACGCAAATTGATTATTAAAATCAGCTATCCAGGTCTAGAGGCAGACTCGTTTGTGATATATATGCCTTATACTATATTCAGCCATTTACACGTACGTATTGACAGTTGTTTCTTTTATATGTGTCGAAATAAGTTAGAAGTGCTTGGTAAGCCACGTCTCTTGGAAATCGTTTCGCGAAAGTAGGGTCTACAGCGATTTTTGATTGACTGTACTGCGTCAAATCAGATTGAAGAATTTACTACCAACAAGGAATACAATTACAAGTTTGTGATTAACTGTGTTTCTATTGATTTCCTCAGTGTATCAATTCACAATACGTATATTCTTAAAAGGTGCCCATTGTTTTTGTAATAAAAGCCCAATTGCGACATTTATTTTGTCTGTGTAAACTCAAGATTTAGTTCAGCAAAGCACGCAATCAAAAGATTGAATCAAGTGCAAAATAAAAATATTATCATTGACTACATTGCATAAATAAGAGATTCAAGCTCTTTGACGTTTATTTTTTTTGTTGAGGTTTGATAAAGTTTTATTTTTACTTTCGTGAGCTTTTGAAAGACTTCACATACAATTGTCTTCTTCTGAATGAGCGTTTCAGGAGTAGCCTTTGCTTTCAAGAAGTTCTAGCATCGGTGACTTGACTTGCCCAACAGTTCCTGCGAGCTGAAATGAGTATTCTGAGGATTAGCTTATTTAGCCAATGCAGCTTACTTGTAAACTGATCAGAGTATCAAACATGTGGTCAAGTTGACACAGATCAAGCAATGTGTAAGGGATTAAAAATTCCCCCAACTCATACAGCCTGCACACATGTGCGTATACGTCAAGTCCATTGAATATACAGTAGCCTTGTGACCTAGCGAAACGTATTGTTTAGTCTTTTTGTATACGGTATTAGCTAAGCAACTTACTCACCAACAAGAATACCATAGACTGATATCTCTTCTGGACAGTCTTGTAAAAGCAATCTGTTAGCTCCGTCTTTGAGCAGATTACATAGTTTGACAACGTCTGAATACTTTTGGCACTCCTCGCTCATGGCCTTTGGGCTTTTTATTTCAAGGCGTAGCTGCTGCTACTCGAAACCGTTGCAAGACACTTTGTGCTCGCCATCAGACTTTCGGCGTCAGCCTTCTTTTCGCAGCTTGCTGTCTTGTGACTCCTCGTCATTTCAAGCAATCACCATCTTATTAGACAAAAAGTATAGTTACCCAACATGGAAATATACTTGCTCTCTTTTAAAAATGGCAAAAGCAAAAGAACACATTTCGATTTGAACGTGTCTTCCAAGCACTGAAAGCTCCTCTTTGACCTGTATTCTCGTAATCTATTATAAAAATAGCTGTTAACACCCTTCTTTCTTTAAATGTTAACCCATGCTTAGCCATACACGTTTCCAACGACTTCTACTATTGCCTCAAAATGGCCATCATTTTCAAACATAAGGCTGCATGTCATTTTTCTTGCCGCTTTGACGTCCTTACATGTCGTCTATCATTACATCAAAATGAATAATTATCATCATGGTAAATGCTTTATGCTGACTTTATATATCTTTTGTAAATGTATTGTTTAAAATGCATCGATTTCTTCTGCATTACATACAGGTTTGTATTTTTCTTCAAGTTCTTTTACATTTTTTCATAAGCACTTTCGTCAATGTTGTACTTTTGGCTCTTTTTAGAAATGAAAAAAATGCCGTTCAAAGCTCTATAAATAGATGAATAGTTCTATCAAACTTTTATAAAATAATATTTACATTTCATCAATAGATGAGCTCAAAGAGCTCGGCTTTGCCGCTTATTTGCAGTTATCTCGGAACTGGAGAAGTTTCTTGCTCACATTATAGTCATCAACATACCACTTTAAAAACAAGAATACAATCAATAATTGTGCATTTAATTGTATTTATATAACTGTTACGTTAATCGCTGCAAAGACTGGCTCATCCTCTACGTTCTTTCGTCTTAGATAAGATCGCAACTAAGATATATTTTAGGTTCATACAACTTTTTAAGTTAGGAAAACATTAGGTACACTGTGTACATAGTACTTCCTAATAAATCGTTTACCTTCTTTGTACTCTTTTCATCTGTCTTTTAGAACACTATAAGTAACTATTACGCCATAAATAATGTATTGTACCTTCTCAACTTCCTTTTGCTTTCTTTTTTCTTCGTTTTGTTGGTAATTGTAAAAAATAAATCTGATTTGGTCGAAAGCATGATACTGGTTCGTTATTTTTGTAACTTGTGCAGGACTACCCTTTGAAACATTGCTGGAAACTTTGGTGTGTTTCTACAGGAGAAAGCATTAGCAGAAACACGATTTCAATACAGTAGCATACCTTCAAATTGCTAACATAAGGCCTCAAGTTTTGAGGAAGCATATTTGAATCCACACATGAGTACCACAAGACGGAGCAAATCTTTTTATGGAAAGAGAAAAGAAAGAGATTCACGGCAAAAAGGGGGGGGATTAACCCTTTATATGCAAGAATAAATGCTGTAAACCAATTATATCCAGTAAATTATCTTAGATACGACGCGTTATCAAATACTACAGACTAGATGCCATGAATCAGTGCTGTGGGTTTAAATCGAGATATTATATTAATACTTCAGACGACTTTTGGCTTGTATACGAAATATATTGATTATATTACGTCAAAGAGTAGGTAATCTTGTTTGATATAAACATAGAAATGCGGCATACATCTGCGTTCATCCATTGAATACTTGTGAAAATGATTTTGGTTCTTTAATAAAATGCTTTGACAGGACTGATTTAAGAGCTGTTTGATCTACAAACGCCTGTTCATACATTTCACTGTTGGAGGGTGGTGTACTTGAAAGGATCTTTTTGAGGACGTGCAAAACACTCCCCTTCGTTACGGGCAAAAGCTCATAAATATCGAATTCATTTTTGTCATTACTTCCATCTGCGATATGCTCTGTATCCTGAGTTGAACAACCAAGTGCTTTGGAGGGATTTGAACCATTGATTTAGGTAAACACTTGATGCACACAAAAATAAATCAATGCCTCTATCCATTACCTACGATGAAATCCAACAAAGCTTTTCAATGTATAGCGCCAAGCTGAACATGAGTTTATGAAGTTACCGTCTTAGATTAGTTCTTTTCAAAAATAAAGAGATAAAAAAGAAGCGTCATTTTTTATTCTAATTTTATGTTGTCAGTCTATCAACAAAGAACCAAGATCAATCACGTGTAATTATGATGCATTCAGATTTTGTATCAGAGAGAGTGAACTGGACAGCCTTAGGTCAGGCAGAGAATTTGGTAGTGTGGAATTGTAAAATAATGTCACATGTAACGCCCCAAGGAAGCGCTCGTAGCATTAGCTTATCTTTGAGTGCATTTTTGAGTGTACCAAGTGTTTGCCTTGATTTAACCTAGATCAAAGCTCAATCTGATCCAGCCAATCATATTCACAGGCAAAACTATCCGAGTCATCCTATTTGTACCTTCCTAATATGTCAATGTTCATAATCATTGATATCTGCGCAAAGATCAACTAAACAAAGCATTATTAAGACTTTACAAATCAAAGAAACACATGAAATATAAAACTGCTTATCTCTTGAAATTTTTACTTACATTCATACTTTTTCTCTATTCTTCATAATCATGTCTCAAATCAAAAACATTGTCATCATCGGTGGCGGTTTCGCTGGTGTTCGCGTAGCTCGAGGTCTCGAAAAAGAACTGGCTGATGCCAGGGATAACCAATACCGGATTATTTTAATCGAAAAGGTAATAAACGCCTTTGAAAGAGAAGCTTTGATCTAATCACGAAAAAAAAAAAAAAAAAGAAAACCCATTTTTATCACAGCATTGGTGGACTTCGTGCAGCTGTTATTGACTGGAGCGACCGTGTGATGATCCCATATACAAATCTATTTAAAGACAACAAGCATCGTATCATTCATGCCAACGCTGCAAAACTTGAAAGAGACCATGTCATCCTTGACCGTGAAGTGGACACATTTGGTTCGTCCGTACCCTTTGACTACTTGGTGATTGCTACAGGAACAGCTTATCATGCTCCTGCCAAATCATACACAGATGACATGGAAGGAACTCGAGACGGCCTCGCTCAATTCCGTCAGCAAGTGAAATCAGCCAAGTCTATACTGATTGCCGGTGGTGGCCCAGTTGGTATTGAGTTTGCAGGAGAGGTGCGTGATGTGTATAAGGATAAGAAGATTATCCTGTTACATCCTCAAGACAGATTGCTGAGTGGATCAACACCCAATCTGAAGCTGTCTCAAAAGGCACACGATCTTTTACTCAAAAATAACGTCCAAGTTGTCTTGAATGATCGCATCATCACCGAAAGCAACAACACGGTCTATAAGCCCAAGAATGGTGTGGTCGAGACAAAACTGGGTCAAAAATTCACGGGTATCGACATGGTCTTTTTGGCTTTTGGTAATCGACCCAACACATACTGGCTGAAAAGCTCGGATCTTGGAGCAAGCATCGTGTCCGATACGGGTTATGTCAAGGTCAAACCTACATATCAGGTAGATCATCCTGATCTGAAGCATGTATTTGTTCTGGGAGATGCTGCTGACTTTGATGAAAGTAAGCATGCCTATCGTACCAAGAATCAGTCTGTTGCAGTTATCAAGAATATTGTTCAGATGGCCATCCATAACGCCTCTCCCAAGGTGGAACACAAAAAGGACTTTGATGCCATGTTTGTCACGTTTGGTAAGAAGCAAGGCGTTGGTTCATTACCTTTCTTTGGAGGATGGGTCGTTGGAAGCTTTGTAGTTGGACTGCTCAAGGGTGGTAGTCTCTTTATCGAAAAAAGTTGGGAATCTTTGAACCTTGTGCCTCCCAATTGAGAAATGAGGGAAAAAAAAAAAAAAGAAAAAAAGAAAAAGAAATAATACCCCTTTTTCATTCATACTCAATAAAATCTTTACTGTTTATAATCTTCTCTTATTGTATCATGCATTCACATGCTGCGTTACTCAAAGCTCCAGATCATGCTTGGTCATATGGTTTTTAGTAATCACTTAAAGCTCATTCTTTTTTTTAGTTTTTTCTTTCTTAAACTTGAACATGAAGGCCATATTTCATACAGTAAATCGACATGTCGATCCATCTTTGGAGGTATTTATATAAAAACAAAAAAGACCTGCACGCGAACACGGCTTCTTTAAATGATTGAATGTATAACAAATAAAAGCATATTGATAGAGATTCTTTAGATGGAATGATGTTGGCAGACATCATTGAATACTGTCAAGAAAGAGGTTATTTTTTACTACTTTTATCATCCGTAATAATAACGATTTTATATATATGTAGGATTAAAGACAGAAGGAGCCAAGTCAGAGCTGATTGAAGGCTTGATCAGTTGGAAAGAAAGTCTTCGGTTGGTCCCTGCGCCATCAACACCTAGGCTCTATACAGCACATGAACTCTTTCCAGACTCGTCCAGAACATTATTATCTCCAGAGAAAAGACTAGAACTGAACTCTCGAGAACTCTCATTATTATTCCTCGACGACAAGAATCCTCAGTTTGATATAGCCTATAGTGCATTAACCATTGGCAGAAAATTAGGAAGTGGAGGGTTCAAGGACTGTTATGCAGGCTATTATAAAGGAGTAAAGAAAGAAGAGGGCATTGCTTAATAGAAAAAACTCATTCTTGCTAGGAACCAGTAGCTATAGGAGAATTAAGGCTCACTCAGTTCAATCAAGTAGATTTGAATGAGATTAAACATGAGATTGACGTATTAAAGTAAAGCCTTTCATAAACTGGTTATATAATGTATTCACCTTTGTATAGACAATTACGACATGAAAACGTGATCCGATTTATTGGTGTCTGTACTCACCCGCAGCACTTGTGTATCATCACAGAACTTTGTGAAAAGGGGGACTTGTTTGATGTCATCAGATCTTTTAAGAAACCAAGCTTCTCTCAATTGGTATTGTTTTTGAAATCGAAGGGTAACGTGTATTGATTCCTTATGTTTAGGTGATGTATATGTATGATATTGCCTTGGGTGTTTCTTATCTCCATACGAGAAGGTGAGTAGTTTGTTATTAAAGAAGAAAGAAAAACTTACGCTTTATATTTTCGTAGGCCATCCATTATTCATAGAGTAAGACAGAAAGAAGACATTGTTGTTTCTAATATTGACATTTCTTCATAGGATTTGAAATCAATGAATATTTTGGTATTAATTATATACATATATATATATATATATATATAAAGGACTAATCTAGGTAAAGGTCTCTGCAGATGATCGTGCAAAGATCAATGACTTTGGTTTAGCTAGAATTAGACCCAAGGCGAATATATTGATGCATACACATTGTGGAACGCCCAACTGGTAAGTTTTTCTATGAATGAGTCATACCCATCATTATTCATTTGTTTTATATAGGCAAGGTAAAGAGATAAAAAAATAACGTGGTATGTATCTGATGACTATTGATAGCACCGGAATATTGGTCTTCAAATCCAAGTTATACAGAAAAGGTCAAACTTTATCACGTTTGTCTATTTGATTTCTAACTTTTTCTTATAACAGGTCGATGTCTATGCTTGTGGTCTCATCTTTTGGGAAATTTTAACATGGGGAGAGTATGGCTACCCGTACCAAGGTAACAATAAATGAAGTCAACTGAAATAGAATTAACTTTATATATAAAAAGACATGTCAGAGCATGCTCTGTATGTAGCTGTCAAAGAACAACGTATTCGACCTCCTTTAGGAAAGTTAAGCCAATTATATCCACATCAATTACTCTTGTTGATCATGGAGATGTGGGAAGGAGAACCACGACTGGTAAGGCTCAAAGAAAAAGATGTTTTTTTTTTAAATGGTTTATATTAAGCAATATTTATAAGCGTCCATCAATGAATCAAGTAGTAGATGTATTATCGACCTATCTAACATAAACTATACACATTTAATTAAATGACGAGGCTACATAGTCATTTAGTGACACATTGGCATATGTGCGAGTCCATAGTCTTGCTTCTTCAATAAATTCATCATGATCAGACATGTAATGTTTAGCTACTTGTGCATCTTGAGGATCTTGTGGAACAGGTGAATCTAATAAGGATTGGATTGAAATGAGTGTAATTCTTAATGTCATTGCAGGAGACCAGTGGCTCTTGAGTACGTCCTAAGGATACCATTTAGTCACTTTATGTATGCTTGTGCTTTTTTTTTTTTTTCATTACTAAGCAAATGGCTCCCTATCAATGAAAGCATGAGTTATTTTCTCTTTTTTTTTTCTTGAAAGCATATATACTACTTTACTGTTTGTGAGCTAACGTTTGGATGATACACCTTGGTAATGAATTTTATTTGAGGTGGTTGAAAAGGATGATTTTCCTATACTATATTTAAGTACATTCTCTCTGTTGGCATAGACATACATACATGTAATTTTATATCGAGCAAGAAAGTACCACCTATTATTTTTTTTTTCTCTCTATTAAAAGCTCTGCATGTGTGCAAACTATCGAGATTTACCTTCATAAGGTGATTCAATAGGACCATTAATAGATCCAATGAGGTGATCTATATTTTTCTTTTTTAGACATAAACTTTGTCCAATGCATATACAACATACATACACATATTTTCTTCATTAGGAACATAAACTTGTAAAGGAGTTGTATTGTCGTCATTAACATCCTTGATTTCGTTGTATATTCTTTTTGTCATGTTGGGCGCCATTTTGAGAGAAATAATAAGAAAGAGATATTGTCACACAGCCAAAATGTTTCCGAGAAAAGAAAAAAAATAATAAGAGCAATATTATTTATTATTACAAAAAGTACAAGGAGAAGAGAGAAATACCAAAGAGAGAGATGATGTTAATACCAATAGAAGACGCTCCAGATTCAGAGGATAAGCTAAAGTTACCACCGTTGAACTCGGTTGCGAGGTTCGGTCTGGGTGCATTCTCAGACCATGTACAATTGGCGCTTGTAACATATTTAATGGGTTCGTTCAATGCAATGTTACGGAGCCAGTGACGCTTATAATCCGAGGAAGGCGCGACAGGATTGACAACATTGATCATATCTTCCAACAATGCATCGGCCATGGCAAAGGGAGCTTCGAACCAATCGTAGCCACCTGCAGCTGTCAAGATACCGTCCTCACGATAGACCGACTTGCGCTTCAAAAAGTTGTACTTGTTCGAATCCGATTCGGGGATACCATAGTTCTTTAAAAAGTCGGTTAGATTGGAGCCAATATAGGTCTCGTCAATTAAGATATCAGCAGAACTAATGGCAGCGAGTAAATCAGAGGCAGAGGAATAGGTAGCGGCGTTGGGGTTAAGCATGACACCACCTAATAAGGTTCATTATTTAGCCTTTTTTTTATATATATGTATTGTATTGTATGTACCTGCGTCACGAGTCAATTGAACCTTGTATGAATCGTTCTTGAGCGTATAACTAGCAGTATTGTTGTTGTATTTACTGGCTGCTTCGTAAGTAGCCCATGCGACAACTGGTTTCTTTGGATAATTGGCAGCAGCGGCCTTGAGACGGTTGTAATTGTCGGTTATGTTTTGTCTAATACCATTGGCAACTCCTTCAAGATTGTAAAAGGCAGCATAATATGAGATCCAAGAAGAACGCTAAAGAAAAAAAAAAAAGATAAGAAAAGATAAGAAAAGAAAAAGAAAAAAGGGGAAACTTACGCCCAAGACATCGGGTTCAAAAGCTTCACTTGCAGCAACCGTAGAATTAGGATCAATAGGTGTAGAAGCATAGGCATAAGGGTTAGAGCCGAATTGAACCTGAACAGCATCAATTTGTTGTTTCTGTAAGGTTTGATTTGTACTTTCAAGGATAGTAACATTGCCAGAACTTAGGTATTTCTGGAAACAAGGAGAAGAGATTAAGTTACCATCAGCAATAAGTGAAATGGATTCAGCAGCACCAATCATCTAAGGAACAAATTAGATATATGTTACAGTTTTCATTCTTTTTTTCTCCTTTACTTCAAGATAAGGCACAATGGATGTTTCCATGACGCCGGCCTTTGTGATAGGTACTTGATATACCTCTGTATTATTGGTAATATTTGAGGGCGTGGGTGTGCCACATTGAACCAGGACATAGGATTGCTTATTATGATGATTTTGGATTACTTTATAATTCTTGTAATATTCAATACTGAAAATGTTGGCCTTGTCATCAGCTGAGATTATATAATCAGCATCTTTATTTTTTATTGTATATGTTTGAATATTACCAGCATTGATTTTTTCAGGGAAATAATCAATAGTTGCATCATAATTGGTCACACATCCTTGAATGATGTTTGTTACGGGTGTCTGCGCAGTGACAGATAAAACGAGAGAAGCAATGGCTAATAAGCTTGCTTTATACATTATTAAACAAAAAAAGAAAAAGAAAAAAGAAAAAGAAGAAGAGCTCAGTGGCTTACTTTTAAAATGTATAAAAGGGATAATGTGGGATTCGATCTCGTGTAACAAGTTTATTCCAATAGACCTTCTTCTCTTCTTGATTCTACTATCCGTTTTTGCTGGTCAATGAGGATATTTAAAATATCTAATAAAATAAGTTATCAGCTGTAACCTATTCACATGTATTTTCTACTTACCCAAAACTTTCATCTTTTCAAAGCCTGGTATCCTTGCACGACGTTTGTAGTAAAATTGCGCTGTGCTATTCAATGTGTGTGAGCATATGTATATTGAGCAATTCGATATGAACTTACACAAAACCACTATCCTTGAGCAGATTTAGCTGTGATTCTTCTTGTAATTTATTATTCACCACCTGTTCTTTCAATCTATTGAAAAAAAAAAAAATCAGTCTCTCTATTTTCCCTTTTTTCCGTTTCTTTTCTTACTTTTCGAGATATTCTAGTTCCTCAATGACGGTTGCCTTCCTATCTTCCATGAGTGTACCATCAGGTTTGATACGATGTCTAATACGCTTATATCGGTTATGAATTTGTTCCTTTGTCTTTTTCGAATTAAATAATGGTTCGATGTCGAGTGCTCTTAGTTTCCCATCACCCGTAGCAAGCTGTTTTGCTACAGCTTTTGCTAATAGCTCGTCATCTTCTTTTGTCCAACGGCCACGAGAGACTAGAGAAAGGGGGGAAGGTATAAGTATCAAAATCCAAATAAAAAAATCATGGTTACCTTTAGATATATCATTTGCCCTGTTTCTATTCATGTATCTGGAAATATCCAATGGCGTTCTATTCAGATATTCAGACAATTTCTTTGGATTAGCTCCATAGACTTTTACGAGCCTAATAATAATAAATGAGTATTGGATACATTCACTATTTCGCTCTTACTCGTTCAGCTTTTTCACTTCTTCGTCTGTCCATGGCGTATTGTCTCGTTTAGGATGATAGGCATCTCGACAGTGCATAGCGAGTGATTTCAAAGATATATTAGGAAAAGGCCGTGCGATCTTTTGAAAGAACTTGAGGTGTGCTGATGGACGATCTGAAGCAAAGATCTCTTGTACTTGTTGAAAGCTTATGTTTTCACGCTAAATAAAAGTAGGTCTTTATCCCAGAGCATATATTCAACAAAGGAACTTACCCTACAAATCTTCTTGATACGTTTCTCCAATTTCAAGTTATCCGAATAACCAAACCGACGTGTCTTTGGCCAATGACTTGCATTTGCCGGTTTGTTCTTAAAGCTTCTCTGCCACTCGGGGAAACTATCGGAACCATAGTCATCGTTTGAGTCCGTATCTGAATCAGAATCAGAAATGAAAAAGTTCTGATGGACCGTGGGCACAAACGCAGACGATGCCTTGCCCTTGTAATTGTCTGCCGCGCTGGCGTCTTTGTTGTATTCTAGTGTTCGGCGGCTACATATACGATTGCTCTTTAATTTTCGTTTCTTTTGATTTCCTAGAGCAAATTGGTCTACGTTTGGCTCACTGTCGTCGCTACTAAAGTCACTTTCGTCTGAATCTTCAATGATTTCTCTTGTTCGATAATTGGAGCTGCTTCTCTTTCTCTTTCTTTCAATGATGGATAGATGTTGTTGGCCTTGATCTGTGTCGTCTGAATCAGAGGCTGATTGGTATTGCTTTTGATTTGTTTTCGGGACTGATCGACGCTGTGTCGATTGTTCTTGATCTGTGTCGTCTGAATCAGAGGCTGATTGGTATTGCTTGATTGTCTTTTCTTTAGTTTTATTGACAAAAATGTCTTTTGTAGGTACTTGATCAGTAGTCATGTCCGATTTAGATTCTTTTATTTCAACATTTTTATTAGATTCTTTAACAACAGCTTTGCTCGTTTTATGCTTTTGCTCCTTTTTCTTGTCCTTTTTATGTTTCTTGTCCTTCTTTTTGCTCTTGTCTTTCTTCTTTTTGTCTTGTATGCTCATTGTTTCGAAAAGAAAAGAGAAGAAAGAAAAAAAAAGGGAAATGTGACTACTTTAGACTATTTTGGTTTGTAGTCTCCCTCCCCTTCTTTGCATGAAATCCTCAATTTATGCTTCCCCAAATACACACACCAAAAGAGAGAGAAAGAATACTTCAAAAATGGGATAGTGTATGTCAGATGTTACAAGTTGTCCCTGAGAGCAAAGTGACGCAATGCAGTCAATTTTTAACTAGCGCACAAAATTTTGAAGCCGCTTTCTTTTTACCCTTTTTTTTCTTTGCCTTAAAGGGGAAAGCACAATGTCAAACAAGATTACAGAAAATGAATTATTTCCTCAACTCAATTCAATAACAGAACACGAAAAACTAGTCAAGATCGCCAGACATTTGCCTTGTGATGCTTGTTCATGTCAAGGCTGGAGACCGGCTCTATCATTGACGTGTGCGTGTGGACATTTAGTGAAACAGCATGTGGATAATAAAAGAGATCTGACGAGACGATTCAAAGTAGCATTGAGAATTGAGGAATTATTAGAGGTAACAAAGATCTATTATCACCATGTCAACCATTCCAAAACATTGTCTACTTAGGAAAAAGGAAAACTAGACGACTTTGATTACAGCGATCAAGATATTGAATCTCTAAGAAAGTAAGAATATAATATAGACACACAGTGTATGGAAAAGTATACATCAATATATTTTTTATTTTATACCCGTTCTTCTAGACAAATACACTATAATGCCGAAACGACAGAAAAGGATGTAGAGGAGGATGAAAATGGAGTCGATTTCTTATCAGAAGCATCGTCACCATCTTCTATTGAAGATCGATCTTTCTTTAAACGAAGAAAAAGTGATGACGAGGAAGACGAAGAGGATGAAGAAGGGTCGAAAAGATTCAAGGCTGATTTGGATGATGATGAAGAAGAGGATGACGATGATGACGAAGAAGAAGAAGAAGAAGATTATACTAGAATCAAACAGGAAGATGACTTTACCAAAGACAGCACACTGACAGACTCTGTTGATCGAAAGGAGACACCCGCCATGATGGAGGAGCGGTTGGGTCTGGTTGAAGTGCGTATTGTTGAAAATGATGGCAGTCGAGAGAGCATGATCTTGTTAACGGGATTAAAGAACATTTTCCAAAAGCAGTTACCAAAGATGCCTAAAGAATATATCGCACGTCTCGTTTATGATCGTAATCATAAAAGCATTGCATTGATCCGAAAGCCGATGAAAGTGATTGGTGGTATTTGCTACAGACCCTTTGAAGAGCAGGAATTTGCAGAAATTGTGTTTTGTGCGATTGCGTCAACAGAACAAGTGAAGGGGTATGGTTCATTCCTTATGAATCATTTAAAAGACTATATATCGGGTCATTCAAAGATAAAACATTATTTGACCTATGCAGATAATTACGCCACTGGATATTTTAAGAAACAAGGCTTTACGACAGAGATCACGCTGGACAAGAGGAAATGGGTGGGGTATATCAAGGATTACGAAGGAGGAACGATTATGCAGGTGAGACCAGACCTGTTGATGATTAATAATAAACTCACTTTCTTTCTAGTGCACAACGGTTCCAAAAGTAAAATATTTAAAGATACAAGAAATCTTGGCTATTCAGAAACAAGCAGTTTATGAAAAAATGAAGGAGCATTCAACTTCACATATTGTATACCCAGGCATTCAAATGCCAATGAATGAAGAAGGAAAGAGATGTATTGATCCCTATTTAGTACCTGGAGTCAAAGAGTCAGGTTGGACACCTGAAATGGACGCATTGTAAGTATAACGAAATAGAATAACATGTATTAATTCCTGTAGATCAAATCGACCTCGACATCCTCCACACTACAATCAAATGCGCCATCTAGTGAACGAACTGAGAGCACACCCACACTCATGGCCATTCCATGATCCTGTGAATGCAGATGAAGTGACAGACTATTATGATGTGATCAAGGAACCGATGGATTTGACAACATTAGAACAGAACGTAGAGAATGATACTTATCAAACTATGGATGAATTTATTCGAGATGTACAAAAGATCTTTGATAACTGTAGGACGTACAATGCAGAATCCACAAATTATGCACGCTGTGCGAATCGATTGGAGAAATACTTTGATGAGAGACTTCGTGTGTGGACTAGTAACGAATGATTTTATTGTAAATAAACTTAAAGAAATCTTCTTGCTGCCAATTTGACTCTGTTATCAAATGAAGGGTTTGCGATGGGCGCGTTCTTTTCATAAAATGGGTTCATCAGTATCTTTATGTACAATTCATAGATTTCAGTGAAAAATGACTTTATACTATCTTCTGATTTTTGATCATGTAGTAACATAAACTTTACATCTATAAGGTTGATTAGATATGAATCGCGTGCACTTTATGCATTTCTTACTGCCTGCTGTGACAAAGCAAGATACATAGTATTCGTTGAATCGATCAATCGACTTTAAGTACCTAATGTATATATGAGAAAAAGATGTGTCGTGTTGATTATATAATGATTACATGGCTTGAACATTCCACTGATATTCTTCTACGACATCAAGTGCAGCGTGTATAATGAACTGATTCAAATGTTTATGATCTTCCTTTTGCTGTTATTTTTTACTTTTTAGAAACTTGTTTAATTATAACAACATACGTTACTCTTGAAGAATCAATAAAAGCAGAAGAGCGAGATGACGGAATTATTTCAGACTCATAGATAGGGTTATCAGTTGCACCCACAATAACAAAGTAATAATTAGACATTGCTTAAAAAGAGAGAGAAAAGAGAGAAAGAAAGAAAAAGGGGGCGCTTTTATCAAATTTGCTCGCAGGAATCAAAAAGACAGCCAGTGTTTGATCATAGATGAGATTTGCCATAAACAAAGAGAGAGAGAGAGAAATCAAAGTTTACTACAGAGATATTCTTCTAAGGGAGCCTTTCTCTCTCTCTCTCTCTCCTTTCCACTTTTATGTTTATTTACTTCAACATCTTGTAAAGTTCAGATACCGCCTGCAAGTGTAACAACCTGTATTATAGTTCAGATTCAGAAAACAACATTGCCCTTTCCTCCTTTTTTTTTTATTCTTTTATTCTTTTCATCAGATGGGTGAATCACGAACGGAATTACTAGCTTGGTTGAACGACTTGTTACAAGTAAATTATACCAAAGTAGAACAAGCAGGAACAGGTAATGTAACAGTGAGTGATACTGTTGTTCGGTGCTAATATTATATTAGGCGCTGCTTACTGTCAAATTATGGACTCTATTTTCGGTATAAAGAGTAGTTTTGTATATGAATGCTCATATTGACATTGCTATAGGTGATGTTCACATGGGAAAAGTAAAGTTTGAAACCAAACACGAATATGAATATGTGTCCAACTATAAAATACTTCAACACACATTTGATAAACACAAGCAAGTAGAGAAACATAAAAAGAAAAGAGGGAGCTACTTACATTATTTCTCTAGGATTGATAAAATCATTCCCGTCGACAAATTATTAAAGTGTAAATTTCAAGATAACCTCGAGTTCATGCAGTGGATGAAGCGTTTTTGGGATCAAAACTTCCCAGGAGGTGACTATGATGCTTTGGGACGTCGAAAAGGTGGAAGCGTCAAGACGGTGACAACATCATCACCTGCTAGTCGTACGGTACGTACCAAACCAAGTGCAGCCCCAGGTAAAATAGAAAAAAAAAAAAATAGGGAAGAGAAGGCTGAGCCCAAAAGATATTAGTCAGAACCACAGCACGCTCAAACGCTGTCGTTCCATCCTCTGGACGATCAAGAGCCACAGGGTCATCAGATACGGGCGTCGTCCAAGATATGAGTCGACAAATCACTGAACTCAAGGTGACCGTGGACGGACTTGAAAAGGAACGAGATTTTTATTTCGGCAAATTGCGAGAGATTGAGATACTCGTTCAGGAACAACTGGAAATGGCTGAGCAATATCAGCATGTGTCAGAGGAACTGAACTGTATTCGAGAGATACAAACTATTCTTTATAGGACTGAAGAGGGATTTGAAGTGCCTCCAGAGGATGGACTGGTAGAAGAGGAATACGATGATGATGAAACATTTTAATGATACAAGTCTGCATTAAATGGAGTTCCAAATAAAAACTCCCAACTTTTAGGAGGAGTAAACTGTGTGATTTGTTCGAGCTCCAACACACGATGAATGTAGTTTCCAAAGTCGATGCTGTCTTGAACATTATCTACATGTTTTGTTTTAGTATTAAATAGAGACAACATATATATATTATACCTCCTTCGAGTGCAAACATGATGAGCACTGTCGCTTTGTCTTCTAACTGTTTATACACATGACGACTCAGGCCAGACCCAGGCAGATGGATCCTTTCACTACTTTCTTCAAGTACAGGTATACCCAAAGCCTTTGATCGGTTCACATAGTCTCCACTGCCCAATACTCGGAAAGGGACACTGTTGATCTGAGAGTCCAGTCGACGTGAGGCGTCCATACTCGTCAGCACGATCACTTGATCAAACTGAGAAGCAAACGCAGTGATGTGATCCACATAGGATTTTCTCTTTTCTTTTATCGTAGGTGATCGCTGCTGTATGCATGTCCATTGACGATCCTTTGATTGAAACACTAAAGACAACAGTGAGATTTTTTTTTCTCTTAATGTATATCTTTACCTTCAATAGGTGTTGTTGATCCTATTTGATTATTGTCTTCACGTTGACTTGATACTGGAATAACAGTATCTGTGTCAATAAAACCCACTCGTTCAAAATGAAATGTGTGAATGAGCAAGTCAGCTGTAAGTTGAGGTACATTGCCGATGGAGACCATGGGCTATATAGATGGTGTTTAATATTTTGTTTTTATTTTTTATGTTTGAGAGTACCAAAATGATGGTTGAGCCCTTGAGCTGAGCAGGATCGTAATTGGGTACTGGGACAAATGAATTCATTTACAAAAAAAGATACACAGAGTATATGACGCGTCGCGATCACTCACGCAGCTTGTTTGAAAGACAGTCACAGACTTCGAGTGCGCGGAAATCAAAACATTTGAAACCGAGTTTACAGTGTTTCCACTTCCAGTTGGTCACTTTGCCGAAAAGATTGGCCAAATGTTCAAACTCAATTGGTCTGATTTTTGAAGCCGATTTGGTCACTTTCTGCAATTAAGTTGGTCAGAGTCAAGACTTGACAATAGACTCTGGCATGATTTTTTACCACAAAAATGGAAGAGGAGACATCCTTGGTCATAAGCGAAACGAAGCAAACTAGTACATGAAATCCCTTCATTCCACATAAAAAATATTCATCTGGAGTCGCAGTTAGCCGAGGAGCCTGATGTTAATATGATTGAAGTGAGTCATAAAAAATAGGTAAATCACATATATTACATAATAACGGGACAACCAATAAATGAACACACCTAATTGTATAACATAATATTGTAACTGCATAATAACATATTGCAACCGATAACATTAACAATACTAACTGAGATAAAGACACCGGAATATAATGCCCATCTTTATTGATGCCTGTTTCTTAGTGTTAATAATAGCAGAAGGTGATAAAATAAGTTAAGTAATTAATTAAATAATTCACACACATAACAAGCATGGCCAGATTCGCGTTTATTTTGCATCGCTTAATGGCTTGTTTTTCTCCTCTTGCCAGACATATATTCAGTGAAACTTGAAGTTGCTGGTGTAACGATAGTAGCGGTATCTAATAAGTACAACTACAGCCAGTCGCTGTTGCTTAAACCGCCAAATTAAAACCAGTAAAGGAAGCACTTGCTTACCGAAGCGAAGTATGTCACTTGGAAAACTCATCTGTTTTAATCTACTTATTCTTGTAATGTACTTTCTGGTCTGTCTGCTATCATCAGCGTCACGTTCAAGCCTGAATGCTGTAGCTCAAATGTAATGAGGACTTCACAGCTACCGTTATTGTTTAATATGAGATTATCTAGCATATCTTTTAATGCTTTTGGCAACTTTACACCTCCTTCGACGATGTACTTTGTTCCATTATATTTAATTCCAACTTCACTTGCGCCGAATTCGTTTGCGTTTTCATGATTAGCTTTTCTCTCTCTAACAATCATATGACACTTATAGCCAGATTTAACTCTTTTGATAGACTATGTTGATCTTATCGCTCTGTTTTTGTTTTTACGTCGCGTACTAGAATTTCTCATCGAAGATGTCTCTTTCCTGTTATCGATCCAGTGAAGGGCGTGACAGTAGGGACATTCCTTGTCCATACATTCAAGATCCAAAGGACGAATGTGAGAAAGCTGCAAGATATAAGCAGCAGAAATGTTTTGAGAAGGCTCTACTCTAGGCCTTCCTCTACGTCTTACTGGGCTGCCTTCCTGTTCTTCTTGTTCAGCTCGACGTCTGCGTCGTGATGCTGCAACTCTCTCTCTCTGCGCGCTCGACAGGTGCGATAGCGCGAATCTGTTGATAATGTCGCAACACAGGAGGAGCATATGGTTATTCTAGAAGTATTGTTTTCCATTGTTCTAATGAACAATAATGTTAGCAGACGCACTCGAATCAAAAGAAATATTACATACCAAATTATGTCAAAATGTTTATACAATGATTAAAGAAAGAAAGGCTCAATGCGATGAGAAAAGGAAAACGTTTATATTCGAAAAGAAAGAAAATAAGGAAACACTACATGCACCAGAAAATACACCAAAAGTTAGACTAATCCTAGGAGCGCTACTTTTACCTGCTACCTATGATGTCGCCCAACAAAGCTTTTCAATCTGCAGTGTCAAACTAAACATGACTTCTATAAAGTTGTCATATTAGTTTGTTTCTTTTCAGGAAGAAGAAATAAAAAGAAATGTTATTTCTTTATTTATTCTAGCTTTATGTTGTCAGTCTAACAACAAATGAACCAAGATCAATCACGTGTAATTACGATAAATTCGTATTACATATCAGAGAGAGGGAACTGGGAAGCTTTAAGCTAAGCAGAGACTTTGGTAGTGTGAAGTTGTAAAATGATGTCATATGTAGCGCCTAGAAGAAGCACCCGCAGTATTAGCTTATATTCTGGTGCATGTAGTGTTCACCAGGAAAGAAATCTCATGTACTTTCAGGAACCAAGTGCTTGTCGCGCGAGCGCGATGTTCGAGTCGGAAAGAGCATTAAAAAAGCAGCCAAATCATGTGATGCTACACATTTTCCGGCGTATTTTATGGTCTAGTGTTGTTCTCTTATCGAGACATAGTCCTGACATTTATATCACTTAAAATCGACTCTCATGTTCTTTACAGGCTTTCAGTTCTTGGAAATACTGTCGAATATAACATTTTGAATAAAGTTGTCATCCCAAAAGGGAAAAAATTGACGATCCTCACATAAATATTAGACCGAAACGAGAACTTCATTATTGCGCGCGCTGTATAAAGACTGACTTATTATTTTTTCTTTTTTTGCTCTCGAGATAACAGGTTGAGTTTCATAAGACAGTTCCCACACAATGCCTCGATTGCGTTAACCGGACCATATGTTTTTTGTCACGAGAGAGAGCCGCCCTCTTGGTTTGGGCCTTCGTCGACACGCTCAGCATTTCAAGCTGCTCCCAAATAAACTTTTTATATAACAACAAAGAAATAATAAGCCCGTTCTATACGAATTTTGTCATGAAATAAAGTCTAATTAGGTCAGTTTTTTAGTTTTAACTTTTTCCGCAGCGTACCTTTAAATTGTCCCTCTCCATAAAAAAAAATAGTAGTTGCTTACATAACATGCATATGTCGCTATTTCTCTCATATCGAACGTCCAAAAAAGGGGAGATGCTTGTAAGGTTAGTTTGAAAAGAGCAGTCGTTTTTTTTTTTTTAAAAAAAAATATCCTATCATCCTAAAGGAAGTATCCAATAGGACGGTGAAAGTAATGTAATGAGAAGGATTATCTAATTTGTGTGATATATCAAAACGTGGGGAGTACCTGCTCCCCGTCCTCTAGTTACACGGCCACAACGTGTAGCTCTATTACACAGATACCCATTAAGGCACGATTTCATTCTGTTTTACTATTGTATGTATGCCCAACTTTAAACTATAAATACAAAACACATTACAGATATTCATTTAAGGTTACGCATACATAGGCGCACGGTGAATGATGTGTGTGATTTTTTGGTAACCCAATGTTTCAATTTAAAAGAAAGAGACCAATCGGGCATAACCGCGCAAAGATAAAAGGAAATCAAGGTTGATCTAGAAGGGGAAAAAAATAGTTGTCCCTCCTTGTATATCTAAACAAACTAAACCCATCTCTTTTAAATCAGGAAGGAGGACTAAAAATGGTCACAGTAACACAGATGGTCCTATAGATAGCCATCTTTGAAGGTTTTACAATGAAAAGAGAAAAAAAAAGCGTTTGAAAGATTGCACAAGGCAACCAGAATTTGGTTCCCTTAGTTGTGAATTAATAAAATTAATTAATGTACCCTGACTCGTTTTTTTTTAAATTGTTTCTTAGCAACGGATCTAACGATAAACTATAATAATTATATTAAAAAAGATAGACTAGTCAGCATTTGTGTTCAATTAATATAAAAGAGAGAGAAAGAAAGAAAGAAAAAAAAGAGGTTGTCATCAATAATAAAGATAAATGGTAACCATTTTGTGTCCTACTTTTTTACTTTTTATAGTTACTATCAAACCAGTCTGTCTCCATGAAAAGTGTATTAATTAATTTTACTTGTCGTACAAGATCCCATCTCGTCAACTACTTTACACTCATGCCAATCCTTGATTCCATTGTAAATGTCCCGCGGATCAATCCGTTGACATTAAATGAAATCATATAATACACTATAGGGAAATAAAATTAAAGTTTGCATAATAAAATAAGGCTGCAGGTACCACGGAAATAGATGGCCGAGTTGGATAAAAAAGGAAATTCAATCGGGGGCAAACCGTCTTAAATTAAGAATTTATGGGTGTCCATTGCCCAAAAAGAGATCAATTTTCCATAAACATGTCAATATGAACCTTATTTCCTTGTTTCCCCTGGGTTGTATCTGTCGGTAGAATTATTTAGCGTGTATAAATTCATAAGGAGAATTTTAAAATTAATTAAAATCTCGTTGATTACATAATACACTTTTTCACCACGTTCAAAACAGAGGGAAAAAAAAAAGGGAAAAAAGTGTGATGATGACAGATCTCCCTTTCTTCTTGGCCTGTATACTGCGTTGGGTTGCGCGGGGAATAGAAAATAGAATACAAGGAAAAAAGAATTTAGAAGAAACGTGTAAAGAGAATCAAGAATGTTTTTTGGTTGGATAAGCAAATGTGGCGTGAGTTGAATTTCTTGAGTGTAATACAGTAGGGTAGCGGAGGGGTGTCCGGAGAGATGAAAGATAGACACTGAAAAAAAGAGACCCGTATTTTGTGTCATGTTGAGGCTGAATCTTGTCACTAATTCATAGAAACTTGCTTTATTTGACAACGAGTTGGCTCGAGCGGGAAAGAAATAAAATTATATTAATTTCTCTCCCTCTCTTTTTTTTCCATTCTTCTTTTTTTCTCTCTTTCTTTCTTGATGACATCTTTGAGTAATATGTTGGCTCAACAAAATTATAAAAGACCACCCATGCTGGACATTAGTTTTTTATTAAATGATGACCATGAACCAGAAAGAAGTCCGAGTTTATCACCGTCACTCACAGCATCACCAGCCAGTGTATCATCCACATATTCAAGTTACTCATTTCCTCAACAAGATTACTGGGAACAGTCAAAAGAGAGTGGACCTATCAAGGCAAAGCGAAGAAGAGCTAATTCAGAACAATTGGAAGTATTAAATAGAGTATTCGATCGTACCTTCTTCCCTTCGACCCAAATGAGAGCTGAGCTCGGTCGCCAATTGGGTATGAATCCTAGAACTGTACAGATCTGGTTTCAAAATCGTAGACAAGCTATGCGAACAAAAGAACGCCAAAGGTTGATTAAACTTCGAAACGAGACTAAATTGAAATCAGTGTAAAAACAACAACAACAACAATATTACGATATACCTTTTATAATCTGTATTTATTCAAAAGAAAAAAATGACAAAAGAAGGAAGCCTGGTTTGCTATTTCTTTTTAATATCTTCTTTACTCTCTTTTTGCAATGTGTGTGTGTAAAGTATGACAAATAAAATTCTTTTAATACATCTACGCTTTTTTACACATCCATAAAATGAAACAACACAAGAAAGACATTCCTTTCTCTTTTCTATGCATTTTTCGCCCCTTTCATTTTTCTTTTTCTTTTGAATGCCAAACGATAGATTTATCAAATCATCTTCACCCAAGAAGCGAGTAACACCTTTTGTCGTAAAGAGAAAACAAATCAATTTCAATTTATTGGATACAACAAGGTAATACATTGTTTATGGATTATACCTATTATTAACTTATAAAGTCCTCAAATACCCTCTTCTGAATGTAAATTATTCATGTACCATGTTACATATGGCTTACTTTATATATAATAATTAGCCAGACACATTTATGAACAGCTATTAAAAGATAAAGATGAGAAAATTAAAGCTTTGAAGGTATAGTAAACACACATTTAGGTTTCATATTGAATTCAGTGTTGCATATAAATAGAATCAGGTAGAATCACTTCATAAAGAACTACAACAGACAAGACACCAATGCAGGCTATTAGAGAATGAAAGAAGTGATTATGAATCATCCATTGATGGTAACAGTTCCTCTTGATTGGTAATAGTAGCTCACTGTTTTATAATAGAAAAATATGCAAAGGAAAAGATACAGGTGGAGACAGAACTGAGAATACTAAAGGAGACACATGTTGAGAAAGTACAAAATTTATCAACCAATCTTAACCACCTCACCTGTACAGTCCATTCTCTAAGGAAACTATTGGAACAGCACAATATCAAAGAAGGTAAAAGAAATAGAGAAAGAAAAAGTTCATATTAACTTTATGCTAGAAATCAAAGAGAATGATATCCTCTTGGTCAATCCTATTTACAAAAAGGACGCACTCTTCATTCAAGATGCATATCAGCAGATAAAACAAGAGATGTCGAATCAACAACACCCAATGTGGTCTAATATTCAAGTATATATACATATACAATATATAAGCCGTACCATGTAACTTTTTTTTATTAGGCAACTGCTATGGCTATCAAGCATGAAATTGATGTTTTTCAAGCTTGGAAATCCACATGCAATCTGCCCGTGCATGAATTGGCCAAGGCTATATTGAAAGAGCAGAAATCAAAAAAGACCTTATTTGGTAGGAGAAAATGATATTTATAAAAAAGTCGCAGTTTTAAAAATTAATATCACTACAAAAACATGTAAATGGTAAACAAGTGGTGATAGTATAAACAATCTGCTTATTATCGTATTTTGAGAGCAACTTATTTTAAAATTGTACATTGATGCCCATCTGTTTAGTTGAAAGGCGTAATAGAGTCTATTTTTTTTTATTAGAGTCATGGGTATATCGTCCTTACATAAGGCTATGTCTATTGGCTGTGTGTTGTAAAGTACTTTCTAAATAAGGCACTATGATATTTCTCATAAGCAAGGAATTATTAATAGGGTTTCTCATGATATGTATCATCCAAGGATCTTATAGAAGAAAGGGGTTTGTCAATAAAGTTCTTGTAGACATGATTACGTGAGTCAAGGACATGCACCGTTTTCTATACACAGCAGTTAATGTACTCGTCAAATTAATAATTAACACAAAAATGTAGTTTCAAATGAGCGTAGAAATGAAAGAGGACATTTAGAAACCAGAAAGAGCTTGATGAGAAGAAAACATCTTTTTTATGCTGTATAGTATGTCTTGGATGACTGAACTTGGAGGAATATGAACTGCATTCAAATTGAGCGAAAAATAAAAACTTTCTTCCTGCTGTTTAAAAGGTGGATTGCTGGTCTCTTTTGCACATAAAATGTTTTTGCTGTATCCTATTGTAATATAAAGTTGATGTGGGGTATCTTGTACATTTGATATCTATAGAAGCAAAGGGGGACAACATGGATGAGTAAACCTTTTTCTTTTTTGAACAGTCTCAGACAAGAGGGTGAAATAAGGGGGCGTACGTATCGCTTGAAATCCGTTTGGAAAAAAGTGCGAATAAAATTTTTCTTGCATTTTTTTTTATAAAAAATTCCAAGTTCCTTTTTTTATTCTTTCTTTTTCATTTCCTTTATTTATCCTTTTTTTTTTATATTTTATACGGTTTTTCTCTTTTTTTTACTTGAAAAAGAAAAGGAGCTTTTTTAAAACAACTTTTTCGATTATGTCAGCAGCTGAAAACCAAACTATCAACAGGTAAAATGTGGTTCTTTAGAAAAGAGCGCGCGCGTAGTTCGAATTGATTAAAAATGTGGCGCGTGCGTGTGGATTCCGAAATTAACTGTGTATTTTCTATATAGTTCCATGGTAGATACTTTACCTTCACCACCCTCACAATCCAAGGCAAGTGTGCATAAGTATTTTATATATGTAAACTAACTTTTTAGTAGACTTCAATTGGAAGCCCAATGACAAAAGATCAACTTCGATACTGTGCAGCCATCATACGAAACTTGAAGAAGCATCGAGATGCAGCACCATTTTTAAATCCAGTAGATTATGTCAAATTAAACGTCCCTGATTATCCAACAGTTATAAAAAAGCCCATGGATCTTTTACTTGTCGATCAGAAGCTTAGTAGAAATGAGTATGCGACTGTGGATGAATTTGTAGCTGATGTGAGATTGATATTCAATAATTGCTTCAAATACAACGGTCCTGAAGCGATGATCTCTGTGCTCTGTCAAAATGTCGAATCAGCATTTGAAAAGAGTCTTAGACAGATGCCACCTCATACAAAGGAATTATCGCCTCCTATCAGTCAGAATAACTCTCCTTATGAAGAAACAGTCGTACATGAATACTACGAGTCAAGGCCAAAACGAGAGATTCATATGCCATCCAAAGACTATCCTGAGCCTTACACTGCACCTGCAACCTCAAAGGCAATGAAATATTGTATGCAGACACTGAGGGAGATGAAGAAGCAGAAATACAAGCATTTATCCTATCCTTTCTTATATCCAGTCGACCCAGTGGCACTCAACATACCGGATTATCCCACCATTGTGAAGTGTCCTATGGACATGTCGACCATTGAACAAAAGCTGAATCGAAATGAATACAAGTCTCCTGATGCGTTTGCTGCTGATATCAAGCTGATGTTTGATAATTGCTACCTCTACAACCCTTCTCATTTGCCCATCTACCAAATCGCTAAACAATTTGAAGCCATCTTTAACGAGAAATGGGCACAGCGTCCCAAAGAAGAACCACAACCTCCTGCAAAAAAGCCAGCTTCACGAAGATCTTCAACAAAGCAACAACAACCAGCGGCATCAAGTGATGAGGATAAGATAGCTGAACTAGAAAGACACATTGCTAATATATCGCAGCAGATTGAATCGATCAAATCTTCATCTAAAAAGAGCACAGCCTCCCGAAAGCGTTCGACACCTTCAGACAAGACAAAGAAGGAAACGACGCCCAAAAAGAAGAGAATGACAAAATACAGAGAGGTCTCGAGCGATGAGGAGGATGAGGTTATGTTTACATTTGAACAAAAGAAACAGCTGAGCGAGAGTATCAATAATCTGTCAGGCGATAGTCTGAACACAATCGTTCAGATCATTCAGTCATCTATGCCAAACTTGAGTAGTCAGGGTGAAGATGAGATCGTGTTGGATATTGACTCTTTGGATATAAAAACGTTAAAGAAACTACACGAATTTGTAAATAGTGGAACGGCGTCTTCTGGAAAGAAGGCGGTTCGAAAAGAGCGTCACCACAGTGATAGAGGTATGTTGTAGATTTTTTGTTGTTATTGTTGTTGCTAAATATCAAGTATAGGCTCTTCAAGTGATTCTGATAATAATAATAACAATAATAATAATGATTCTGATTCAAGCTCTGATGACTCGGATTCAGACTAAGTTCTTATATGTAAATAATAATTTTAACCTTGCATATAAATAAAGAAGCTTCCTTATAAATGTATAAACATTGCTGCATCATTTTTTTTTTTAAAAAAAACTGTTGTCAAATAAATGAACGATTTTATTAAACAGTTGATACTCCACAATCCCTTTTCTAGTCTTAGACACCATTCAAAAAAAAAAAAATAGAGATTAGACCCAGACAAAAAAGTGGCAGCAATAAACACCCAAGAAAATCTTGACGGCATTTATTTAAACGTCCTGTGTCACTGCTTTTTTTTCCCGTTTTATTCCTATTTTTTAATGTCTTTAAAGAAAAGAGTTTATACAACAATAGCGCCACAGCAAACAGATCCATCCACTCTTTCGCAGAAAAGGCGCAATGTACGGGCTTGGTATGCATAATTTGTTTGGGAGAATTAAAACTATGCAGCTTAACACACTTGTAGTGACTTTTGTAGGATAAAAAAGACAAAATGTGTTATTATGGAAGGTTACAAGACTTGTAAGAATTGTATTTTGGCTGAAGAAGGATGTACATATAATATACCGTAAGCCTTTTACTTTTTTTCAAAAAAAAAAACATGCCTTCTCATGAATTATCTAGAATTAAAAAAAGAGGCCCGCCTTCAGGGTAACGTGACTTAAACTACAACAAAGCAAGTTGAGACTTACTTTGTATAGATATGCAGAATCACTGGAAAATAAGTTACGAAGGATCGAATCTATCTTGACAAAGGCAAGCAGCAGTCGAAAAAGAAATCAGTTGTCACCTGAACGAAAAGATATATCAGCCGAGACACTCAATGATGTGATCATTCGTAGAATGATGGCTTCTAATGTGTCAAAACAGCAACAATTAAAGTCAATTAATAAGGATCTGTTCATCAGTCTGGTTCATGCCATCATTCCACCTGTAGGTCTTTGTTTACAAAAGAACAGAAATAGTCTACAGATACAAAAAGAAGAATCAGCCAACCTTGATGAACAAATAGATAGTATTGACGATGCAATCGATTCGACCTTTATTCGCTCTCGAGATGAGGTTCGTACGATAGATCAATGGGTTCAAAAGATGGTTGGCATTGATAAAGATTTAAGCGACCGACTTCTTAAAGTGTAAGTACGAACAAAAAAAAAGACGTGTGCTCACATTTTTTTTTTTCTTTAAAGCTATTTTGCACACATTCATCCAAGCACACCCGTTGTCAACAAGACCATCTTTCTTCAAGAATATCGTGGCATTCGTCCCAATTTTCCTTCTGCTCTTCTCCTGATTGTTATCTTCCTGACCACTGTTAGATATATCAGATCGCGTACTGTATTTGGTGATGCTGAGGCCTTGAACGACGGCAAACCTTGGAACTTGTCCGAAAAGACGTCAAACTCACTTTTTGATAGACTTTCAAAGTACGTTTTTAAAAGAGCTCGTTGGAATCTAACTGCAGTTCAAGCTGCTATACTGATACTGGTCGTCCCTTTCAAAGAGCATCGGTGGGAAAAACACTGGCTTATTAGCTCTCGTGTAAGACAAGATAACTTATTCTACCAGAATAACCTCTAATCATTTACTATAGGGGCTTCAAGGGGTAAGAGGATATTTTCTTAATGTTGTCCATGTTACTTATAAATGGCTAGTGTCTGCTTCTGAAATTGAATAAGTCAAGTGAGGCGCTTGATATCTCTCATGATGAAAAGGAGACTAGACGGAGATGCTGGTGGTCTGCGTATATACTTGATAGACTATATTCAGCAGAGAGTGGGAAACCGCTGGGTGTCCTTGATGAGGTATTTGTTTAAAAAAGAGATAGTTAATCACATTAACCATAAAAAAAAGGATTGTGATGAACTATATCCATCAGAGTTTGCTAGTTATGATGAAGTGATGGATGTCATGACAGAGACAGATCAGCATTTACCTCGGTTTCCTTCACTTGATGAAAAAACAGCGCAGCAGTATAAAGGTGACATCCCTCTATACCGACCATTTGTACATATGATCAAGTTATCCAAAATTTTAGGAATAACTCTACAGAATCTATATACCCCAAAGGCGCAAACATACTGTGCAGAGCATGGTAGCGATGCCATTGTTGCCTTTCTAGATAATGAACTATCCAACTGGAGAGCATCGTTCCCTCCTCTTTCAGAAACGTCCGATCAAGCTAGTATTTTTCCCACTTCAGGTAAAAAAAATAAATAAACGCGTCTATTGACATGCTGACACACATCGATTAGGCATAATATCTCTTGTCTACTATACAAACCTGATCTTACTACATCGGCCGTTCATCAGGGTCAACAAGGACAGCAACAAGAATATAAAATTTTCAGCCCAGACATCGTTGGCGATCTGCACAAGTGCTGCAACAAAAATTGTAGAGATTTCCAAAAAGATGGCCTACAAGGATTATATTCTTGTATCGTGCGGCTATGCATTCTATCCGATCGTCACGGCCACCCTCATTCATATTTTCAACGCATGTAATCCAGAAAAGGCGATATCGGGTCCTGCAAAGATGAACCTCTTGGAGAGTTTGAACATGATTGATAAGCTGAATCATGCAATGTCTTCTGAAGATGCAATCGAAATGATGATTAGAAAAAGCGTGCTCAGGAGTAAACTGTGTACTCAGGATCCAACATTCGCAAAGATGTTGCATGGCCAAGAACAACAGCCAGAAGAAGCGGAAGAAGAAAAGGCAAATTCAGATTTCGGTTGGCTAGATAATCTTTATGACACTTCACAACAAGTCAATCAAAACAATATACCTACATCAAGTAATAATAATAGTAGTAATCTAGCTCTACTGCAACAACAACAAATAGCAAATATGAATGATATGTATTCCATCAGACAATTTAATTTCAATCCCGCCAGCCAAAACGTAATAGAACAGTCAAATATACTTCAATGGTATCCATTGCTTCCATCTTACAGCCTCAATACACCAGTACCTCCTTTACATACAGTGCCCAGTCAAGCTGCATCCTATGATACTCTTCATAACCACTTAATGCTAACTGGTATGAGCAATACCATTGAACAGACCAACACGTTCACTATGCCACTCATATCTCATGACTCTATGGATCTCTTTGAAAACAGCTCATTCTGGGGAACGCCTGATAGCACAAGTTTCTGCAGTAGCTTGTATGATTATTTATTTCAATAAAAAAATGTTTCTAAATACTGATCGTCTTGAAAATGTTAACTCCTGTGTTTGCCGTACTGATCACACAACCAGGTATTTGCCTATGGAAATGTAACTCCTTAATATCTTCTTGTCCCTGATGAACAAACAACAGCTGAGGCGGCACGTCCTCATGTGTCATCTGTCCATCTTGTTCCGTATCTGGTTCGACTGAAAGATCCCAGAGGGTCAACTGATTATCGGCGCCGGAGACAGCCAAGACGGATTCTTCTGTTGGATGCCATTCGATGGATGTGATGGGTGCGTGATGCCACTTGAAGGTAGCCACTGGCGTGGGTTTGCCGCTATTGGATCTGAATGTACGAAGATCCCAGATACTAAAGATACCATCATCATGCCCACTGGCTAATAAGTAAGCTGCCTTTGTGTTCCAGGTGATCACGTTCACGTCCGAACTTGATGCGTGCACATTCACGGCTGATCGCTTCTTGTTACGTGTATCCCAAATCTTGACGGTCTGATCAGATGAGCAGGACGCAAAGACGGTTGTTTCTGTAGGTGACCATTGGAGATCTTCGACAGATGATCTGTGTTCTCTAAATGCAACTGAATCTGTCTGCACACCCGTGGGCGTGAGTAATGTCTGATATATTTTTCCGCTGTTATCACCTGTCAAGAGACTGGGATGCAAATATGAGTATATATACAACAAGCTCATTTTAAACTTACCGGCCAACATCAAGTCTGGACCAATCCATAGCATAACCCTCGTCACGTCCGTGCTGGTTGATAGTGCATAATGGCTTTTGAGACATCTTGGCAGGCGTACCGGGCACTTCTAAACTGTCTACTGCTTGTGTTAAATCATAAATGTGCACCTTGCCCGTCTCGGACCAAGTGGACGCAATATGTTTTTCTTGAGCGTAAGGCATGAGTCTGATTCTATTCACGCATCCGTTATGTGGTATCGATCGGTGTTCAAGAACTGGATCTTCGTCTAATGCATCTGGATCATCCTCATCGTCGGAATCTAGAACATGTCAGTCTCTCAAGTTGAGGCTCGCTTAAATGCATATATATATACCATCCTGTTGGGTTTTATGTAAAGAGGACATCTTCATCACTAGTACTTCATTATCTCTGACGCCGGGGATAGATGTACCTGCAGCTATATAGGCCGTAGCAGGGAACTATACATATAGAGTGTTAGGTACTCTCCATTTATTTTATTTTTCTACTTACATTTTTTCTTTCATCGCCCAATTTGTCTTGTAAGATGTCAAAACTCAAGAAAGGAGAATGAACTTCGAGATTATGAAGCATGACATAGACGGAAGGATCTGCTTCCAAGACCTCACCTTCTGCTAAAGGTTGTCCTGGTAAATACACTTTCAAGTCAGGTTGTACTTCTTCTTCATCGTCTACCTCCATTCCTTCACCTAAAGCCATGTCAGTTTTTATATATACATGTATATATTTTTTCTTTTACCGTCTTGCTCTTCTTCTTGTTGTTCAATCACCTCTTCTTCTTCGATTTCGTCTTCCCAATTATCCTCAAACTCTCCCATCTCGTTCTTTTCTTCTTTTCCATATCGGCCTTCAAAGGAAGAAACCTTTGATTGTTCTCTTATATCGGGTTGATCAGCTTGACGTTTTGACATTTATAAGTGAAAAATTATTTTTTGATGGAAGGGGGAAACTGTGACAATACAAAAAAAAAGAGAAAAGGCAGTCCAAAGTTGTCACACACACTTCTCCGACGTTTCAAGGCGTGAAAAGACAATAAAACCTTGAACAGATTATATCTGATTCAGTATCCCAGTCGTCATCGATACTACAATCTCCCCCCCCCACATAATCATGTATTTAATAAAGACTTTTGTCTATGTGTCAAAAATGCAATGTATGTGTGATTTTCTTTGCAGTGCGCACTCAACATTTATTGAAAAAACACTGTTAAATCAAGGGGAGAAAAAAAAAAGGGAAAGGGGAGAGGAGAAGGGAAGAGGGAAAACAAAACTTGAGGAAAAAGAAAAAAAGGGGAAGACCAATGTCTTTTTATGTGCTTTGATATTGAAGGGGAATAAAAAAGGGGGAGAAGTGTGTATATGAGTACAAAAGAAGAAAAGTGATAATAAACACTATATTATATAAAAGGTGAGAGAGAGAGAAAAGAAAAAAAAAAGTGTGAGAAAGAAGTATTTATATAATTATTGAGTTGCACGCTTGATCATCTACAATAAAATGTGAGTAGACTTGTAAAATACTTCATATGATGCTTACCTCTTTAGCCCAGCGTGCTGTTTCTTTAGTAGACTGTCCACAGTGTCGGCTTGTTCTAGCTTCCTTTAACAATTGTGCGATCCAGTCTTGTAAGAAAAAGTCCTTTAGTTGTAATCCAAATGTTTCAGCGAGATCACTGTACAAAGTTTAATACCATGTATTTTCAAAACAAATACAACTTACCCCAACAACCCAATGATAGATCTTGTAAGTGAATCGCCCTTTGTTGGATCAGCGGCAATGACATGAATGAACTCAAAGACGGGAGGAAGATAAGGCAGTAAGGCAGGAGCAGAGGGTGTATGATTTAATCCTTGAACAATGCCGACATATGCTTCAACAACGCCTTCATATAATGAATGAACGTAGTCCAGCATGTCATAGTTGTCCTTATCAGCTCGCATACTACCTGCCTGTTGTAAGACCATCATGACAACTTCCAAATATGTGTTGAACAGTTCACCGATTGCCAATGCGATATCACCAAAGCAAGACAGGATTGCAGGCTTGACTGTACGGTGAAGAATAGGGCTCTGGAGGTTAGATACGAGCAACTGCATGAGATTGTTGCAGTAAGGGTAGACATCTTTGCCAAGGGCACGACTGACATCGCCAATGATACCCACCGCAATGAAACATAATTGGTATTCAGCAGGATTTTGTAAGGCATTACAGAGATTAGGTATAAAGGGTTCAGCATAGCGGGCAAAACCGCTTTCGAGAGCACTGGTCAATGCGCCAACAGCCAAGAAGGCGTCTTCAGTAGTCGTCGCTTGCTTGGACTGATTATTGAGTAATTGAAGAATGACAGTCATGATACGATCGGCAATGGCACTGATATCGCCACCCAACCGACGGATGCAGTTGGTCAAGACACCCAAAAGGCTTGATTGCAATTCAGAGTGGTTGGCTCGGTCATCAGCATCGAGAATTTGGTTTTCCATAGCCATCGTGGTCTCCAATCGATCTAAAACAGTCAGGACAATTCTTTGAACCGTAGGAATGCAATCCTATATATATACATGAGTTTGTGGTCATTTTTTTTTAATAAAAAATATCCCTTACATTGGCAGAGTACATGGCAAGTGTTGAAATGGCTTCATAAGCAGAGGTTCTACAGTTGGCTTCATTATCAGCTCTTTCAGTAAATTGTAATAAAGCAGTGATGATGCCGTCAAAGTAGAGTGAGAGAGGAGACGTAGGCGCTTCATCACCCAAGACAGGTCCCAATTGTTCAGCCAAATTCATTAAAGACTAAAATACGTTATTACAAATAATTTCTCTCTCTTTTTATAATCTTACCCAGCAGCAGTTGCCGACGATACGAGGGCTATCTTGAAGACCAAAGACAAGAGCAGCAATCAATTCATTCAAATGAACATCTGGTTTGATACAGTGAATGAGTAACTCACAGATACGACCGAGTGTCCAAGCAACAGTATCTTTCACATGGACAACACTGTCTCTCATCATTTGAATCAATGTAGGCAAAGCTTGATCAACCAGAGGAGTTAACACATTTGCATCAGGACCATCCAAGATAGAGCCGAAGGCCATGACGGCTGCTTCACGATTTCTCCAGTTTTCGTTGCGGATGTTGCTTTCGATAAAAGGCACGACTTGCGAGATCACAAGGTTACCAACACATTGAGCGAGTAAAGAAAGACAGGTGGCAGCAGCCATAGCCACTGTCCATTCATCCTCATCGTAATCTTCTTCTTGTTTCGTCAAAAGCCATAACAGGTTGGGTAAAATCTCGGGAAGCGCCAATTCAGCAAAATGATGGAGCTCGCGTTCGGGTTGTTCTCCTGCTTCCTGAGCCTAATAAATATGTTATTTTTTTTTGGTCTTTCTCTCTTTCTCTTTCTCTCTCTTTCTCTCTTACTTCATATACGTCATCTTTGATATCAATTTCCTCATCACAGACCGTTGACCAGAATTCGATGGCTTGTAATGCAACACGTTCATCTTCGTTATTCATACCGGTGATGGTGAGCTAAGAGAATTGTATAAGCAACATGTGTATAAATATATATATCTTTTGCTTACCCCAAACAAGGCCTTTTCCATATACACGCGCATTTTGTCATAGTAAGTTTGCATGATACGGACTAAACACTGGAAAGCAACCACTTGAAGATCAGGATAGTCACTTTGAGTTGCCTCACAGACAACTTGCATAATGAAGTTTCTTTCTCCCTGGTATAAAGAATGTTTAGCATATTCTCCCCAAAAATGTTTTTGTTGTCATCACTTACCTCGCGTTCAAAATTTGCCTTGATGAAATCGAGTGAATTGATCAAAGCATTGATAGCTGCCATACGAACCTCTGGACTAGAAGCAAGGGTTAAGACATTGGCTTGTTTTTTTTTCATTTTTTCATTTGCTTACCTTGGTTCTTCACTGCGTGCACCTTGAACAATAGCAGTGAGAATACCATTGGATTGGTTGACGAGAATATTGGGATCCTGATAAGTGTGAGTGAATAGATGTATAATAAAGCAAGTTCAACTTACAATAGCTTCACAGACATATCCAATAGCTTGTAATGTAGATTGTTTTAATGTTGAATCTGTTGTTTGAATATTGGCAAGCATGGTTGAGATAAGGTCTGGCCAAGCATTCAAAGGTAGTTCAATTTCGGCAATAGCAGCAATCACCTATTGAAAGCAAGTTGAGTATCTCTTGTATTTTTTTTTTTTTTTGGCTCTTTCTGTTCTTTACCTGGCCTGCAATACTACCAACTGATTTTTTAGGAGAAGCTAAACCTTGAAGTACCTATAAGAAACTCTTTTATCAATATTACACATTTACTTTTTATCTCAATCTATAACTTTACACCTTGCTTGATTTGATTACGAAGATCAACAGGCATGGACAACCATCTCTGAGAGAATTCTTCTTTACGAGCAAAATCCTATTTACAGAGTTTTGTAAGAGATATATATATATATTCTCATTGTTGTCTCTCTTTCTATTTATACCTTTGCTGTTAGACTATTCTTTAAAGCAAGACCTGCAGACATTCTAGCAGCGTCATCAGCGCTTTCATTAGCAAGGATTTGACATAAAGAACCAGCATAGGTAGGCTATTATATATAAATATCAATTGTATATTCTAATTGTGTGTGTCTTGGTATTTACGTAGTTGTCTTGTGCCAATAATTCTAATTGACGAGTGGCTTCTTCACGTATGACACGATCTATTCAAATAAGAAGAGTTAGACCCTATCATACATGTCAATCTAGAACTCACCATTTGAAAGTGAATTGACAAGAAGTGTGGTTGCGTCCATTTCCTTGAATGTTTATCTATTTTACATGTCAACAATATTTTATATACAACAATCTCTTTCTTACCAATCTTTAGTAATTCAAAAAAAAGGGACTCGAGAAAAAAAAGAAAAAGATCTTTAAAGAATAAAGAAAGCGACTTTTTTAAAATACTAGAAAAACAAAAAAAAAAAAAAAGTTTTATAGAACACTACACGATTTTTATTTTTTTCCTCTTCCGCATTGAGACGCGAAAGTGAAGCATACAAAAATGATGACGTAGATGACAGTTTGGCATGCCTTATTTTGCTCCCCCTTTCTGAATTTTAGAAATAGGAATTTTTCTTTTATCTTCTTTGTGTTTGCATATTTATATTTGGCGGAGGCTGCATCTCTTCATTAGTTGACAACAGCCGTCTTAGTTCATTATATATTTGTAATAGTCTGCTGTTATTTTCAGAAGCTAAATGTATACGACTTTCTAAAGCTTGTCTTCATACACCCGTGATGCTTGTCAGCAATTTATCCGCTCTACCCCCAGCTTCAGATGGTACTTCTGATTGAAGTACATCAGAGCTTTCAGTAACTGCTTCCATATCATTACATTACTCTCCACAGTATTCTGGATAAGTGTTATCTCATCCATGGTATGAATTCTCAAGCTAGAGTCAATTTCTTGGTAATGTCGTAAGAACACTGTAGCATTTCTCTATATTATCGTAACATTCTACCTTGGCTGTAAACCACACAGCTTTTATCAAAGCGATAAACCAAATACATATGCTTACAGGCACGCTTATTTTGTTGAAAGTCTATACAGGTACAAGCAGTCATCATTCTTTACTCAGTTGATATATCGTATACAACTTCTGTTGTGAAAAACTTGACAATATAACAGACTTCTTCATCGATATATACTTTCTGCATCATATATTCTAATGACAGCTCATTGATCTCTTCTGCTGCGATCATTCTCTTTCTTGCCGCTCTAGTCTTTGAGCTCATACGTCCGATATTAGCAGCCATCCTAGCGGTATTGTGCGTAAAATCAGCATGAATATCATCGGCCAAGATAGAGATTAAGCGATTCAGTCTTCTATTTCTCTTTCTTTGTAAGTGGTTTGTCTTCAATTGGTTGTTCCAACTCTCAATATAGTTGTTCGTTTCCAGATTGATGAAAATTTGTGGCTGGTAGGCAGCAGACCAATGTATGAACTTATCATATTTAAGATAGTGTCACAAAAAGGTACATCATAAGCTTTTTAATACTCACCAAGAGTTTTTTGGAGCTATAAAAGCCTCTGAGTAAACAACCTTTTTGGTCTCTCATACATCAAACCCTTCAGCGCGGCTATCATGCCCCTATAAGCAGTGCTGTTTCTTGCCGTGTTTCCAGTGAAAGTCGAATGTTCTCTGACCAAATATGGATAAGGGACTTGAAAGCAACCTAAAACAGTTGGTGATATTGACGATGATGATTCGTTCATGCTTAAAGTTGATTTTATCTTAATTCATTTTATCAAACTTCTCGTTTCATCATTTTTAATTCTCCACTAAAGACAACAATAAGGTACCCAAAGTTACTTGAACGGCAGTAAAGAAGCGAAAGAGATTACAAAGCCTACATGATCACTACCATGAGTTAATATAAACAAAATACCGTGAGATTACTACTGTTTCTGGTATAGCAAAGGAAAATCCTTTGATTTGTCGTCAAAATGCAATTGTTATTACTACTTTTACACATCAGCAATAATCAATTAACTTCATATTTAACAACAACAACATAAATACTGTTGTTAAAGCTGTTGAATTTGTTTTTCTCTTCTTTTATTTAACCAAATGCCACGTAAGTTATCCAACACATTGAATCACTTCCTTTTGAAGCTCAATTTCAATATAGTCAAGAGACTAGCACCATCCTCTTCCGCACCCAAGTCTAAAAAGCAAAAAATACAAACTGAATCTTCGTTAGAAGGCATTTCATTACAGCCTGATAAAAGCTACTTTACTCGAAAGTGTAAGATATCCTCCTTTTTAAATCAAGGCTATAAAGAGTACCGAGTACGTAATTTTGAATGCAAAAGAACTTAGATCTAGTACTCACATATACGTTTTTCTTTTTACACTACTAGCAAATTCTGAGAGTTTTGGCAGAAGAATTCTTGTTATTACGTGCGTATGCAATGAATTTAAGGTTACTTATTATAAGTAACTGGATTGAAAAAGGCTGTAAAAAAGATCAGTTTCCGTCTGTAGCAACACAAAAATTCTGGACACATTGTTATAGAAAAGTTGCACAAGATCCTAATGACCTAAACAGTCGAATTGTAAGCTTTGCTTGTATGTTGTCTACACTTACTCACTTGATATGCCCAGAACCCATTAACGTCATTGGTGAATACTATGAAAAATTCAATGTGACTAGAAAGTGTGCTCTAACAACAGGTTAACACCAAAATATAGATTTGGCATAATCCGCTGATCACTTTACGATAGAGTACCTTTACGAGATTCCTGTGTTAGATTATATGCATACAGCGTTTGCGAGCAACTATGCAAACTCAATAACTCGAAGTATTTACAAATAATCTCTTCATTTTATTATATAATCTTATTATACTATATAGATGTTTCTATACACGCAACAAGAAACGTAAGATTATATCTGTATAGAGCCTTTTTGGGTTTTCTGAGGAACGCAAAGGAAGAACAAAATAGTACATACAACGAAAGGCCCACTGGTAAGCTAATACATAACTTTTTTATCTGCTATATCTCGATGTCAACTTACAATAATATACTAGCTAATAAAACAGCGGATAGCGTAATACAATATGAGAAGTTTGAATATTTGGATATCCAAATAGACAGTTTTGAACAATATTACACATATGCTCATAGCAAATATTGCACTTCCACACTGGACTGATTTGAATGGATCATTTAGGAAAATCCTTGGGATATATATATCGATATTTTTGATAAAGAAAAATACGAAAAAATCTCTGACTACGGCTATGCAAAGAATAATAGTTACAAGCTGCTGTGCTTGAGCTCACAATTATTAAAAGAAGCATATAAATATAACGTCAAAACCTAGCCACAGTATTGGTAAGTCGTAACTGAGTATGCATAAACCCATTAATGCTCTTAATTACTGGTAGTTTTTGCGCCGCTCAGTGGCAATGATTGTATGTATGATTTATTGAAACGAGCATACAAAAACAAGCTCCCAATTCCTACGCAACGTTTAACAGAAGAGTACAGCTTCGAAACACAAAGAGTAAGCATTATTTATACCTTAATTATATGTTTACTAACGCTGACGCTTGTAGAGAGAAACAGTCCTAATTGGGCCAATCAATTTCAAGGGCTGTTATGGGAGCACTGTATGGCAAGACAAGCAGTGGGAAACCTTGTTTAATATTAAACATGTATAAAACAAGCGTAATAAACCCGATGAAGGTATACTGAAGGTATCCTTTGAATAATGTCAAGTTCTTTAATCTTTATTTTTATACGATAGACTATAAAAATACTAATATCGAGCTCGATTATGACTGGAAAACGGATGGGTACATGGTCGCAGTCTTGTTTAAAAGAAAAACTGTTGGTAAATAGAAAGATACGATTTATACGTGCAAAGATACTTATTAGTTTTTTATAATAGAACGCATCCCACTGGATGAGAATGAAATGAGCCTGTCAAAGAGAAGAGTAAACCTGACGACTTGGAGCAAAGGCTCATATTCATTAAAGAAAGAACCAACAGGTTTAAGCATGACAGACAGAATAGTGGGCATAGACCCATGTATGGATATTACGCGAGGGAACTCATGGAAGTACTCACGCCGCATATAGGGATTCGTGGCATCTTCGTTATGGTAGATGGCTCGTCAGAAGATGTCAATAACAAGAAAACAGTGAAGGAAAGATTAGTGAAGTTTTCAAACAATGAATACAAGTATATGTTTGTTTTCCAGTAGTATATTGATGTCTCTTTAGAGCGCGCTTAGGCTTTGACCGGTCAAAGCAGATAGAATTAAAGAATAGAGCAGCTGCTGAAATGCAGGCAATATATGATGAAATACCGAGTTTAGGCAGTGGGAACAGCAGTACAGTCCTAAATTATTTGCAAGCACTATCCAAATATCGCAAAAAGTAAGTAGCTGTATGGTCATTATTATCGTGCTTAAATGTTGTAATATATAGAATATTTTGCTTTATGAGGGGATACAGGCATCGTGAAGCAAAAGGATATTTGTATAGTAATCGACAAATTACAGACGAGTACATGTGCCAACTTGTGCTGGCGAAAACCTCTCCTGGAGCTCATTGCGCGTTAGCGCATAAGACAAGCACAAAAATAAGACAGAAAGTAAGAAGGTCCTTTAAAAAGAACAATCATGCAAACCAGGCTGATGATGGCAGGAGAACAGTGATTGCATATGGCGATGCAAGCTTACCAGGAACGAAGAAGGAGTCCACCCCTATACTAGTAAAGGTATACTAATATGGAACCTTTAACCAGTCGTACGTACTAATGATCTCGTTGATATACAGAGGACACAGAGAGCATTGGCAAAAAAAGCAACTATTATCTCTATCGATGAATCTCGAACAAGTATTACTTGTTGCAAATGTCATAGGAAGTTGGACCAAAAGTATGAAGCACAGACACTAGTGTGCAATCATAGGTATGTAATCGATATGATTAAATTACAATTGCTGACATGAAGCCTCTTTTTGTTCCAAAAGAAAAAGATTATGTCTAGGAGGAAAAAAGAATGCTGCACAGCAGTACTTAGACGATGACCATCATCTCACCTGTTGAACATCACAGTGTCCAGAAAGAAGGCCAAGCAGTAAGTCGTATAACATATGGAGTCAAGTTTGATTGGTGCTCAGCTATACCTATAGATTTGCTACCTGCCATTTACCAGTTGAAACATTGCAAACTGTGTCCAGCTGCTAATGGTCAAGATATTGTAAGTACTCATCTATAAAACAAGCGAAAATAGCCCTAACGAGAATAATAACAGGTCTGGCAAAGAGATATCAATGCAGCAATTAACATTCGTTCAATCCTGATATCATAGATTGAATCAGGTAAAAAAATTTCATCAAGACATCTCTTTGACGAGAGGAGGAACCTTTAGTGGTCAGGGCGTCACCGTACAGCCACTTTGATTGGTCCTTGGGATCCTTATGTCATCATTTCGATGGTGATTTAAGCATGTCCTGACAGTTTGTTGCTTCTAAAGAAAAATCATTCAGGATAGTACAAATTCAATGTCTGTCTTTAGCAAGCTGAAATCATTTGTAAATCCCTTGATATCGTTTGTTGAATATTCTCTGTGTGAGGAATAGTCTTGACTATCGAATCAAAAAAGATAAAGAAAGTACTAGTGTTTTCTATTGGACTCTTGATACACTTTCACTGTAAACACAAGACAGAGCAAAACCTATATGCTTGAAATACAAAAGCTTGGAAGGAAAAAGAACAGCTTATCATTGGTTTATCTGCTACTTTAACACATGATCGAACGCTACGACGCTTTTTTAACTATCTCACACATGAATGGGCTCTGTTAGCCTCTGTTTCTCTTGTTATGTCTATATATGTTCTCTTCTTTGGCCTGTGATGTGTAGTACCGACTTGAATACCAAATCTGATGTCTAGGTCAATTCTGATATATCAACTTTGCAGATGGCATGTTGTAAACGGTGTATTTTGACAACATTTACTCAACCCTTATTTAAAAACTTTTCTTTTCTCTCTCTCTTTATTTCCCTCTTCTTAAAAGACAGGACACAAATCAAGTAAAAAGAATCCTCTTTCAAGAATAATGGGTCCACCTTTGATGCTTTGAAAACACTGCTGCTCCTGCTTTCCTACTGCTACCTTTTTTTATTTGAACATATATATTTTTTCACACTTGATATAAAAGACTCTCTTTTTTGGTGATCTGTGAATGATATACCATAACAAAAAGAATCTTTATTTTGCCATTTATGTTAAACAAGGTTCAAGAGTCTATTCCACTCTGAGTGAATAATAATAAAAAACAGGGGGCAAAAGAATTTGATATGATTATCATGTGACTCTGCAAAAATCAGTCATTGTCCTTTCCTTGTGTATCACTGTGTCTTTTTCTCTTCTTTTTATATATTTCAACATGACTAAAATATTTGAATCAAGGAAACCTGAGCCTTATATCAAATCCTCTTGCAAGCAGTGCATAACGCCAATAGAGTTTTATCCTGAAGGTATAAAGACTGGACAAAAAGTATCTGTCAAATGCTGGGCTTGTAATCAAGTGGATCAATATGAAGTGACGGATCCAACAAAGACTACAAATAACAACAAGACAAAGATACCTAAAATGAAAGGAACAGGTAACAAGAATAAAACTTTGTCAACAGCTTATTCTAACTGTACACATCAATAGACCAAAAACCTGTGTCAACTGAATATTACGATTTACTTGGAATAAACCCTTTAGCAAGTCCAGAAGAGATCAAGAAAGCATACCGTAAAATGGCAGTTAAATACCACCCAGATAAGAATCAACATGATCCATCAGCAGAAGAAAAAGTAATAAAGAAAAAACGAGATATGCATAAAAATATATACTTATCAATCTAGTTCAAACGCATCTCTGAAGCATACCAAATTCTTTCAGATCCAAAACTACGAAAGAGATACAATGAATATGGCCAAGAAAACGGTGTGAAGCCAGATGGTGGATTTGGTAAATATTGAAAACGTTGTTATATCGATCCTATTAACATCTTCAAGTTGATCCTGAGGACTTTTTCAAACAGTCATTTGGTGGTGACCGATTCTTTGATATTATTGGAGAAATTTCGATTGGTAAAGACATGAGAGAAGCATTGGAAACAGCCGAAGAAGATGATAGCCAGATGACGCCCGAAGAAAAGGCAGCGAAGGAAGCTCAGAGAGCCGAGTCAGAACAGGAAAGAAATCGGGCACGAGAGGAACGTGTGGAGACGTTGTCAAGGAAATTAAAAGATAAGCTCAACATATATGATACCAAAGGTGAGAAGGAATTCAAGGACTACATCAAAAAAGAGGCTGAAGACTTGAAATTTGAAAGCTATGGTGTTGAGCTATTGCATGCTATTGGGTTTGCGTATGATATGAAGGTGAATCAGTATGCTAGTAAAAACTTTGCTTTTGGCCTCGGAGGCATGTTTCATTCTATTAAAGAAAAGGGATACATCTTCAAACAGACAGTGGGTACATTGAGGACTGCTTACGACTTACAATCCACCTTTGGCGAACTTCAAAAAGCAGAAGAAAAGGGGTTATCAGAGGAAGAGAGAGCAAAACTTGAAGAAACAGCTGCACAAAAGGTATAAAAGTTACAAAAAGAGTTCAATCTTGTTGACTTCCTCTACTCAAAAAAAGGGCTTAGAAGCTATCTGGCGAGGATCAAAATTAGAAATTGAAGGTGTTTTGCGTGATGTTTGTGACGAAGTATTAGGAGATACCAGTTGCAGTAAAGAACAGATTACTAGTCGTATTCATGCTTTGGGCATTATTGCATCCATTTATCAAAATGTGAAGCCAGAAGATCAAACAGTTCCTAGCTCTTAATAAACTCATATCTTTGCTATTGCTTTGTAACCTAAAATGAAACACTTGTAAGTCGTTTTTTTTTTTTTTTTTTTTTTTTTTTTTTTTTTTTTTGAGGCGATTCAAGGTTGTCCAATTTGTCAAGCTTATTTCGGTTTTGCAGCCATTTGGCAGCGCTCATTCCGCTTGTTGACTATCAAGGAAGGGGCAGCGCTCTGAAATGGCCAACGTGATTCTGAACGGCGATAAAAAAATAAAATGCAAAGAATAGAAAGAAAACAAGCAGAAACAAAAGTCAAAGAAGGCGAAAAAGGGAATGTGGAAATCGTTCAAGCTCAAGTTTAACAGGAGCGTCTACACATTAAGAGATGTTAACATCAATCTTTACTTATAGATTTCGTATTGAATATCAAAGGAAAAACACATATTATAAAAGAAAACCTTTCAAATATCAAATAAGGTTCCATTGGCTGTACTTGGCGATGGAATGAAAGGGAAGGATGCAATAAAAGTAAAGTGCCAAATGTCTGATGTGACACGAGCTTTATACAAAGAACTTCAACAGAGGATGAAGGCTTTGACGGCTGGATTGGTCAATATCAATGAATACAACACTTTGAAAGTAAGCCAACAAGCCAGCATCAATCAATATTTGATAACGACTAAAAAAAATGAATTGGGTCTGTAGCTGTTGCCATACAAAAGATCTTGCACCAACAAAACTCCCAAATGGAACAATATCCCATAGTATGTTAGATCGTAAACCCGCCATATATTATGTGATAGATATATTAATGCTAGCAAAAACATGGATAATATCTCATGTTCCTTTTGGGATGGCCAAGGTCGACTCTCAATTTTCAAGAGAATCGTTGTAGAGGAAACGATTCTTTCTTGTTCAAACAAGAGAGATTAAAAATTTTTACAGATATATTAAATAAATAATACTTTTTCTTATATGGTTTTATCTAACGTTAGTTTGCACATTTTTCCGGTGACAGTGTGAGGTTAAAAGTTAGATGAATTTTGATTCTCCCCACAAAGCAAATACACCACTTCTACATTTTAACCTTGAATCGTCTCGAAAAAAAATAGACATTTTTTCTTTTCAAAAATTATTGGCACACAATATAAGATCAATAACTCTACTGATCTTGATTATCAATCCTTTCTTTATTATTAAAAAGACAATGAATTCTGTCTTTTTGAAGAATATATAAAATAAACGTGGTCAGCACTTATATATAACACGTAGTTGAAAAAGCTGTTAGAGACTTTATATAAAAAGTCCTTGACTTCCTTTCTCTTCTTTTCTTCTTTGAACCAAAAAGTAAGACCAGCTATTCTCCAGCCAGTCCTAAGGTATGTTATATTCTTTACTCTTGTAAGCAACTGATATGTAGTATTATATATCATAAAATCAAAACTAACTCGATTCTAGCTGATAATAGTTTGGTTCTTATCAAACTTTGATCCCATCTTCTCCCTTTCTTACTCTCTCCCTTGGTTTTTCTTTGCTCACTTCTTTTTTTTCTCCTCTTTCACCGGGCTTGTTATCGCCAGCCCAACCCAGGATACACTTCGGGTAAGCTATTAATAATCCTTTTTAAATGTCTATTATTTTTCTCTCATAACTCTCTCCTTTATAATGTAAGTATTTAATATCAATGTAAAAACTGATTTACTGATCATTTCTTTGTTGCCTCATTTGCACATAATTTCTAAATATAGTGTACAAGCGCCTCGCCTTTTCCTCTCTTCTCTCGACATCTTTTGGCCAAGTCCTTGTTCCGTTCCCTTCTTACTCGGTTTCCTTCGCTTTTTTCCTTCCTTTCTTCCCTTTGATCTCAAAAGGATTTTAGATCCCATGCACTTTCTTGATCTGGCTCAGGCGGGATTAAATTCTATAGCTTCAATGTGCCCATAGTGGTATTTTATCTTTAATAAAATACTTGTTTAATCGTGCAAGCGCTTCATTTTAGATAAAAAGCGCTGTGTTAAAGTTTGTTTGTATTCGATACAACTCAGCTTTTTTTGGGGAGCCAGTAAGAACGAGTATAGGGTGGTACTATGACTACAAACGGGGTATGAGTCACTCTTAGTTCTATTGGAGAGCATTTTTTGCATATAAAATAAAGCCGGATTTTTGTTTTTGACAGGGCCATTTGTTTTTCAATATCATGTCAAAATCTATTACTCCACCTTTAGCCAGTTTTGACTGGCACAACATGGGCTTTCAATATAGAGACCTTAATGGTTACATGAAATATACTTGGACTGAAGAACATGGCTGGGATAAAGGAACGTTTGAAAAGGATTCTACAGTTAATGTTCATATCTGTGCCACTGGTTTAAATTATGGACAACAGGTAGAAAAAGCACAGGTGGATAAAGCCGCCATTAACATTTGTTTATTAGTGTTTTGAAGGACTAAAGGCCTTCCGTGATAGCGAAGGACGTGTTCGTATCTTTCGTCCTGAAGACAATGCAGAAAGAATGATTCATAGTGCTAACATGGGATATATGCCAGCCGTACCTAAAGAAGTCTTTTTAGAAGGTGTCCGCAAGACGGTTGAGGCTAATTTGGAATACGTCCCACCCAAGGAAACAGGCGGGTCGCTCTATATCCGTCCTCTTTTGTTTGGCAGTGGACCTTTTATCGGCATGGGCCCAGCTCCTGAATTTACATTCGTTGTCTTTGCTATGCCAGTGGGTGCTTTCTATAGTGGAGGTGTTAAACCAGTAGATGCTGTTGTCATTGAGGATTTTGATAGAAGTAAGTTCATTTAAAGAAAGCATATTGCGTAAGACTAATGTATAATCCAGGTGCTCCTAAAGGTACTGGAAGTGCTAAACTGGGAGGCAATTATGCGCCTACATTTGGACCCGTATTTAAAGCAAAGAAGGATGGTTATGCACTTACTCTACATCTGGATGCAAAGACTCACACGTATATTGACGAATTCTCGACTTCCAACTTCATTGCCTTGACTTATCCTGGTAAATACACATAAAGAAGCTTGTTTTCTTTGCTAACAGTGTATTATAAATAGATGCTGAAGGCAAACGTACCTTTGTTACACCAAACTCTAACTCTATTCTCAAATCAGTCACTCGTCGCTCACTTGAAGATATTGCGGAAAAGCTGGGATGGAAAGTAGAGGAAAGAGCAGTTGAATTTAAAGAGCTGGAAGAAGGCAAATTTGCAGAGGTTGCAGCTTGTGGTACGGCTGCTATCATCACACCCGTCAAAAAGATTGTTCGTGGCGATCAAGTTATCATGGTCGGTCCTCAAGATAATATTGGTGAAGGCTTAAAGAAGCTTTATGACGAATATCGTGGAATTCAAGGAGGTGATATCGAAGACGCCTTTGGTTGGATGTGGCCAAAGGAAGGCTTATAATCTTTAATAAAAATCATTTATTGTATTCTATCCATTTTGATCATTTACTTTGTGGTGAACACTACGCGCACGAGGAAATTTGACAATAAATTTTGAAACTGAGATCATATAATCTCCTTTATCCATTACTAAAATGAGCTACAACAGCGAAAACACTCTTACTGCTAAAACCTTTAACGTCTCTGAAGATGATCTTTCTCAATCTTTCTTGAGTCTTGTTAAGATCGCAGATGAGTCTGGTAATTTTGCTGAGAGAATCTACTCAACGAAAAATGAAGTTCGTGATGCTGTCAATGAATGCGGTGAAATGCACAACATTTTCAGCACAAAGAATTCCAATGCCTTTGCAATTCACTTAATTTATAAGTATGCGGGAATATACCGTAAAGTAAGAATTGAAGAGGAAGAAACCACTGACATTCAGAATGAGACAAAGAATAAAGGCATGAATGCAAAAAACGAAAGATTAATGAAAGATCAGAGAATCGGTTGTACCTGCTTTGTAAAAGCCAAACCTAACAAGTTGGAGCAATGGATAATTCATGCTTGGGATGCCACACAATCATTCATTTCCTCGTCAGAGAAGTATCTTTAGTGAATATAGAATCCAACCTGAAGTTGTTAAGGCAAAGATCAGAGATCTCTTTCAGCTTGGACATAATCCTCAACAGGTCCTCAATTACCTTCAATCCGAAAAGATCGATAACATTACGAAGAAAGATCTTAAGAACATGCATTACCACTTTTATGCCTCTGAAAAAGGAAAGAAAATGTTTGACTATATGGTTGGCTTGCAAGAGAAGAACTATATAATTCATTACATTGTCAATGCCAATAATGAATTAGACGATTTTTTTCTGCCATGAGAAAGCTAGACGCATGCTTGAAAGCTTAATCATTGATACAACGTACAAGTCAAATGCCCACAAATTAGCATTCATAAACATAGTTGGTACAAGCAATATGATGTCCCGCAGGAGCTTGGGTGAATGAAGAGCAAACATACAATTATAAGTGGGTCCTCAACTGCTGAAAAGAGATAATATGGCCAGCAGCACTTGAGCAGCGGATTCCTCTTCCTTCGGCGATTGTAACCGATAACGACAAGGCACTTAGATCCACAATTGTATCCGCCTTTCGTTGTTCGTTGAACATTTTATGCTACGTTCATTTGCAACGAAACTTTGAACGTAATCTCATGCAAGAAGTATCTGAAAAAGAAAAAGAAAAAAGAGAGCTGATCAAGCTCGACATTCAAAAAATGTTTCAAAAAATTGCTTTGACAGCTGAAACAGAGCAGCAAATGAAAGAAGCTGCAAAAGAATTCAAAGAATATTTTCTTATGTATGGAATTTGTAAACCAATTATAGTTAACAAAACAAATAATGCGAAACGACAAGGCAAAATTATTTGATATAGACTTTGAAGGCTGAAGATAATGAAGAAATTGTTGATTTGACTTTAATTCCAAAAGAAAATAAGACAACCAAATATATAGACATGTGAGTACCATCTACAAGCTTCTTCTAATTCCTAATGCAAAATTTTCTTTTTATTTTTTTAAAAAGAAAAAACAAAATAGGATGATGAAAGAAGGAAAACACTGGACTAGATTCCACACCTACAAGTCCCCGCACCTCGACAACCGCCCTACAGATAGAGTTGAAGGCTCACACTCTTCAATGAAATACTCAATTGTCTCATCATTCAGTACTATCAAAATAGTAACAGACAAAATTGACTGATGGCTGGAAAAAAAAAAAAAGTAAACTGTGTTATATAAATATTTTTGCTACATATTATATTTACCCTTTGGTATTTGTAATAGGATGATGTACGCCAATACAAAACAACAATTGAAAGTCTTTCCTATAGAACCTCCCACCTGAAGCAATCAGATGTTTATTAAAAAAATCTTTGGTTTAGTTCGGGAGGTGCGCTCTTTTGTCTTGGATCGTATATTTAGTGAGCTTGTGAAATTGAAAGAATCAAATGTTCCAGTCGAGTATACCGAAACCTGTCTTTGTCCTACAAGACTTAACTTCAATCTACCTTGAAAGCGCATCCTTTCATTGCACACTGAAAGCATTCCCCTCCATATTGTAGCTTGTTGAATACAAAGTATCAATTAAAAAGAATAAAGACTAGAATTAACCAGACTAAAAGATATATATCGATTGACTTTATTAAAGACGAATATTTATACTAAATGTAAGACACTCTTCAACTGAGATCGTAAAACTTTTCATAGAGGCTTATGAATGACAATTGAGGCAATGAAAGAGTTAGGACGAATCGGGTGCCTTTGATAAGACGATGATCCCTAATAACAATGATGGATCAGAGTTATTGGATACGCGTACCTTAAAATGCAGTTCCTGGTAATTAACTTAAATAATGATCCGCACAGTTGTTTCAAAGTAACAAGCTGAAGCCGAATAATTGCCAGCTACTGTTTCATATGTGGTTAATAGTTGATCCACTAAGTATGAATACAACATAGCCCCCTTCTAGACGAAAGCACAGGTACTTTGTCTAACTATATAGGCTGTGATTTACCGTAAGGATTGTCATGTTGCTTATGTGTGAACATTTTAATTTATGCATGGTAGCATCTTTGTCAGTAGTAGGATATTCCAGTAAAAACCTAATAAAAAAAACCTAATAGGAGAAAAAGGACTATATCTACTTGATCTAATGATTATCTGGAAGTTCTATTTCGCTTACTACGAAAGGGAATCTGACGTGAATTGACTGTTTGTGGTAAAGTCTTTCGTTTGTTAGAAGAGATAGTATCCTTTTCAGCATTACGACGACCCCAATACAATTCAATGTTTGGTTGAGTCAAAGTGTTCTACTGGTTCCCATGTATCATCGGATGGATCAGGATAGCCTTTCCATTTCACCCTGTATTCGTAATTTCCATGTGTACCTCTATGATCAATAACTGCTTGGACTTCATAATGTTCATCCTTTAGTTTCTCTATGTTGTGAGATGTAACATTTGCAGCAGACTTGTAGACAATATGTGATGTGGGAACATTTCTAGACAAAAGTGTGCCAGTTTTGTCTTTTAATATGTCGTTACCATTTTTAGTAATACCATGAATAAAGAATAGTCCTTCGTAGCGTTCATCAATCTTTTTGGTACGATTGACGTTCTTGATCATTACCTTGCTTCCGATTGGGAATTGTTGTTCAACGATCTTGTGTGTCTTGGAGAACCTTTCGTGATCACGTTTTTGTGTCTCTTTGATTCGTTCAGACAATGCTGGTATTAAGACCTCTTGTACGAATTTGTACTTTTCATCGATTATTCTGTTTTCAGCTTTCTCCATTTTAAGTGTAGGTGTCACTTTAGTGTAATCCTGAAACTCATTTGGTTGTCTGTTAAAGAGTACAGCGTATGGTCTTGACTTGTGAAGACGTGCGTATCTTACGTTAAGACAATATTGAGCGTAATTAAGATAAGAGCACCAAGATTCACCTTTTCCGCGTAACATCTTGATAATATTACGTTAAGCTAAACCCACATAAGCTTCGTTAACGGAATTATCCATTGGAGAGTAAGGAAGAGATAATCTCCTGTCAATACCACTCATTTATAATAACTGCGAAACGATTTCATTTACGAATTCACTACCATTGTCACTATTGATGACTTTGGGAAATCCGAACAAAGAGAATGCACTGAGTAATTTTTTGCTGTCGTAACACTATACTTATCCAACAAGGCTCTCAAAATAGTGAACCGTGAATAATAGTCAACAAGTACTAACATGAAGTTGTTTCCGTATTCTGAGGTGACATCGAAGGATCCAAGGCCCATACACCAGTGATCTAATGGTTGATCAGGCAAGACTGATTTCGGTAGATGATACCCTACTTTGGCGATGTTGAATTTGTTGCACTCCAGGCAATCTGCGAGTATACGTTCAATGTCTTTTCGTATGTTGGTCCAGTGTATACCATCATGGTGTAACTGATTCTCAATACTCTGTAATCCGTAATGGCCTAATAGATGTGCTTTTAAGATGAGCGTATCTCTTTCATGAATTGGAAGTGTCATGTACTCAGCAAACTTCAACATTCTAACTGAGGCATTGGTAGTAGTAGTAGTTGTTATTAGTTCTCGGTAATGTGTAGAATAAAAGCAAAGAGGTGATGAGTCTCTGTTTTATCCTTTTATTAGAAGTGAGAGGAGGAGCTCATAGCAAAAAGAAATTAGGTTGTTTTAAAAGAGGTCGGAGTACTAACT